AGGTAAGATGAGGAGATGGATTTCCCCATTTACAAGCATCTGATTACCTTATCGTAGCTCCTTAAGTATAACATTAGATGTCTAACTCCTGCATTATTCTTTGCCCTATCCTTTTCCTTTTTTCCTGCTCCCACTGTTTCTTCCACCATATTTCCCCCAGGGTCTCTCTCAAACCCCTAAATAATGCACACCGAGTGAAGGGCTTAAAGGGGCTGTATGATGGATCGCTCCCCTCTTTCTGGAGCTGTTGTATTCTTGAAGCTTATTTATCATTTCCATAATGACACTGCTCTCAGGTGAATCTCTAAATATCTAGTTTATTTACGCCAGACAACCTTTAAAAAGAACCACTTTTTTCCATGATCCAGTTTTTAGTACGTGACATCACAGCAAAAATGGGTCACACGCCTGCTTTGAGACTTTTATTTTGAAAGTTTATTTACAGACAGGGAGATCAACAAATCACCACATATAGTGTTTATCCAATGTTCTATTCTTGAACGCAACAATTTTTACAGTGATTCAGCCTACAATTGGTTATAATGTAAATGTGGAAAACCTCGAAAAAGGGACAACTTTACAGCACGAGGGGAGAATATATTTGATAGAAGTCTGAATTCAAGCTGGTTTATTTTGCCTCAGAATCACAAAACTGCACTTAAAGTTCCTGCTAAGTTTTTAAATGATGACAGTTTCTGTTATTTTACTCTGCGTTTCACACTAATCTGAAAAAATAATGATAAAGATAGAAACAGTGAGGTAACATATAAGAATCTAGCAGTTTTCACAAACTTTAAAGATGCATTTTTCAACCCTTTATTAGACTGTTTATTGATTGATGTAAATAACTTTTAGGCCTGGGAACGAATAAAAAATGCCCCTGAGAGGAAACTTCTCACCAGCATGAATAATGCCTGAAACAAACAGAGAGTATGTCTACATAAAGTCTACTTTAATGATCCCCTTTAAGGAACTGCAGCAGGAACAAAATATATAAGCACACAACAAAGGATTGTATATATACGGTCCAGGAAGTGAACTCCTACTCACCTGATTGTAAATGTAAGTATTTGAACAACACAAAGAGTTGCCACATTAGTTTTATTTTTAAAATGTGCATTCTGTTAAAAGAATAGAACAGATGCCTTGAGGTTAAGTGCCCCCAGGAGGGGTCTCACATTATGACAGTTACCATATCAGCAACCAGAGATAAAAATGTTAGAGGTGAGAGGTTGTTGCAGTTTCTGTGCTTTTTGTGTATTTTCCCTCATACATTTTTCCTAATGTAACCTGTGTCGGCTAATCTGTAATAGACATATTGTTTAATTTATCCACCTATATAGTGTAGTATCATAAAATCTGCCATTTACCATGGTGGGAGACAGTCTCCATACGCTGTGTTACCAATTAAGTCTGTTAAAAAAAGAGTTAGCAAACTGTTATTGAAGTGTGTCATGTTTCGTGTTTTCATGTATCAAAATCAATTGCATAAGCAGTAGGATCACGGTTCACAAGCTGGCACACTTCACATTCAGATAAACAGCAGGCTTCCACATTATGTTTGACAACCACTCCTCATGTGCTAGAGTGAAATCATCCTTTCACCCATTGCTACAGAAGAAGGTGACAGTGTGTGGAAAGTAGACAGATTTCTGCTCAAATTTGTCCTCTTGCCTTTTGTTTTAAGACACTGGAATTTACTTTACAGTATATTGTCTTCAACATACCAATGCAGAGCTCCTATTGGATTGAAATCAGGTTTTGTGTGACATATGCACCATAATCTGTTCAGTCATATGTACCAACCCAGCACTGAGTTGTTTAAATGAATGAAATATCATCCAAGATCCATCCAGAATGAATCTGAAAAAAAAAGAACAGTGATTGTTCAACAGGAATGCTATATATGAATGCATGGAGTGAGTCACTACTCTGCATTAATGTTAAAACAGTCTTCTGCTGCAGCTCCCATCAGTGGTCAATTACAGTGACAATGGTAATTTATCACTGAGGTAATGTAGTGTCCAGAAAGAGAACAGAGAGCTGCAACAACCCCACACTTTAACAGAGTGTATTTACCGTGCTTCGGACAATTATTTAAGTCTGACGTGGTAATGAATGTGAGGCGGCCCTCGGAGAACCACAAAGACGACTCAGACTTTTTTGAGTTTATATTTAAAGTTGCATTGGTGATTCATTAGCTGCTTGTTTTTACTTGTGACCAAAAGGCATATTTTTTATCCTGAGCATCAGGTTGGTATCTTATTTCATCCGGGATTTTGTCACAGGTATCCAACAGCAAAGCCTGTGGTCCACTCACTCTAGTAAAGTTGGGTCATGGCTGTGAGGGGCGAACTCGCTGAACTATATGAAGCTTCAGCACTTAGTATGGTGTGACCCCTGGTGGCTAGAGAGTGCACTGAGAACTCAACATTTTCTTTACTGCTTTAAATCTTAGCTTGCCCACTCTCACTCATAGTACACTTGACTGTAAAGGGGAGTTTCCTCTCAGTGCAGTCTTTTTCTGAAGATCATTACTGTATTTAATCTTTTTAAGATGTTTTCGCCAATCCAACATGAAAGAATATATACATTTAGATGCCTATATTCATCAGAGATACATTTGAAATAATGAGTTTATTCAGTCAGTCATGCAATCAGCCATCAGTCCATCAATCACAGTTAGTCAGGTAGTTGATGATGATATGTCTTCGTACTGGTCTATAGGTCAACTTTTTGTGGACAAACTAATCTAGTTTGTTCTGATGTTGCTGCAGGCTCGTCTTCCTACTGTGTCTCCTCGTATGACCCCTTGTCATTCAGGAGATTACTTTACAGTCTCCCTGGAGTATTCCTTTACAAGCCTTATTTTCTGTGTGCGTCACTCATTAGCACTGTGTAGGATCTGTACCCAGCAGTGCGAGGACATATGACCCTCTATATAGGACGTGATAGTTCACACCGAGACCATTTCATTCTTACCAGGACACCGTTCACTTCTGAAGGCACCACAGCCCAGATGTACTAGACTGGGGTCAGGTGTGTCAGCCACAGGACTGACGTCACCCAGTAAAACACGCACGCTTTCCTTGACTCTGTGTCCACCGGGCACCATCATGTGGCTGCGTGCAGGCCAGTGTGGTGCTGGAGGACAGAATGAAATGTCCTCAAAAAGTCCTAGAAGAGAGGGGTGGCTGTGCTTGTCAAGGTGACTTTGTGCAGAGTGTGAAATGAAAATGATCTGATAAGTCTGCATTATGAGCTCCGGGGTGTTATGGCTGGCGATATACGGCACTGTATCAACAATAGTGAACTGTAAATGCGTGCCCCTATGAGATTATCAGAAGTCATGTTTGCTGATCCACATTTTTGATTTTGCACTCTCTGCAAGAAAGTGGAGCAGAGCATAAAATATACTTTAGTCCCCGCAGAATACATCAGCTACAGAGGGCTTTTCAAGTACATTTGGGCAGTGGCCAACTCACTGAAATGAACTACATTATTCAAGCGGAGGCCCATCATTCATGCTGGTTTAACCTAATAATAAATTACTGAATACAATTTTTTTTTTATTGTTGGTGCTTTTTATTGTTTCAAATTACTAATTTAGAGAACACGTTAAATGTAGGAGCATTTGTATTACTTAACTGGTTCTCTTTTTAATTTATTTTTATGTTTGTACATTTATTTTACATTGAATGCACATATACACTGTATATATGGGTGAGTTAATTCCTGTTTGCAATACAAATGCCACTACTTTATATTAATAAAGACCACACACAAAACAGAGAATTATTGTAGTATGAGTAAATGCTCAATCGTCTGTACTGGCAAATACTACAGTAAGCTCAATATTCAGTCAACTTTAACACGAGTCAGACTGAAAATGAATCTCCAACCCCATCTGCAGGTCACTGTCACTGTTATGAAAGAAAAACCTATTTCTGTTCCGTAGAAATAGAACTGAAAGTAATGTATAAACCAAACTTCTTGTTCATCGTGAGTGTCATTATTAGGAAGAAAAAGGAAGAGGAAGAAACAAAGCTAAGAAAGCAAGCCGGATATTCCATAATCTTTTAAAAAAACAGACATACTGGGTAGAATAGTGGCATTCTGAGTCTATCAATTTTATACAAACTATTAATTTATGAATATGGAATAACTGATGACAGATTTGAGATTCAATACACAGATGTGAGAGTACCACAGTGATTTAAATCAATAAAGAAATGCTCTATGTGGATATTTCATCACACTCCTGCCGGCCCTCCTCTCAGGTTGGTGAACATCCAGCAGGTCAGCTGAGCTTGACATCATCAATATATGATGAAGGGCAAAGCGCCAAAAATGTGTGGGTCTAGTTCGTAACCTCGGTGAGCTAAAGAATAAATGCCCAATTCAACCTTGACAGCTATAATGACGATACTGAGGCCGTTCCCAGAGCAGGCTTTATCTTAACTACGTCATAAATTTTTGTGTGTGTATACGAGTATAGTATTGTCCAAGTCTGAAATGATGGTTCATGTGTTTCTTTCCAAAAAGAAAGAAAAAAACAACATACATTTTAAGACAAATATTCAATTGTTTACTTTTTAATGAAATAATTGAACTGTTCTCTCCTACTGTAGCCTTCTCAGAGCCTAATGAGGGTCTTAAAAAAATATGGAAAAGAAGATGTCAGATCTCCTTTACAAGAACATATTCAATTGATCGAGTAATTAAGACATTTAGATTCAGTCTAAAACATTTTCCCTTGAAAACAAACAGGCGAATAGATGGAAAAGTAGACATTTTGTATCTTATTACAAGTTAAATCACAATACATATTTCCTCTGTGTTCTTGTTAACCTTTGCTGGAGTTTATTTAATATTTTCTACTTATAAACAGGCTACCTATACTGAAAAGCTGATGAATGGGGCCAATATCAGGGGTGGTTCTTAAAAGGTGCAAGCTGAGAGAGAGATAATGGTCAATTCACAAATGTATTACTAGAATATAACACTTTAAGACAACTTTATTTGTTTTGGCAGTTTAATTACTTGCTAATAACATTACTATTAATTGAATGTGTATTTGTATTTTGAAACAATTTAAACACCAACTTTAATCTGTTTGATTCAATTGGATGTAAAAACAATGTAAAGTGTCTGTTACATTTTTAACAAAATACAAATAAAAAAAAAAAAAAAATACAACATGATCCTATATTACATGTTACTCCACGCTGACAGGCTCCCTGAGCTGAACAGAAGCGGACTCTCCACCGACAGTTAGAACACACGTTTACGCAGTTTTCAGTAAAAATTACAATGAAAAGTGGCTTTTTCCTGAAGGATGGGTGTTCTTGCATCATTGAGTGCTTGCAACAACTCAGCTTGTGACTGCACTCTAGTTTCCTGTCCTTGGTAACTCGAACTCTTGGCGAGGAGCGAGGATATCGAGCATCAGGTCTCGTCATGTGACTGTAAGTAAATTGGCTTGGCCTGCTTCCTCAGGCGCTGCTGTGCTCGCAGCTTTCTGCCTTTCTGAGTTGCCAGTCCCATAGGTGGTAGGTACGTCTAGGGAAATATTCAGAGGACAAAATTGAATACATTTTGACAACGCAATAACTCACACAGACGGAAAAAATATCTACTCTGTTTTAGATACGATTAATACTTACAGCTCTTGGATAAGGGTTCCTGTAATGTAAACCTGTGAAAAGAACGACAGTGTCAGTGTTGAATATCAAACAAAATATCACTCTTTAAAAGCCAGGAAGCTTTCTAAGTCCTGCATCTGATTTTCTCACTATATGGGTGATTTCTGTTCTGTTTTAATTCATAATTTAATCTCTTTTGCCTGATTTTCTCCTTCCAAAGGCGGGTAATGTAAAGTTTTACTGTAGAAGTATCCCTGTGGTCAAATTACAGCAGCTGTAATCTAAAGAGGGGAAGGTGAAAGAGCTGAACATGGGTGTAAAATTGCCTCTTTACCCACAACTGAACTAATCTCTTCAAAATCAAAAAACAAATCCTCAAGCATGCAGGAGCGTAATACTTTTCTCATCTTATTTGTGTCAGTAATTTCCACCGGTTTTTCCATTTCTCTAAATTATATATAAACCCTATTCATACTAATGGTTCTGCTTTCCTACATTCTACAATTCTTTTTTTAAATCAAAACCATATATGTCTACTCCTCTGCTTACTCATGCTGAAACACCCAAGACCTTCAACTGAATTTGGTCAGTCACTCAGTGAAAAATAGTGTAGCAATACTGTATCTATCACACTGGTTGACAATCTTACTGTCTTATTACTGTTACTGTGGCCCTCAGCTGAGTAGGATAAGGCTTAGTCAAGGCTTATGTAAGGACACTTGTGGCATCTCTCCACTCCACTCTTACCTATTTCAATCCTTGCTTCACATTCTTCTATACACCTCTTTATTGATTCTTGATCTGTGAGCTGAGGAGAGGCACACAGAAGAAAATATTACTCATACAAACTTCCTTAAAACTGCTGCTTCTTCATTTCTGTGAGCAGGGTATTTCATTGTTGTTCACACCTGCTGGTTATGTCTGAACAGAGTGCGGGCCTCCTGAAGAATGTATTTTCTCTCAGTCTCTGTATCACTTGTAACCCCGCTCTGTGTCTGCCAAGTTCGGGCGATGCGAAACACCCGCATGTACAGTGACAACACTGTCCTGCGAGTGGAAGCCGTCATACCTTCACAATAAAGAAACTGAAGTTGTACAGGAAAGAATAATGGCATTAAAACCCTGTTAGTCCTGTTTGTTTATAATGCTCAATTCCTGCTAAAAATATATATATTTTGTTGACATGGTTGAGGGCATTACAATAATGATTACACACTTCCCCCCCCTGTAAGGCCCACAGTTTGATAGCAATTTGCCTGGACGTCACTTACACGTATGACCATGTAACCAGAGAAGAGAGGAAAGCCTGGTGTTCCCATGGATTAATTAATCTGTTAGGGGGCTCTAAGGCCCACCTAGGGTATCCTGTCACCTCAAAGTTCCCATTAAGTATTATGCACACAGCAGACTAAACATGGCATTGACATTATTTGCTCAGATACCAAGAAATCAACCAGTACCACGCTGGAATAATACCCAGGTATTCGTTGTCTCAGTAAGTGTGGGAATTTGATTAAACACAACTTAAATGTATATGCAGAACAACTAAAACTAAATGACAAAGAGAGTCACACAAGAATAGCTAATTAAAGTTGAATTATAGCAAAGTGCAAACCCCCAAACGAAAATGCAATTAATCAAATTATTAAGTCCAGTTGACATCCAGTAAACCTGGGACATTTGACAGATTTGAGTATTCCCATTATTGAACACTAGATGTCACTAAAACACACACAGAGCCCCCCCTCCCCAACAGAGCCTTAAGTAACAGTTACATGGCTGTAATTGTTTGTTCTGATAGGTGTTAAAAATAAGTCTCATAATAAGAATAACGCTATCAGCGCATTTCAATTCATTCTAGTTTCCCGTACAATAAACATGAGGCAACATCATCACCTATCAACATGAAACTAGCTATCCTTGAGCATTATCCTGACAGCCCTTTAAAAAAAAACCATCTGCTGTTAAAGTACAGAGGTTAAATTAACAGCTAGGCGAGAGACACCCACATTAATGACTTGCATTAGCCTTCATCGCTCATTATGTGTGGCAGTTTATTGACTATTATAAGCTTTGACCTACCGACGGTGTGTGAAGAAGAGGCTAGTACGACAGCAGACACACATTTGTCGCCTGACGATGACGTCTTTCCCGAGCTGGCTTTTAAAAAGAGGTTGCAGCAGAGAAACACACACACACACACACACACACACACACACACACACACACACACACACACACACACATATAAACAAGTGTCTCTACTTAAAGCACATAAAGTTGGAGATGTTTCACCTATTTAAAGAAGTAGTAACGTTTATAAAAGTCACTATTTTATATTTTTATTTTTGATGAGTTTGAGCTGTTTCAGATGAGTTTGTACACATTTCCCAGCGTTCAGTATTATTCTCACGTCTCACTGTACAATGAAACACATTACCTAAATAGTAAGTGAGTAACTTATCCGTCTGGGTGTAATGTTGCATTTACAAACACATAAAATTAAAAATAAATTAAAAAGACTTATTAGTATCGTTGCCATCGCTGAGCTGAAGATCAGCTGTTGGTTGCTGGTCGTCAGGGAGGAAGTGATGCAGGAAAATGTCCACAATGTAACGTTAGCTACACTCAATGACTAAAAGGGGGAAGCACAAAGAAATTGTCAGCTCTCGTCTGAAGTAGGGGGGGTCTTTTAACTCACTCCAAAGAGCGAACACAAATACAAATGGATTCAAAAGCACACACTGGTTGATAGCTTTTCTACTTATTTTATTTTTTTTTTAAAGAAAAGCGGAGTTTAATTAGATATCGATGTGGAAGTTTTTGTCAGCTGCCAGCTAGCGTGCTAGCAATCTGAGTTAACGCGACGAGTTTGCCTCAGTTGGTTTCTGTGTGTGTCCGCTGCCCTGGACAACTTACCGACTACTTCATTCGTCCTGGCATCCCCGGAGTGATGTACATCCGATGCCACACGATAGAAATTTCCAAAAGGGTAAGTTTCTTCTACGAGGGTAATTGTGGTGTGTCTCGGTGTCTTAACCGAAAGACCTAGCTTAGCCGATAGCTAACTTTTGGTTAACCGAGCTGATGCTAGCTAGCTATGGCGACGTCGTCAGGGCCAGGCAGTTTTGATCTTAAATGGCCCGGTGGCGGGGATGTTTAGTGGATCAATAATGGCTTCACAACAAGTATCATCTGAATCAGTGGGTGGTTATAATCGCCGGATGTAAATGGTTATAAAAACACTGTTTACATGACATTTTTGAGTGTTGTGCTGTTAAGCTCACTTGATCCTGTTTGTGCTCGCTACTTCCCAATCTACATAACTTGATGAAAATTAACATTAATGTCAGCCAACTTGAGTTAAGATCAGCTGTCTAACCGAGGCTGAGCTTTGACAACAGTGTAGTAACTATCACTCATTTGTCTTCTAGCTTAACTTTTGTATCTGTGACAGTTTTTAGGAATCTGTCTGAACTAATGGCTGGATACTGAAGTGTTTGGCTAACATAGCACGCTAGCTTATTGAGGATGATAATTAAAAACTAATGAATAAGTTCTCCTTTAGATGTCCATCATATCTTAGGCGAAGTTAGCCATGATGGGTTGGTGGGATATTTGCCTCAACATGCCCACTGCAATGATCAGTACAGCCGATTTGCTCCGATGGTGATTAAACATAGTCTTTATTAATGTTAGGCCGAGAGTCGTGGTTTGACAACACCAGTGATCACAACAGTAAGAGATGGTTTCAGGAGATACTATTAAGTTGTGGGATTTTACCACAGAGTTAATGAACAAAGAGTGGCTGTGCCCTGTGAGAGGTCTGTCACTGGACACCTCACCTTAGAGAGAGAGGGAGAGAGAGGCTTGCTTAAGTCCACACTGTACAGTATATGTTCAGCACAGACTGTTCGTTGTAGTTATAAATCAGTAATTTAATAACCCCGCAATTAGGCAAAATAATTGTATTGTGCTCAAATGACATATTCATAGCATGTTGGCTGAAATAGTCCTGCAGGTTTGGGTATGATGGGCTATCACTTTCTGCTTATGATGACAAGATAATGTGTCTTTTCAGCATTGCGGATGTCAAGGTCACAATGATGGAGCAGAATAGAAAGACACTTTGATCAGTGTCCAATGCCATCTGAGTGACTGTAAGTAATTTCCTTCTACTCTTTTAGTGATCGGCTGATACATTAATTTAAGTGTGTGGATGTATGAAATGGTCATAATAAAAATGAACTTGGGCTACTAGATTGATTTGACCAGTTTAGAAGTATTTGATGTCATTAAGTTATTTTAGTGGCCAGTCACAACCTCAGTTACAACAGTGGCCCTGATTATTGCAAATATTGGAAACTATGAGAATCCCTACAGCTATGTTACTTTTAAGTGTGACATTATTCCCCTTATCTTTTGTTTATGTACACTGCTTATATAGCTTTTTAAAAATAACCTGGGCACACATGACAAATAACTATGTTTCTCAGTTTTTCTTAACCCCAAAGCAGAAAGTGCTTTACATTGAGTTTCTGCTGCTGAAGGTTGAGAATGATAACGTTATTAAGTCCATGTTGCTACTGCCTTTACTGCTGGTATACAGTACATAGCATTATCGTGAAATAAAAAGTACCACAATAAAGCTAAAAAGAAAGCATAATAAAATTAGGTAGTGGCTGTGTAACACCAAACCAATTCTACCACCGTAGGTTTCTATGGTTAGCACTGATGTCTTTAATGTTGTTGTAAAGGTTTCTATGGTAAACTGCATTGTATGTAATGTATACATACAGACTTTTTTTTCTCTGGTCTTCATTTTTTAGGGTTCTTAAGTCTGGCAGTGTAAGACCTGGATTGTGGCAGATTTGGCACAGGTGACTTCTTGACATTTAATGTTCAAAAATCCCTGTGGTTTGATTTCCTTCTGCTAAAAGCCACAGAAATGTGGATCTTGACCTTTTTAAATGTGAGCTAGACTGACTCAGTTTAGAGTTGCACTCTATGGCAATTAACATTTTTAAATTGTTCTTCACCTCAGGCCTGAGGGTATGTTGAGACGTCTTGCCAGGCCAGAGCAGAGGCGTCTAGGTGGTTCGGACGGGGACTGAAGGTGTGGAGGAAAGACAGACGAGGGACCAGGGAGGAAGACATGGGCCAGTGTGTCACAAAGTGTAAGAATCCGACGTCCTCACTCGGGAGTAAGAGTGGAGACAAAGAGAGCGGCTCCAAGTCCCACAAGAAAGGAAGCAGTGCTGGTGGTGGTGGGGGCCACAAAGAAGAGCCCGGTGCCCCGTGTAGCAAAGCCACCAGCGAGCTGTCGAATGGCACGAAGGCATTGGAGGTCACAGTGGAGACCCCGGTCATCCCTGCAGTGATGGGCGAACCACGCAAGGACGAGTGTCTGGATGGAGACGGGCTGTCAATACTGCGCATTAATGAGCTGTTCTGCTGCTACAAGGATGAGCATGAAGACGCCATCTTGGAGGAAGGCATGGAGAAGTTTTGTAATGACCTGTGTGTGGACCCAGCAGAGTTTCGTGTGCTTGTTCTTGCCTGGAAGTTTCAAGCCGCTACCATGTGCAAGTTTACAAGGTAAGGCGCAGTTGAAGGGAATGGGGTGTGTTGTCACTGGTATTTGTTAATCAGGATAAACTAGCATAACTACTGCATAGTAATTGGCCATAGCAAGTAACCAGAGATGACTAAAACACATAGCTTCATTAGTACCTACCCTGACTTAATTAGCAAATAAGAGGCTGTTTTCAAGTATCCTTAAACTCATGTTGCATTTCTTATACGTCTGTCTCCCTATGTTTATGGTTTCACTATAAATCTATCTAATGAAGATGAAAATACAAAAAGAGCGATATTCCCCATAAAATCTTAAACAACATGTGATGTAAAAAGACCTGTTCTTGAAACCAGTTCTCTTTCTCTGTAACATGCTGTCAACTATGTTACCTAAAGTGCCAACATTATCGGGGATTCAGTTTGGGGGCTGATCAGTTTTTGATAATTAGTTACAAACAACCTGATCCATGTCAGACCATGTACCCCAGCTACAAAAGCTCCTCAGCGCACTGGATAAGTCAGTTTTTTAGTGCCATTTTACAGGTGCACCACACCTCTGAAGTGTTGCTTTTGGCTGAAAACTGCAATTGAACTTGAGTATCTTGTTTTATGCAGGGGATTAAAGGAAAGGCAGTCCAAATCCTCCTGCCACAAAGTTCCACAATGACATTATTTAACAATGTGTACAAATGTGAAGGTATTAGCTAGGAACATATTTCTTGAAGTAGATTTGCTTTGCTCGTTTTCATGTAGGCAATGAAAGGGCAATCACATGCTTGTTATAAATACAGACTATTGGCACACCACCACATGACTAGCACTATGTACAGTTTCAGGTCAGTGAGAACCTGTAATCCTGACTGAACACTTTGCCCCAGGCTTTTTTTTTTTTTTTTTTTTTAGAAATTCAAAGAAACTTGAATGACTTTAAAACTCTAATTATAAAGAATGTATATTTATAATCAATCGTGCACTTGTAGGTACTGATTAACAGACAAATTGGGAGTTCATCCTATCTGGTGTAAAAAAAAAATATGGTCTCTGATATTAATAACATGTTTTCAGACAACTATTACCTGATACTGCTAACCAAAATATCTTGTGCCACTAATAATTGGCTTCATGCCTGATAACTACACTTCATAGTCTTCAGTCTTTTACTGTGCATCCATCCCACCTCAAACACTCAGTGTTCAGCAGGTCAACAACACACAGACACGCGCAGTTTCCCACTGTCAGGTAGGGGGCACACAGGAAGTGCATCCTGCTGTGCACTACCACTTTGCTGTTAGTGTTGGAGATGAATAGGGCTGCCTGCTGGCCAGGTCACTTGTCACTGCTCCCCCTCTCAGATTTTTAACTCAGCACTTTTCTGTCCAGAGGCTTTGGACAACACCACACTCTGGTTACCAACATGTTTCATTGTCAACTAATGCTTACTGAAGCTGTTTATATTACATTTGACTTTGAAAGCCTATTATGTTGTATATCTGCCCGTGTTGAGGCCCTCAGCACTGAAGTGAAATCATGTTTGTCAATGTTACATTGAGAGAAAGAGCACTTTTCAGTGCACTGAATGTAAATGTATCCTGTTAACAATGATGTTACCGGTGTCTTTACAGACACATGGCTCTTTTGTTTGCAGATAACGTTAAAACGTTTTATTGTAGCTCTCAGTAAACTTGCCTATTAATTAGCTGGTGCTGTTAATTTGGCTTTTGGGCCTCATCATCCTTAGTGAAATTGTCCAGTATTATTCTGATTTTGGGTTCTGTTTACTTTGTTTCACCAGGAAGGAGTTTGTTGATGGCTGCAAAGCCATCCAGGCAGACAGTCTCGAGGGTATCTGCTCACGTTTCCCCTGCATGCTGTTGGACGCCCAGGGTGAGGAGAACTTCAAGGACTTATACCGCTTCACCTTCCAGTTTGGTCTGGACGCTGAGGAGGGCCAACGCTCGCTGCAGCGCGAAATCGCCATCGCCCTGTGGCGCCTGGTTTTCACCCAGGACACACCCTCGATCCTGGAGCACTGGCTGGACTTCCTGGGGGAGAACCCCTCAGGTATTCGGGGCATCTCAAGGGACACGTGGAACATGTTCCTCAACTTCACCCAGGCTATTGGGCCTGACCTGAGCAACTACAGCGAGGACGAGGCCTGGCCCAGCCTCTTTGACACCTTCGTGGAGTGGGAGTTGGAGCGCAGGAAAAGAGAGGAGGAACAGGCACTGGTGGCAATGGAGGAAGAGGGGAGGTGTTCTGAGACAGAGTGTTCTCCCACCACAGATAGACTTGAAACAGAGGGAAGCCGCGGCTCACAGACGTGGGGGGGCCACTGACCAGGAAACAAGAAATATTTGTAAGGAAGGGAAGGATATGACCTACGTGTGAACTGTACATCTGTGAATCATTGGATGAATATTAGTATTACCATTACAGCTGTTCATTTTGCTCTCCTTTCCTGTTGGGCTGGGATTCCTGCTTTGCAACCTTATTTTTTCAGTTTCTGAAAGGGCTCTAAGAACTGTTATGTTTTAAGCACTTCTATTTAAGTTATTGTTTTACTTTTCTCTCCTCCCAAGAGTGTTTTTAAGTAATTGGACACGTGGTCCATTTTAACCCACAGCTTCCTACCATAACCCAGCAGATACAGCCCAGTAAAGGTTTTAAAAACAGGCAACAGAAAGCCATAACCGTTCCCCACAGTTATCATTTAGACAGTTCATTTTGATCTGGTAACACTGCTGATATGTTTTGTACGAGGAAATTGTTAATAACGAAGAAGGGAAATTTGGCACAACTGGTCTACAAATAATTTCTTACTACCAAAACATGCGATTTACCACAAGGGTCAGGAGTCAGTGAAATCATTTTTATTGGACTAATGTCATTAGATTGTATGCTTTACTCTTGCAGTGGTGTGAGGATGAATTGGTTGCACTTGTATTGCCTTCACAATTGTTTGCCTGTAATTACACGGCAAACAGTAATGGATTACAATTCTGTCACAAGGGCATTTTATTTTTTAAAATGATACAAAGTTGTAACATCCATTTTAAAATCCAAGTTGGTTTCCATGTTAACAGACCCACCCTCTCTTCTGCGTTGAGTGTTTTTGAGTGCTACTAGTGCAGTGAGCGGCTTAGCTTGTTTAAGCAGCTGGCTGTGCTCCCCTTTGACCTCTAGCATGTACCATTTTGATGTCCACCTATTTTCAAGATATTGGCTAAAGCTAGGTCTAGGTCATTTCTCGACAGAAGATGCCTAAACCTGCGTTACATTCAGGACCATTACACTGGGCGCCACACAAATCTTATATTGTTTACCTGCAGGAGTTTAAGAGTCTTCACATCCTTAAACTACCATATTTAAAAAAAAAAAAAAAAAAATGTGTGCGCACTTCACAAATAATGTCGATTGCTGCTGGTGATGGTTGTAATGGATTGCACAAAAACCAATGGCATGCTTAGTTGCTATACTTGCAATGCTTTGCAGAGAGATTGATGTCAACCACATTATTTCCATTTTAAAACCTGTAGATTGATCTTAAGTATAGCCTAGGGTGTTTTGGGATGAATGAATGATGAGTGTTAACTAGACATTCTGGCTAATCAAGAGTCTGTGATATGGGTCCGGTGTGGTGGCCATAACCTGAGCTATTTGGTTTACATCTACAATGATTTTATCTCAGACCCCCTTTGTCCTTTTTTTTTTATATAAAATGTATTGATTTATAATAAATAAAAACAGTGTTGAACTTTTGACTGTTGAGCATAGGAAATCTGTGTGAGATTACTTCCAATATCTCTTTATTTCTTTGTAACCTTGTGCCAGGCCATGCTGAATGACATGCCCGCATGATGCCGTCTTCAGTGCTCCAAAAACAGTGGGTTATTTTTTTTGCTGCACAGGGTTTTGTGGAGGCTTGTACGGATGTTGGAGCAGCTGGCAGAGAGCAGACAGGCTGGGGGCGTGTCCGACACTGATGTGGCTCTCTCCATTGGTGGACTGCTATCCTGGTTACCAACCAACACTGGGCACATGAGAAAACACAGAAAAACTCGTTCATTTCAAAGCTAATGGCTAACAAAGCACTGTTTTACAGGGACAGTAAGTATTTTTATAATATTTAATGCAACCAGGGTAAAGGTTGTACAAGAGAGCGAAAGCCAGTTTTTGTGTTATTTAATGTTAAAGTAGATAAAATGCTAACGCTAGCTTTCAGTTTGTTGTTAGCGTCAGTGCTAACGGAGCTGTAATTGCTAACGTCGCCTCTGGATAACTCCGGGAGTTAATATATGCGATAAACCTTTAACCCGCAGTGGTACTGGGAATTAAAAGGGCCAGATAACCGTGTTAACATAGTCAGAAATGGCTAACATGTTAGCTGTTAAGTGAATTCACAACAAGTCAATAGAGCAAACGTTACCGCACATCTGGTAACCCCCCCGAACAAATAGTCCGGTTAACGTTAAGATGTTTAAAACGAGTTTTTTCTGGCGAAGATGAGATTAGGTTACGTCCGGTTTGGAAATATCGGGAATTATTGTGTATTGGTTTTGCTGAATCGTCCAGCGGGTGGGGCGACATTTTAAACGAAGTGAATTCAGTGTAATTGAGGCTTCATGTCACAGGTAACCTTGGGGTTCTCGTCTGTGTTCCCTCTGCAGAGGAAATCCAACACAACACAGATTTCAATGGTATTTTTCAAGACTCATCGCCCCTCTCCACAGTTTGGTAGAGTGTTATGTGAACAGCATCTGCAGCCACACGATGGATAACGAGGTAAGCAAACATCGCTTTATTTAACGACTCATCTGCGCTGTCAGTACTTGTCATTATTTTTCTTGACACCATCAAGAAGCTCTCTGATTTATTTCAGTGTATTTATAGCAACAATGCATGCCATGTTTTACAGCAGCGTCTCAGCTGTTTCTCTGTTTCTCTTGTCACTAACAAGTACTCTCTGTTCTTCCTTTACATTTCTTTGCTTCTCTTCTGGCACTGACAGATGCTGTAGCCTAGTTGACTTGTAGAAACTGAGTAAGGGCTTTGTGATTTCTTTGCTCGTCTTGCATGTTGATTTGTAAATTTAAAAAAATGGCATGAGCTTCAGATGACTGTGTTATGAGGACAACTGATGCTCCTTCCAAGACAGATGTGTTTGTACAATACAAATCTTGTTAAAAGTGGCTTTAGTTTTAAACACAGATGATCAGTTGTTTTTTCATTCTCTAGGTACATGAAATTTTAAGTGATGGATCATTGGTTTTTGACGTTGTCAATGCTAGTTTATTTGAAATGGCTGTGCGTTATGTATTATGCAAAGACACATCATTGCAGGATGTGATGGCTCTTGTTCCACTCCCTCTGTTACTCACACCTAATGAATGAAGGGCAGGACCAACTTTTGAAGAAGAGCCTGAATTTGACAAGCCATGTATTCATAAAACTGTTGGATTTATTCCTCGGGGACCTTGGTCCATGCTGAGTCAGTAGTTAATGCATATTTTTCAGCAGTGCTTTTTTTGCTGTGATCACTATTCTGCCACCTCATCTCAAAATTGAAAGTGTGCAGGCGTTTAGAGTTAACAAAACAATGCGAGACAAATGCTGTGTTATTATAGACTGTTCACAGATGAATACACCCGGACTCCAACAATTTTAAGACTTGCAACTGTGTTAAAGTGATGATCAGTTCTCGTTGAGGGCTCAGATGTTTCCCCAATTTTTACATCACATTTTTACCATCACGACTGACACCAACTGAATGTTTTTTTTCCACGTTGCATGTGCCGCAATGATGCTTTATTCATTCAAGACGGGAGGAGCGAGTTGTTTGCTTACGTTTTGTGATGTAAAGAATAAAGTTGAGATTGATTGTAGTCTGTGGATGTGAATATCTGTGCAACAATGAGGAGTCTTGTCAAACAGCTGATGTATGCTTTTCTGACTCTGCATCACGTGTGTGTGTGTACTCATGCTCGTGTTCTTGAAGGAGAGTAAGACGTGCCAAGGAGAGAAGCTTGCCTCTGCTGTGGATGACACTCTGGATGAATATTTAATCGCCCTCCAGCACAAAAACAGGTGAAGTGTGTGCACATGCTGCTGGGGAGAGACAGATTGGATTTCACAGTGGAGATGCACAACTCCTCCATGACTTTCAGTGCTGCCTAATAGGAGCACTGATTGGTTCCTCGCTTTGAGATACACAGAATTAGTGTGTGGCATGTGGGAGAGTGGAGGTTAGAATAGATCAAAAGTGTGCTGAATCTCAAACCTGTGATACGCTGTTTGCCAGATTTTTATTCATAATTGTGGAGGTAGTTACCAGTTTTCTTTGCTCTTCAGGATCCTAAAGCGCCTTAAAATCAAAGACCCCAGGGAGATTGAGTTGGAACAGCTTGAACAAGGTTTTTCCATTTATCTTAACGGAGCCAATGCTGAAGCCTGCAGGAATCAGCCCAAGACCTCCAACCACAAGTCTGTCACCTCCCCATCTGCTTGGAGGCCTGCACGTACAGCAGGTATGCTACTGCTGGACCAAAATAAACCTACGGACAAGTACAAACTCTTACATAAGACTCAGTTTTTTTAAATTCTCCATTGTGTTCTAGGAATTTTTTACACTGAAATTAAAGACACCATCTCATACTCTTGTTCTTGTTCCTTCTGTCATTCCAAGGACCATATGGAACACCAGCTAATAGCCACCACTCCTCAGCTTGTAGTTTGCATGGCATAATTCCACGCCCAGTCCCAGTGAATAAATGATAGTGACAGTTGTAGCTGGCAGCCAGTTTTTCAGTCTTCCTCTATGTGCCGTGGACCATCTGCGTATGCGACTGTGTGTTCCTTCGCCTCTGAGGCAATAGTCTGCTGCAAGCTGCTCATGTTCCTGTCTGTGCTCTTACTCATCTGCAGATGTCTGTAGAAGCGCCCACCAGCTAACTGAAGATAGCCGTAATCTAGAGCAGACCCACAGGAAAAGGAGCCACACTGCCCCAGGAAAGGTCCAGAGGAAAGAATGGGTGCAGGTAGAGGCTTCTAATTACTTAATATTGTAATGCTCGATTGTGCTGTATCAAAAAATAAATAATTTCCTGTGAAAGTACATATCAAAAGATGTTCCTCTTTTGTCACTTTTACAGGATTCTGTCAGAATTCGAACAGAAGAAGGACCAAGTTTGCTGATCCCCCCAGAAAAGCACTACTCTGAGGATTTTGAGCCCTATGAAAGTGTAGTCATGGAGGTAGAGTGAAGACATGACAATGCCTGCTAAGCCTGTGTGTGTGGGTGTTTTTTCTAGGGGAGGGGCTATGTGTCAGGAGCATCTGTCTGTACTACTTAGCATCTCTCCATCTCTGCCATTTCCCCTTTATCCAATCACCCTTTTTCATACAGAGCTCTAGTCAACGCTCGCCTCGTAGTCCCTGCTCCTTCAGCTCCAGGCCTGAGAGCCAAGGGGGCCAAGCAAATCAGGAGCTCAGTGAGAAGGTACTGCTCAACCTTGAGGAAGTGAAGGTGAGCAGAAGAAGAAATACGTACTATTTCCTCTTGTGAAGGTGGCTTGAGATGTAGTGAATCATCTAAATTAGTTTCATGCTCCTGGGTGTTAATTCATGACAGTTTTTTTTGTGGTAGTCACACAGATCAAAGGAATGCTTAAACTGTCAGCATTCATGTGCGTATGTTTGTGCCTGTCAGTGCTTACTTGATGACTGTGTACATGGATGCGTACATAAACGCTGACCTTTGTAAATTAGGTTCTGCGTCGAAGCCTGGAGGTTAGCATGCGGCGGAGCCACCGCGGCTCGGCAGGGGAGGAGTCAGACGAGGAGTGGGTGGAGGAGCAGATTGAGAGGGAGGAGAGCACTGAGAGTCTGGATGAATTGGGGCTGCCTCTCTCATCCTCCAAGTCTTCCTCAAACCCTCGGCCCAGCGGCTCCCATAGCCATCTTGACTCAGCAAACCTCATTGTCCTAGACTTTGGACCCTCACTTAAAGGTAGGCTTCAGCCTCCATGTTCATATGTAAATGTATCATTGATTTTTAGGGTGAGTCTTAATTGTCCAGAGTGGTTCCATCTCCCTGTTATCTGCTTCATCAGCATTGACCTGTACATGTGAAGAATAGACAAATATATTTGCCGTCAGTGCACAGTTCAAGTGTTATGTTACTCAACCCGTTGGACGCAGGACATTAACCCTTTATGCCTACAAACTCTCAATATCACATTATATTCCTAATCTGAAAACTTTCTCCATTATTCCAGGGCGTAAGATTGAACGTTCTCTGTCTGCCAAAAGGAAAGAGAACATTGACAGCTTTATACCTACCAAGCCTATGTTGGTGAAGAGCAAAACATTAGATAGGCCACCTTCCAAAGACAGCTTGGATGGCCAGAGTAAGTCTTTTTTTTTTTTTTTTTACTTTTTTTTTTAAATGTCAGTGCTTAACTGAGATTCATGATTAACAAGCTCTACAATTTAAAGTATACAGTCCACAAATGGCAGATTTCCTATTTAGGAATAAAATTCTTGATACAGGTCTCTGTAGATAGATCTGTTTGATAGCATGGTGCATGATTAAAAATGTGTGCTACTTGCTTTAGGGCCATGGAGTCGAGTGGAGAGGCCCCTGTCAGCAGCCAGAAAGGCTTCAGTTGAGGAGCGGGACCCAGAGGAGAAGGCATGCATGGTGCGCCAGGCCATCCAGAGAGAAAACAACCCTGTGCAGAGTCCTGAGCTCTTCACCCGCAACATGGTCTGCCTGCCCCACACTATACATGTCCCACCTCTACTCAACTTCTTTACTGTTAAGAGTTGTTTTTATGATGACCCAGATTTCAGCCTGATATCTCTTTGCACTCTCCGCCCATAATGAATCAGACATGATTGTTATGGATTTGGCTTACATGTAAAATCTTCCTCTAAAGCTTATGCATCTCTGACTCTACTTTTTTTCTACCTTTTTATCCAGGGCAGGGGACACCAGATGATGAATGGCTTAGTGCACCACAACAGCCACGACAAAGATGATAACATTGTCACTTTGGCCATGCAAAGAATCACGCTTATGGGCCAAAGGTATGTTGAATCAATAAGGTTCTTAAACAACCCAATACTGTATATACCTTCTGGCTCTAGGGCCATAGAAAGACATATCGTAATCCGGTACATCCTGCCGTGTTAGAATGAACATTATAGTGTTTTATAGAAGCTAATACTAACGGAGATTTATGGTGTATACAACCTCCGACCTTGAATAATTATTTATCAGTGTAGCTGTGCTCAGCCATCGCTCACCACTAACATGAAGGTCATGGACAACCGACAAAGCAGCAGAGCTGAGGGTGTCATTCTTCTGTTCAGGCAACAACAGAAACTGCTGAAAGCCTTGGAGAAACTTGAAACAGGGCCCAGCTACAACATTGCTCCGAGTGTCAAAACAGACTATAGCAAGCAGCCGGTGAGTCAGTAACGCCGTCTCGCAGTTTAGAATGACCAATACTGCCGGGTGTGATGAAGACATAAGTGTACAGAAGCGCTTGTGAATGTTTTGTGTTGTCATTGCAGACAAGGCAGTCCTCATCAGAGGTCACTCCTGCATTGTATGTTACCATGGAGATCCTGTCAAACTGGGGGAACGCTTTGCAGGTTGGGTTGACTGAGTTGCAGTTCATCTGCCTCAGAAACAAGAAGCTGTATGTATCGCCTCATGACCTAGACATCAGGAACGCTGACTACCCCGGGAATCTGGGGGCGCTTGTCAATGGAAAGGTTAAGGTGAGTCATTGCTGCCTGCCTCAGCATCCTGTTTGAATGATTTCTGCTACACAAATCTTTCTACATCATAATCTAGCTATGTATAACCTGTGCTAGATGTTTTTGTAAGCATTTTTCCATCTTCATCATATTTGCCAATTTTCTTTGGATACAATTTAAAATACAGTAGCCCTTTTTCACAGCAGATATTTTGACTTGTCTTAGCAGGAAAAGCACTGGTCTAACTGGTAGCATTAATTGTGGCTCTGTTCCATTTTATTGTCCCAGTAGGCCATGACACTAAACAAGCATGCACACTAACAGGGGCCTGGAGCTTGAATACCTAAGTGGGATATCATGCAGCCATAATTAATGTTATTAATTACACGGACAAAGTATTTGCTGATGTCATCTATTCTCTCGTCTTAACAGACCACCAAAGAGCGTCACATGTGGACGTGTCCGTTTCACCCACCCATCCAGCTCTACTTCATCATCAGGAACACAGAGCGCTCGGCAGACTTTGGAATATCTCGCATCAAAATCTGGAACTACAACAGAAGCCTTAATGTAAATGCTTTTTTATTTTTGTTTGTGTGTCATTACAGTTTATAAGAAGTTGAATAATATTTGTTCAACACGAGTGTAATCCCTCCAACATGTTTTGATTCATCCCTCTCTTGAGTTCAGAGATTATTCATTTAGCTGTCCGTAGCGCCAGAGCTCATAAATCCAACATGCTTGTGTGTTGTCACTGTAATACGGGATGACAGCATCGCCGTGGTTACGTCAGGGGTGTGGTTCTCTTTTAGCAGTGGCTGGCTGAGCTGCCAGTCAGCTTGTCCAAATGTGGAACAGTGAGAGATTAGCCCCAGAGGATTAGTGTTAGGGGAAACGTGGGCTTCTGCCTCTCAACCTCACTGCTCTTCATAGAGGGGTACAAAGACCCCGTTCCAGTCTCTTTCTGTGTTACTACAACTATCTAGAATCACTTGATTACTTGAACCTGGAAGGTAAGGAGCATTTGGTGGGAGACAGGTTTTAGGTTAACTTGGGTTTAAAGTAGTTTACTGTCTGGAGGATTGAGCAGATTTGAGTTGGGCTTTAGCCATGTCTTCATGGCAGCCATGACTTGGTGTCTGTGAGGATGCTAATTACTGCTGGCCTGGACTTACTCTGTATGTAAGAGCATTTTGTAGGACAACTGGGTGCCAAACGTCAAATGGTGTGCAAACTTTTGAAAATGACTGTATTTTGACTGAGGCTCTGTGTTTTTTTTAGGATCTTGATATTGGTGCGCGGCATATAAAGCTGTACCTTAACAGCACATTGGTGTTTGAAGGTGAGCTGGAGAAGGGCTGCGGGAACCAGGTCTTTGACTACAGCACCACAATTGACCTCCAGGATTTCCAAGTCTCAGACTCCTTGTTTTCCAGCCCTGTGTCTTCAGGACACAATCTACGGGGTGCCAGCCCCCAGTGCCATGAGGACAGGAGGGGTGGGGACAGCAGCAACACCCAGCGACACCATAGTTCTAATCCTCAGCCATCAGACATAGCCAGCCAGGCTATGATAGAGATGCAGGAGAAATCACATTCACTGCTACCACCCATCACTCCTTCACCAGTGGGGGTTTCATCCTCTGCTCGTCGCTCCTCCACAGAAAGAGACGCTTTTGACCTGTCTGCCTCAGAACAGCCCCTCTCTCTCAGGCAGCAGGTGGAGCAGCCCACACCAATGGAGCTAACAGTAACCACCCAGCCGTCCTCCTCACGGGTGGCCCCGCAATGGCTGCAGCCCCTGAACAGAGGAGCTCCAGAGGGCTGCGAGGCCAGCAGAGAGAGGCCCCGGTGGCTGGTGCCTCAGCACTCTGCAGAACCCAAATCTCCGACTGCCTCGTCCTCTTCAATGCTCCCGGAGCTGCCGTGTAACCCAGGCCGAGTGTGTAGGGGGATGGAGAGGACAATGAACGGGGGTCAGTGTAAGGTTAACTCCCTGGACCTGAGCTGCGACCTACTGGAGGAGCTCGGGGAGCCAAAGCCAGACAGGCCCATTAGCGGGCGCAGGAGCTCATTCCGAAACACAGCAGTCACTGGTAGGCAGACAGAGGAGCAGCACCTCAGAGCTTCTGTACTGTCAAACACAGGTAGGAAAGGGTACTACATCCCATGTTTAAAGTTATGATACTTTGATGTTATGATGTGATTATTTTCCCTTGTACTTTTTGTGCTTTCACCTATTATTAACCGGTCAGGTTACAACTCTGCATTCCGCATGATAATCTCTGATAATAGTGTGTTATTGTGTATTATTAAACTGTACTAGTAATTCCCAAACAAGTAATAGGAAGAAAGACTAATAAAACATTATATCAGGATTCTTCAACCAAATAATAATAATAATAAATATTAGCTGAAGGCTTAAAATTCACATTTGCTTTACTTCAGCAGGGTACTATCTGGATCTTGTGTTTTTGTATGCCTCATCACTGGCTCTCTATATAAAGTTCTGCTCCCTTAATCTTTTTTAGAAGTATAATCTGTTTGTCTTGAGGCAATCATCACATAGAGCATACGTTTATGGAGTGAGGGTGCAGCTCCGTGTGACAAAAATGTTTGAAAAATGAAAGAGCTGCTACTCAAATAGATTAGTTTGAGTCCTTACACTATACTTTACTGAGCAGCCATGATTATTGTCCTGGCCTTTGTGCTGTGTAAAGATTGTCATTTGTTCTGCTGCTGATTAACATCTCATTTTGTAACTGGAAGATCAAAATTGTTACCCCAATTTGAAGGGAATTGTCATATCTACACGTCTTTCTGAAGATTGTAGAACGAAATAGATTGTCTTGTTACAAAGCGGACTACCTCTTCCATTATAATCTCTCAATTTCCAAGATAACCAATAAATAACATACTAGATTTTTTACTTGTACATCCCAGAGATACTGTTCATTTGTCTTTTATATCTTCACCTAGCCTGTGAACACATTTTAAAACAAGGGAAATGGTAAATATACAGTTTTATGGTTGGTTGAAGAATCCTGATATGAATGTGTTTTGTTTTTTTTACTTTTTTTTAACTAGACACATGAGACATGGCTGTGTTTGATATTAAAAGTGAAGGCAATTTACAGTGATAAAAGGATTATCTTATTTTTTGTGGCTTGTTGGTAAATAACAGCTAATCTTTGTGCATTCTGCAGAGGAGCCGATGTCACTGGTGAACACCAGCAGGAGGCAGTGCAGCTCTCGTGCTCAGCTGCACAGCCAACAGGATGATACCCTCATGGAGTCCTGGGACTCTCTCACTAAGTTCAACCAATGCCAACGTGGACGCATCTCCAACATGGGCTTTGAAGGTGACATCTTTGATGAGTTCCTCCAGCGCCAGGGCCGTGGTCCACCCACAGTCCCTGGCAACCCCTCTACAGCACCCAGGAGCCCACTTTCCTCCTTGACCACTCAGGGGGCACTGTGTGAAGGCCCTGATGATGATCCATCCATGGAGCGGGAGGATGAGTTTGAGATCCCCGTGCTGCCCCAGGGCCAAAGGCTAGTCATCAACATCCTGTCCACCTGGGGCGATCGCCACTATGTGGGCCTCAATGGCCTTGAGGTGTTCAGTTCCAGTGGAGAGCCCTTACAGCCTGCTCACATCCGTGCTGACCCTCCAGACATCAACATTCTCCCTGCGTACGGTAAAGATCCACGTGTGGTCACTAACTTGATTGATGGCGTCAATCGTACCCAGGATGACATGCATCTTTGGCTGGCACCGTTCACTCCTGGTCGTAGCCACACCATCTTCCTGGACTTTGGAGGCCCCTATCAGGTGGCCATGATCCGAGTGTGGAACTACAACAAGTCACGCATTCACTCCTTCCGAGGGGTGAAGGAGGTGGAGATGCTGCTGGATGGAAGGTGCATTTTCAGGGGTGAGATTGCCAAGGCCTCTGGGACCCTGTCTGGAGGTAACTGAACAGAACAGCCTCACACGTTTTAATGCTCCTTTTGTGTGTTACTTGTGATCAGCTTTTCCTTTTTCCTCACTCTCCTGTCACCTCAGGACTGGACCAATTCGGTGACACTATCCTGTTCACCACTGATGACGAGATCCTGGAGGCCATGTCTCGTTACGACGAAACCTTCCTAGGTGAAGGTGAGGGCCCCGAGGGCCTGGTGTGTGAGGAGGAACTGCAAAGGCCACGCACCGCTGATGGAGAGGGAGAGGAAAGACCCTTCACACAGGCCGGTTTCCGAGAGGAAGACCTCAAAGTAAGTACAGACCTTAGCAGCAGTGGGTTGTGGGTGGGTGTGTTTTTATTTTGGTGTTAAATGTCAAAGATAAATGCTGAATTTAGGCACCTTATTCCCAACTGCCATCACACCATCAAGTCAGTGTAAAACAATTATGGTTTCAATCGTCATAGCTGAAACTCCACCTCAACCCCAGTTTGAGCCAGTCTGAGGAGAACATGGAGCATAATCCTGGGATGTACACTGGAAAGTGTGAGTAAAAAAATCCGCATCCTGTCATCATGTTTAGTTCTCTTTTCTTGTTTGTCTGGATACTTACAATAACTGTCCCTCCGCCTCAGGCCTTAGACTAGAGCTGGTGTTGACCTGGGGGGACTCCCACTACTTGGGCATGACAGGATTAGAGGTGGTGGGGAAAGATGGAGAGAGTTTACCTTTAGACCTCAGTATGTTGGCTGCCTCACCCAGGGACCTGAATGACCTGCCTGATTACAGACACGACCTGCGCACACTTGATAAGTAAATCTTACACTACACAGTAACAGTGGAATAATCTTACTTTCTCTTTTTCTACCAGAAAAATCTAACATTTCAATCAAAATCCAGACTTCATATAATTATTGTGTTTGGTGCAGTCTTCAGTGTCTGTTTTCATTACCCAGGCTCATAGATGGCATCAATATTACCAATGATGACCAGCACATGTGGCTGATCCCTTTCTCCTATGGAGAGTCCCACACCTTGAACGTGACGTTCAGCAAGGCCCAGACCATCGCCGGACTTCGTATCTGGAACTACAACAAGTCCCCTGAGGACTCATACAGAGGGGTGAGACCCTTTACTGTCGGGCTCAAACAGTGTTATGTGCTATGAAGGTGCAGTTGTTACAAGAGACCGAAGTTCCTTTTAAATAATAATGGTAAACCCAACATAGCAAACAATACTGTACAAAATAAGCTGTTAAACAACTAAATGTTATAAGTGTTAACATTTAACAAGAAAGGTTCTATTCAGGAGACTATAAAGAATCCATAAAACACACAAATCTCTACATGTTTGCTTCAGGTGAAGGTGATCCATGTGTTCATGGATGATGTTGCCATCTCCCCATCGGAGGGATTCCTGATCAGGAAAGGACCAGGCAATTGTCACTTTGACTTTGCCCAGGAGATCCTCTTTTTAGACTTCCTCCAGACGCCCAGCAACAACAAGAATGCAGAGGACTACCCCAAGTAGGAGCCAGATATTTAATGAGCATATGCTGTTATTTCATAAGAAAGTTTGAACACTGCATTTCCTAATTTATAATGTTGTCTCATATTCAGAGGAAACTCTAAGAAACAAGAACAGGCCAGCATGGACTATGAAGCTCCCATCATGCCTTGTGGGTGTATCCTTCTTACACTGTGTGAACAGTTGTGTTTATTGCTGCTGTTTGCATTGTCAATTCAATCACATTGGATTTACATGTTTAGGAAATATGAATACATTTGGATTAGTGCTGGAGCATTTTTTCATTCTCAATTAATCTGCTGATTACTGTTTTAAGGACTAATGTGTAGGATTTAGTGGCATCTAGTGGCTAAGTTGCAGATTGCAAGTAACCAAACACTGCTTGCATCTGTATTTGATGGCTTGGGAATGAGAACAGGCAGTGAAGTGTGTAGAAGAAACTACTGTGGTCAGCGCCCAAGTTTTCATCTTCAAATGATTTGTCTGAGCAACTGTTGGATACTTATACTGATACTTACAGTTGTTGTTAGTTGCAAGTTGATACTGCTCTGGTTTTAACACTGTTTTGTGGTGCATTGCAAGTGACATAAAGGGCAGTAAACGTCTTCTCTTTAGATTTCTCTTATTTTCAAATCATCCTTTTTTCTACTATGCCAAACGTGGATTGGGGTCGCCAGCCAGAACACACTTTCTGTGTGCCATCATGAATTCATAGCAAATGGAGGATCTGTTCTGATGTTTTGTAAAGATGAAGGCTGTGTCCTTAGTCCCTATTAATTAGACACTATGTAGTTTTTTACCACAGTAAATTTGCATTTATAGAGTAGAGGGTAGATATAGTGCACTATTTAGTATATAGGGAGCGACTTTGGACACAGCCCAGGCCTGATGTGCTGTACATGTTGTTTCATTCCTTGACCTTTACCCGTCAGTCATCTTTCAGCTGCAGCTGTTAACAACCTGGGGGGACCCGTACTACATCGGGCTCAATGGCCTCGAATTTTATGACCAGAACCATGAGAAGATCAGTCTCAGTGACAACAGTATCCTTTTTTACAAGTTAACATCGACCTTCATGCCTCTGTCTTCACAACCCTATATATATATCATCTTTTCACTTTTAATCTGGTTAATAATTTGTGGTGTAAATCCACAAACATAAAGTTACAAACTCTGAATATTCTCTTATCTAGGGGTATGAATATTAAAACCGACTCTGACACCATGAGGGATTATTGTGTTCTGGCGCCACAGACTGGTCAGATCAGAAGAAGATGCTATAATGAGGAGTTGCAATGAAACAAATTCAGACATATTTCATCAAATATTTCTTTCTATGTCGTGTCAGTGCCGACAAAAATTTTTGCAGTCACAGTAAAGTGACTTTACTTCAGTGTGGGATGGAAAAGGAGACTTAGAAGAAGGAGACACAGTAAGGTTTAAACAACTAAAAAGTTAAAACTGCTACACGATCAGTCCGGTTTTGAAGATATGCAGAGAGGGGATGCATACAGTTAACTGCAAATGAATAGCTGTTATATAATATACGTTAGTGTCTGTTCCTCAACACCATGTCCACCAGACATAGCTGCTTTTCCAGACAGTGTGAATGTACTGGACAATGTGAGCGGTGATGTGAGGACTCCAGATAAATTAATAGATGGAGTCAACAGTACCCACGATGGAAGACATATGTGGTTAGCCCCGGTGCTCCCTGGACTGGTGAGGATTTAAGAGAAAGAATAAGTGGCCACAGTGCATTCAGTTGCCACACTCAGAAGTTTGTTTTCCAGTACTTAGTGTATTGATTGTTTCCACATAGGTGAACCGTGTGTACGTCATCTTTGATCAGCCAGTGACGGTGTCCATGATCAAACTTTGGAACTACTCAAAGACAACACACAGGGGAGTAAGGGAGTTTGGGGTAAGCCTCTCTGTCAGACGGACAGTCACTTGTTTTTTCATATTTGGACCACAAGCATTAGTCAGTGTGTCTGTCTGTGTGTGTGTGTGTGTGTGTGTTGTGTGTATGTACAGCTGCTGGTGGACGACCTCCTGGTGTATAACGGCATCCTGGACAGTGTAAGCCATGTGGCACACGGCATTCTGCCCACCTGCGATCCAGTGGTGCCCTACCACACCATCCTGTTCACAGACAATGCCTACATCACACAGCGTGAGAGGAACACTGTCATCAGGTACCCTGCATGTTTATGATGTAGATTGACTACTTTGTATTAATTCAACACCATTCGATGTGCAGTTCAAAGTCTAAAATAGAGAAACTAATGGATTGACAAAGAAGGTTAGATCCAGCCCCACTGTCACCAAAGCAGGGAGTTGTTTTTTGAACAGAGATGTGCTCTTCTCCACCTCAGCCCCCGTGGCAGAAGACACCACCAACAGTGAGTAACAGAGTCCCTAAAGGCACCCGTGTCAGCACCTCCCTGTGGTCACCCTTGTATTGAAGAGTCCTTCAGTGCCCTCAATTGTCCCCCAGCCATCCCACACCCTCCTTACCACACGCTTGACTTGTGATGCCTCCGTCCCTCCTCTCTCCTTCGTTACTCCTCTAGCTCCATCTTTGGTCTCAAGGCCTGGACCCTTTGGCTTCAAGCTTTGTTATCAGTCAGCCCTCCATTTTGTGTCTTTTCCCAGTTTGCCAAAGATGCAACAAATTCACTTAAATGTTTCTGCTGCGTCTTTATTTTCTTGCTGTGTTGCAGTAATTACGTGGAGGATCAGGATGTGAAGATGACCAATGAGAATCAGATAGTCCATCACAACAAGAAGAAGCAGACAGCAGATCCAGGTCAGTCAGGGAAACAACTGGACTGCTTGTGTAGTAAAATAACTATTGAGTCACATGTTAATGTGCTAATTCTTAACTAAAGGGAATTTGTTCTGCCTCAATGCAGCTCTTCGGCCTAAAACCTGCATGACTGATGGTGGGAAACACGGAAAGAGGAGGTACTGACAGACGAGCAGACAGACAGGGGTCATACGAAGAGAGCAGAACTGAAAGGGACGAACTATGGCTCACTTTTTAAGCCCACTTTTAGGTGGGTGACATGAAAAACCTTCCTCACATTAAGACCCAAAGCTGACACCTGGCCATGTTCCACACTGAAGAGGACCTTGCTCAGATAACAATGGTTTTGCACACACGCACACACACACACACACACACACACACACACACACACACACACACACACACACACACACACACACACACACACACACACACAGGATTCCACTTTATGGTTGGATTACTCCCCTTTCCCTTGCTGTGAAAACACGCCCACCCAGATACACGTTATCCTGTACTGTATGGTTGTCCCGGTTGTCCCTTCCACAGTGCCAGGATAAACCTGTGAGGCTGCATTTTTTTATCAGCCCTATTATTGTGCCTAGTACTAAACACTATATCTGTGGCTGCTACTTGTGTCTTTCGTGCTGCATATTTAAATGCTGCTTATGGCGTGTAAATACTTAAAAAGAAAAAAAAAAGCTCCAAGGCCACATGAATACACTCTCACATCAGGATGTGGCCGATGCTACATTTACTAATGACTTTTATCCACTGATGAGCCTAGACGATCAGCTCTTTGCCTAGTGGGTATTAGAACTGACTCCCGCCAGTGCACCAACCAATCGTAACGCTATGCAGACACTAATTTATATCTATTAATAATTTATATCTGTTGGCTAATATATTTCAAAGCCTAATGGTTTTACTTGGGGAGGTGATTCCAGACAGGTTTTCACCTTTTTGGAACATTTATATCGATGGCTAAAGTGGTACACTTGTAGTTGTAAAACAGTGCAGTGGTCAGATTTTTGTAGAAGCTTCAGACTAACCACTTCAACAATAATTTGGCTTCACAAAATTAGGTCAGTTGATTAACATCAGGTAGAAAAAAAGTGAGTTGTTTGCAATCCAAGTGACCTTTATGGAAGTTGCTATAAAAGGTAGATTGTTTTGGAGGCAAACATTTTTTGAGCCAATAAAGCAGTCTTGGTAATTTGGTTGGAAATCGAAAAAAAAATCTAGATTTGCCAGTTTAGATTTTGAGTAGATTCATTAACAGGAAACTTTTAATATGCAAATACTATAACCTTACCTCAAATTAAGAAGAATGATCTTTAAAAAGGGATTTATCTGATTCTACCTTCATTATAATACTTGGTAGTTGGTGTTGTATTCTTCATTCATTCACTATTTACTATACTAACATGTTGCATGAGAAAGTCTCGTCATCATCCTTACAGTGTTAGATACTTTTATTTGGAGGAGTTTATACTGCTTCATTAAGCCCCAATATAAACTATTTAACACTCCTTGCTCATGGCGGGAGTAATTGTATATGAAATGCAGTTTTATGTATTTAATTTCCGTGCGTCCGACAGCAACAGTAGTCATTACTCTGAAACTCAGTCCTGCTCTGTAGGGTGGTGGCTATTATTGTATGTGTGACATTTAGTGTTTTGAAATATTTAATTATTTTTCTAATCTTGATTAAATATGTATATTTGATGTAGGTTTATTTGAATGAATAAAAATCTAAAAACATATTTGTTTACATTTTGCAGTTGTTTGTTTTAGACTGTCAGCGTGGAAGCATGACAGAGCCACAAAGAACTGCTCAACAGACAAAACCTTCTTAAATGTGGGTGGATGCCTGATCTCAACTTTGTGCTACAGGCCTGTATGTTCAGACATCCTCACACCTGACACTGTTCTGAATGAACACAAGTATTAATTAATACTCCCCTGGTGGGATTAAAAGGTCACCAGTAAGAGAAAAACATAAGGGACAACAGCTACTTAAATATATCCTGAGATACTTTAATGCAGAATCTGCTATACATTTCATGATATTTGTAAGGAATGACCATTCAGTTACAGAGTGCTCCTAGTACAGAGCATCAGCTGTGGAAAGGTGGTGATGGAGCCACGTGGTCTCCCACCACTTAAACAAACATTTAGCTGAGAAGATTATATCTTTGCAGACCAACAGCTTCGGAGATGGTAGTCTTAGATTTTTCCTGGAAAGGTGCCCTCTTCTCTCTGGTCATCCCATTTCTGGACCTAAAGGGATGAAATTTGAGAGGGGGAAACTTATTTTGAGACATAAAGAAAAAAGAAGAATGAGAGAGAACTATTTAAAAGCAGAGTCTCATATGTCTAATTTTGGCCTAAAACTCTCCATGTTGTTTGGGTTCTCAGGACGGAGCAGAGACTCACAGGAATGCGATAAAGTTGTTTGACCCCTGCTAAACAAACTCAGTCCACATAGGGGAGAGTACCGTGTATATATCCTTTTTTGGTTTCTCTCATAAAAAAAAAAAGTTGTGAGAAATGATTTACCCAGGATAAGGGGCAGAGTGATTTGTAGACCCTTTTGTACCAGTCACATGGGGCGGTGTCCACTCCTTTGGCGTCCAGAGCTTTCTGGCAGCGATGATAGTCTATTAATAGAGACACAATAACAACAATGAATATATTTAAAAGCTCATGGCCTCGATCCATGTTTCAAGACAAAGGGTCATGTCAGTGGCTCATTGCTACTGACATGTATCCAGGATTACCTCCAGCCCAGAGGACTACCTGCATTCGGTTCTTAGAGTGGCATTCTTTACCTGAGTTAGATTTGGTACATCATCAATGAAAGGTATTTGATTATATTTTAATATCTACATGGCAGCATGTCTTCATACATTTAACTTGTTGTTAAATATATATTTTATCTTCATTTAGACAGGTGAGAAATATCTGGAACCACAGCTGACAGCTTTGACCTTGGTGTGAAAGTCTTACCCAGATAGTTGGACCAGCAGTTCCTGGTCTGGTTCTGGTTGGGGAATCTGGCATCAAAGGGGGCTGTGCGATATTTCTCAAGTTTTGTCTGAATGTCCTCAGCCATTTTCACCTCTGTCAAGAGAATAGCATCAGTGGATACTGTAGGATGCAAAAGAAAGCCAAAAGCCAAAGCTCGTTTCAACCATACAGTCCCACTGTGTGCAAACACAGCCAGACCGACGTAATGATATATAGCTGTAGGCTAAGTGTGCATATAAACTGCACAGTGTGTGGACTGACTTTATATGAACGCTCTCTGGTTGAACATCAGCACCGACTGCAGGCTCAGCAGAGGACTATGTGCAGATTTAGGGGTGCTGCATGCGGCACTTTAAGGATCTTTCTGGAAATATACAGCTTTTATCCAGTCTCCTTTCACAGAGCAAATCTACAGTGCAATACATCATTAAATCCGCGGCCGGCAATCAAACCAGCGCCTGATAATAATAATAACAGTAAAAATAATAATAATTTTACCCCAAAACGCGAAGAAAACCGAATAGGTGTTAAACGATATTGGCAGACAGCCTATCAACAGCCTGTCCAGCAGGCCTTTACAAGCAGTTCTTCCTAACAGAAGAAAATCAGTTTCTGTTTCTTTTCCATACAAACAAGTTATACTCGATATTTATATATACCCAGGTGATTAATTGCTATTACAAGGTAAAATACATCTTCCGGTAATGGATAAAAAAAAACACAACTCAGATTAGTGATATCATTTTCAGACGCGACAGATTAGCATATTTTTGTACGACTTTTCCCTCATAATGTATAGACTACATTACCTTAAACACATTTGGGCATGTGCCTCGGGAGGAAGAGTTTTTAAGAAAATAATTAAAGACGTGCAAGTAAACGTTACCTTTTTCGTGGCAGTCGCTGGCTCGAGCTCAAAGTGACTTTATACCGGTCGGTGAAAGTGTCTCGTTCCTCTGATAAGCAGTGTGCGCCCCACGCGCGCGCGCTCCGCTCTGGAGATGTTGCGGCCGTGCAGACGTATCATATTGATATGGCGGCCGCAGGTCACATTGAACTGACAGACACACACACATATTATCTCAAGACTCAGACTGTCTACACAGGTCTGCGTTAAATGATGTGCGGGGTAGTGAGAGGCGGGAGCGGCGTGGCGGGGTTATAATACTGTTTAATGTGTTTCATACACGGCTGTGAACTTTTTTTCTTCTCGAGGCGGAAGTGTTCTGCCATTCGGTGTTTTTGTTAATCATTGCACTCAGTATTTGAGGTATGACGTGTGCTTTTATTGGAGTTTTATTAAGGAGAGGTCGTGGTGCTCCTCATCCTTATTCAGATGAAGAAATAACATGAGCGGCTGGCAAATGCTCAGTTCGGCCCAAACTCTGTCTAGGAATTACAGCCTGGTTCGTGTGTGCGTGTGTGTGTGTGTGTGTGTGTGTGGGCGCCGCGGCGATACTGTATGAGTCACATCAAATGAATTACAAGGGGATAGAAAAGCGCAGTCCTTATTGATGCAGAATAACAGGGCAGTTCCATCTAACTTAAGGGGCATTTAAGATACCCAAACTGAAGATTGTGCTGTGGCTCCAAATTTATCCCACTTTTCTGATGGGATGGTGTCAAATGCGACCCAATCATGACCCCGAGGCGTGCAGTTTGGGCGCTCTGTACAGCTCCCCTCCAGCAGCGCCTGAACCTGTCGTGCACGGGCTTTCCAAGAAGGAAATGTCAGGTACGTTGGACTACGTGATCCAGCAGAGCGACTTTCCATTCCCACAAAGTAATTCAGGAGGGCAGGAGTCCGTCAGCAATCGTGCGTCATGGTGACTATACGACGCGCTGTAATTATTTAGGGAGTAAACTAAACCCCCCCCACCCGCCCGATACGTGACTGACTTCAATACATCCATGGACAGTCATGAGCCAGACAGGCGGCCTCATTGGAGTACTGCGCTTGGCTGCTGTGTTCCGTTGCAATGCAGTATACAGGTGCAACACAAGAGGGCAGCAGAGGGTTGCTTTTATATTATTGATTAGGACTATTTTCTTTACTGGTTCTATGGGGTAGCTGGGAGGTTAACTTGTGTTTAATGATAACTTTATATTAATTGAATGGTATTAAGGCATTCAGTATTAGATTATCTAGTTATTGTTTTGCTACGTTTATGACACTATATTGAAGAAACTTATATAAAGTCTCTCTACAGCTGGTCCTATCAAATCAAAAATAAGCAATAAAAGCCCCCAAATAATCTAAATCAGCTGTATGCTAATCATAGAATATATGTAGATAAAATGATTTAATTGCTCTCTGTTTGTTTGGTTTTGCAAAGAGGACTACAACTTCCAACAACTAATAATTAGCCCCAGGTATTTTCTTAGACTTTCATTGTATTTGCTCTCTAATAAGCCATCCTTGAGAATAATCAAAAGCAGTTGTTTTAAAATGGTTTATTATTGCTTAAATTCAACATATCAAGTCAAGAAAAAAAAAAAAAAAAAAAGAGCTCCAACAAAGCCACATCCCACAGGTTCAATATATTAATGTAGAGCAAAAACAAGAACCTCATTTTCACTTATTTAACAAATAGGAATCACTTAGGAAAAAACCCCCCACAGCAATAACTCAACATTACAGAGAACCTTTGAGACTCAAAGGTTTAGTCAATGTGCATTAAAGAGCATCACTAGTTACAGCATCTTGGATTGATTAAGTAAGGGACACGTCTTGATTATAGACAACAGTACCATTGACTACGAGACTGCCTTATCAATATCACAAACAGAATACGAAACAATGTAACATAAAGTCCACCTTAAGGCTGGTTGGTTCATATTTCAAGTCTGTTTTACTGTTAACTTTGTAACTGCATAACTATTCCTTTAAGGCTACTATAATTTGAATTACATAGGAACTACCACCTGTATCTGCTACCTTTTAAAGCCAAGTGCGACATAAAGTTGCATAGATCAAAATAATTATCCAGCCTCCACAGTTTAAAAAAAGAGCATTGCATTGAAGTGCTAGAAACAATACAGCGAGGCAGGTCCTCTTAATGGATTAATCAGCAGGAGAATAGCAATCCAGGCCATGTGATTAGGATCAAACTCATGATACTATGTATGCAGTCAAGTCTGAAAACAGATCATGCCCAGTTTGTCCAATGGAGATCAATGGAAGAACCCTGTCAAACCAAGCCAAGTCTCTAAACACATTTTTTTGGTTGTCAGCAGTTGGAAAGTCATAGCTAGTGTACACACTTTGGTTTTTAGAGTTCATTTAAGCTACCGTACAGTTAGCCGTGCCAAAATGGAGGATGTACTGCGCGTGTCACAGTTGGTCCTTTCACCAATCGCTGAAGCGGAGACGGTTGAAGGCCTCTTTGATGAACTCATTGGTCTCTAAACTTCCGCCGCTGCCAATACGGAGTACATTGCTGTCAGGGACGTCCTGCTTCAGCTTTCGCTTGCTGAGGACCACCGTGCCTTTGGCTCCCTCCGTGTCAGGACCTGTCAGCAGGATGTAGGCAGCATGGCGTCCACGCTCCAACAGTGTGGCTAAGATAAAAACACAACAGCAGGTCACACAAAGAGCTGACCACTGTGTTTCCCCAGCTGTCCAACCACTCGTTCACATGTCATAGCAGTTAAATGATAGTTTCATTAGAGCACAAGAGCAAAACTCACCTTTAAATGTTACGATGTAGTCCATGGAACTGGTTGACTCAAGGAGAACTTTAGAATGGAGAGGATGGAGCATGTAAGAACGTCGGTCACTAATTAATGGCACCTGGAAGGAAACATTTGAGTCAAATTAGCATTTTATGCGAAATCTGTTAACATGCCATTTTTAAATAAATGCAGTTTACTTACAGTTGAGTTGATCTCTGAGGGCATTGTGCCCCAAAACACAAAGATCGAGAAAGAGTTGGTGGTGTGTATTGAGGCGGGTCTCGGTGAGTTAGGAGTGGCCAAAAGGTTGACTTCCCACAGCACACCACCGGACTTCCCATCAAGAATTATAACCTAAACACAAGACACACAGTTAATGAACGATTCAATTCTCCATATGAGAGACACAGAATATAGGTATCACAGCAGTGTTTGTATGTTTAAGACCCAACTTACCCTCTTTGTGTAGTTGCCAATTTCTTCCTCAACCACAACATCAAGCACATCGTCTTTGTTAAAGTGACCAAAGGAAGGCTCTCTGAATGAATGAGAACACAGAGGAGAAGAGTTTTAGATTCAACCAGTCTGGTTATAATACCAGTATATGGTTTAATTTGATAATGCTCTCCCTAAACAAAGTTGAAATGAACAGCTATTAATGTCATTATTGATTCATCTGCTGACTATTTTCTCAATTAAATCAACCATCAACCATTCTGTCTATGAAATGTCAGAAAAAAGTGTAAAATGCCCAAGCTGACATATTCAGATTGCTTGTGTTGTCCAACCAACGACCCAAAACCCAGCGATATTCGGATTACTATTGTAGAAAGTCAGCGAATATTCACATGTGAGAAGCCTGACTAGTACAGGTTTTGCTTCAACAACAACTTAAAAAGGACCAGTGTGTAAGGTTTGGTGGCATCTAGCGGTGAAGTTAAAGACTGCAACCAACTGAAACCGCTCAACCAACTGTGTAAGAGAAACTACAGCAGCAGCGAAACCTAAAACACAAAAGGCCCTTTCTAGAGCCAGTGTTTGATTTGTCCCTTCTTGGAAAAAATTCAGGTGATTATACACTAATGAAAACATACCAATGAATATTATATTTTATTTCTGCCAATAGATCCTCTTTATGTCACACATGGGACCTTAAATCAACCAATCAATCAATCAATAATCATAATGGTTGCTAATTGCTTTTCTGCTGATCGATCCATCAACTAATCTTTTCAGCTCTAAATAATTGATGCAATAAAAAAGAAAAAAAAAACAACAACCTGAGGACTGAGCTGGAATTGAATCTCCACAGTAGCTGCAGATTTTTTCCGTTGACTAATGCGACCTCCTTCCCAGTCACAAGCAGCAGGTTGGGTGAATCATCTGTTTCTCCTGTTCTGAGCACTTGTCTCATTGAGTCAGACCTACAACACAGGAATAAATGTTAGCAAAAGTCTCAATGACGACTCGCTGTTAAGTGAACCTGTGCTGCTGAGGTGATAATCAACAAGTTAATGTAGGCTGCTTCTTACTTGTAGATGGGTACGAGGCCAGATGTTGTGCTGGCGTTCTTCTCCCAGTGTTTATCCTTCTTGAGGCCCACCTCTATCCCTGCCTTGGCAGCAATCCTCCACAGTGCCAGTCCATACAAGCCAGTGTCTGTGAATGAGCACAAGATTACTCACTACTGCTACTGTACAACAGTTCTTTTATTCATTCGTCATTTTATAAAATAAAAATGTCAAACACTCCAATAAGAATAAATGATACTTGTATGTATATATTGCATGACACAACTTTTACTGAATATTAAGCTTCACCATAACACTGTGATGTTCCCCCATGACCACCTCTCTACTCTCTGATCAAGTGCCAGCATTTTCTACAATAGCACTACTCCTGACAAAAATAGCACACACCCTGAGGACAGTTTTAAGTTAAATCCCATTGGTTTCCAGATACATACTAATAAAGGCTTTTTAACCTTGGGTTGGATTTTCTCCTCCAGTCCTACAGAGCAGCTGACCTACTTCAAATGTCTGACACTTCTTAATTACTTTAATACAGTGCAGCAGTCCTCCATTAGGAAATACTTAACTGGTTTGAGTACAGATGTGCTGTAGCCTATCGTGACTGTCACAGCTGATTGCAGATACAAACCTTTTTGTAGCAGTATGTAGTGAGAACCTTCTGTAGTGTAATGGAGAAGATGACTGGCTGTCTCTGTGGTGTCAAGAACCACCGTAGAACCAATCTGGACACCCGTCTTCCCTGAGAGGAATACCAGCTGAGTCTGCAGATATGACAAGTGACATTGAAATTGGGTCAATTCTATTGTGCAGCATTTCAACAGATTATTTCACTGCCTGGAACATATTTGAGAATACAATATACAGCATGACTCCATCCTTACAATGTAGGAAATGAGCAAAGCAAGGAAACAAATGCAGCACTAATAAATGACATTACTGAGGTTTACCTGTGAGTTGTCAGATGCCACCAGAGCCACATCGCTGACCTTGTCCCTGTCCAGATCTGGGACACTAAGAACAGGCACAGTGGTGTGCAGACCAGGAGGATGAGGCTGCTGCCACATGACGTCACCTGTACGTCACACACACACACACACACACACACACACACACACACATGGAAACTCTCAGTCTGACTGAGTTTATATGATTTTATAACCAAAACTACAACTTTTTTGAAAAGTTGAACTTGAACTTGAACCTGGGAATAGTGACAAAATAATCTTAACTCAAGGCCCACTTACTGACCTTTCTCTGAGCTTTTGCATCTCAGGGATCATCAGTAAATAGATTTTCCTCAATTTTGTGCAAAATAAAATTTTCTTCCTACTAAAATGTATTTCTTTAATGTTAACAATGCTTTAGTTGTTAAACAAATCCAACCTGGGGACAATAAATGGACTGCAAGCAATATAATAATTTTAACAAAAAAAACATAGCATCAGAACTATCTGTAAGAAAAAAAAATCTATACATAGGGGCTGAAAAGATTTGTATGTCTGTCTTAAGAATAATGAATTAATTAAAAAAAGAAAACAGGAATGACTCGTTTTCAATGTAGGAAACTTCCAGGTTAGTTTTGATGCTATGACTGCATAGATTTCTATACATTATTAAAATGTGAGTCACTAACCAGTGTATTTGTCAATGGCTGTGAGTTGGTCAGAATGGGACAGCAGACAGTCCCAGGTTCTGCTTGCATCTTTGTTCAGACCACACTGGGCCCAGTGGAATTCAGGATCCAGTGGACGCCCCCACAGGGTCTCTCCATCGGTCCCATCCACCGCTAACACAAACACACATGGCGAGGGCAGACCTGGAGAAAAACAGTGGGAGAAAAATTAACAAAAACATGATATAGAGCCACCACATAGACAGCTTATTCCCTCAAAAGATTAAATTACACTTTATACCTGCACCAGCACATGTATTGTTCTGACTGCCTTCTGTGTTTTTGAGGACAAACAGGACATCCATCACCTTGTCCTTGCTTGCATCTTCAATAGCTAAGAAGTCATAGGTTGCTGTGGTGGAGAAGTAGACAATAATAGTTACACATTTGCATTTTAAACAATAGCAAACAGTGAAAAGCACACAAATGTACACACCTGCTTCAGAGAAAGTCCTGTTCCAGGAAATGAGATACTGCGGTCTGACAGGACAGGGGATTATGAAGGAGAAGGCAAACACTATGGTGAGGCACAGGAACAAGGAGAGGAAGAACACTGCAGTTCGCCAGTGGGTCAGCTTGGAAAAACCCAAGACTTCCTTACAACTCTTCTTCTTCAGCTCTGTAGCTGATGGTGCAGTTCCTGTCTCTGCCCCGTCTTCTCCCCTCTTCAGAGGGTCGCCCTCAGTGGCACTGTCTGTGGTCTCCATTGTCTCCTTAATGCATTACCGGCCCACAGATCTATTCGATAGGGAGAAGAGTTTACAGTAAAAACCTTTTTCAATATAACGCTGATTATAGATACAAGCTTAAATGACCCAACCCTGTTTATTTACTACCAAGGGGATACTCCCATTATGGCGTACAGTTTGCTCCTGTATCTGTCCCAGAGTAAACTACAAACTGTGGCACTCACAGATATAGCACATGAAAAAATACTGAAGGCAGCAGTGTCTATCAGTCCAGCTATTTCTGCTGCATCAACCTTTGTGGATCTGAGCCTATTCAGGCGTGCCAGCACTGACTCCAGTGATTTCTCAGCACAAAAACCATAATAATGAATAACCATCACCCAGGCTAGCACATCCTGTTATTTGTTCCCTAGCCGCAAGCGTATTACTCTCACAGGTAAGCAGGTTATGTAAATTAGCAAGCAGATCTACTGTCAAAGATATTTAAAAATCTGATAATTTACCGTACGATGTTAGCGTAACCCAAGAGGAAGGATTTCTCCAAGTAGTCAATATCGGATAGCTATCATTGCTAGCGAGCTTGAGTTTGGTAACAGCTGGTAAAGTTGCTAACTTGTTGAACAAAGTCCAGCCCCCCCCCCACACACAGACAGAAAGCAGGAATACAGGCTAACGTTATCGCAATTTAAGTTCAATGAAGAATTAAAACTTACTCGATTAGACTTTCTTACTTTGCTGTCCGCTGTCGTCGGTGGCCACTGGTGCGGCTCACTAGCTACAGAGCTACAGGTAACTAGTAGGCCTGAAGCTGCCTGTCAACGCTAACTACGTAAACAAATCACAGGCAAGCCCACTTTTGTTGTGAGGTTTCATTGCCTTTCAGTTTGTCTCTCGGGTAGCTAGCGCCTTCTGTTTGCCTGTGTTGAATATTTATAAAAACGCTGTCAAAACCCCCCAACTACGACACTAACCTTAACATTAACCTTCCCTAACACAAACCTAAATATAAGTTGTCGTTAGGGGAGACACCAGGGGGACGGCAGCCTGTGAGTAGCTCGTGCCTGAGAGGCTACGTTCAGGGCACCTGAATCTATCCTCGGCACAATGTTGGGTTCGGGCCGCTCTGATTGGTTCAGTGTTTGGTTCGGGCCGCTCTGATTGGTTCAGTGTTTGGTTCGGGCCGCTCTGATTGGTTCAGTGTTTGTTTGAAGCCGCTCTGATTGGTTAACTCGCTTGTCTTCAAACGTTACAGTTGGACACTTTCATACTAACAGCCCTCCCTGTAGCATTAGCTAAACGGAACTACAAACAACAGGCGCTGTCGTCATTTCCCTAATGTGAAACGGAAACTGGCTAGTTCACGAAATTGAGAAAAGCTGCGAGGGGTGATGCTTGGACGAATAAATAATCAAATAACCTTACAGAAATACTAAGAACTGTTTTCAGTTGCTTATTTTTTATATAGCGCTATCGACTGAAGACCAACCACAATGTCTGCCCAAGCTCAAATGAGAGCTTTGCTCGACCAGCTAATGGGAACAGCGAGGGATGGTGAGTTGCCGTAGCATGCTAGCTGAGCTAGCTAGCTAGCCAAGATGGAGCCACTGCTGCGGCTGGCTTGTGTTGGTGTGTGATGGACAGCATGAATGGCTGTACTGCAGAGGGCTGAGTAAAGTAACGAGACAAGTAGCCTTTACGAATTAACGATAGGATTTAATGTTTGTATCCATTTTAGCTCATTTAAAGAGTTGTCATATTTTTGGTTTAGCCTTTACCACTTTTAGCGATAGCCAAAATCCTAGCTAGTAGCTAGGTAAGCTAACGCTACTGTTTATTGTGAAGTTACGGAAACCTTGAGACGCCACCATTGATCCATATATAACAATTGATTGATATAATGTATCCAGCTATCACTCTGTCAGTGGATAACGTTAACACTACCGTGTTACATTCACAATATGAATAGTTTATACTCTTGTACAGGACACGATGGCTAGACGTCGCATTAGGCCCACCAGTTCTTGCTGGTTAACCAGGTTGACCTGGTTGTTCAACATTTTTTACTTAAATATTTAGGTAAATAGTTGTTCCTGAGTCTAGAACAAACTACACGACCACTATTTGCTTGGTATTTCATTATGTTTTGGCTTATAATAGCCTATTAAGTGTACCTGTAAAATACAAATGCATTAAGAATAAATTCTATCATCTTGACAATATAACTTAGTAGTTAATATAACTACTGTTGTCTTTATGGTGCTTTGACGTGATGAAATGAAAATTTTGTGATTGCTTTCCAGCTATATGGATACAGACATTAAAAGGTAAATCAACTGTCAAGTCTGATTATCACGGGCAGAAAACGACAGATTATTGCTGTTCTGCCATTTTATAAATCAGAGGTTCATCCTGACAGTAGATTGAACAGAGCTACAGCCCTGTGGATTATCCTTTTAACAAGTTGATAATTTGACCTGTACAGTTACAGTGAATTTGTGTTGTGAGTTTGTGGGTGTATGTGTGATGAGATTGATATCAAATTCTTCCCATACATTTGTTGCATACAAACTGAACAATTGTGGCCCCTTTATTTTATTCATTAAGGTTCAGTGTATCTTTGCCAGCCTACATCAATCTGCAAAGGAGTTGCAGAAAAGCCTCATGTTCATCGAGCCGTGAGTCACACATAATTTTTAAGCTGTTATGATGAATATCCAAACAATTTGTTTGCCTTCCGGAAGTTATTTTAGCTTTTATTTTAATCACACAAATGGGTATATCTTCAGTGGCAATAGAATTACAATTTGGAGTGGTATTATACAGCTTGAGCTAAGACGTCTGGTCGCGCTGAATCCAAACGAGCAGTGTTTCATTACACTTCTGTTTTCAGAAGGCAATTTTAGCAGTCATCGAAACAAAAACTTTGCACACATCATTTACAATCTGACTTGTGTATGACTCCCAACTTCTTACTACAGGTATGGGCAAGAAAACTGTTCCCATTTATACTTTTCTACAGCGGGTTTAAATTTCTGCTGCTGAGGTCTTGAAGATGCAGAAGGGTACAGTATGTGGTGCAGATCGCAGTGTGTATAAACTAAATTTTTTTCCTTGGATTTCTGTTGCATTTTTGTTTTGAATTTCTTTTCAATGTTTCATTCTTGTAAAAGGCTTGGCTGGAACATTTGTCTGAAATGTTTACATTTCTTATCGCAGTCGCAATAGCAGTCAGTCTTTACCGCATAGTCTAATGTATTGAAATGTAATCAACACTTTCATTTCACACTAGTTAATTGAACACCAAGAATATAGTTATTTATCAGTATTGTGCCACTATTAGCCTAATCTCATAATGATCCACATTTTATAGAGTGGACATTGAGCCTTATCACAAGTTAAACTGAGTTGAGGCTCTCACATCGCCAAATTTGTGTTGAGGCTTGGGTAAGGTAAGCACACAGAATAAGAGGAAGTACCATATACATGCACACAGGTACCTTTACTACTTTAATGTTGACACATAAATAGTTAATAAACGTAGTCCAGCAGAGGCACAGTTACTCTTACTGGTGAATATAATGCTACACTAATGCAAGTATATGCAAAACTTTTACAATCATAAATACAAGAATTGGATTTCACTCATTAAGGTTGCCACAAAATCCTTGCAGTGCAGTTACAATGACACACATGTGCTCAGTGAATTTAGTGCACTTAAAGGAATGTATATTAAAGCACTAGATACCTCGCCCCTGCTAACAAGTATGTGAGGTCTTTCTCACTGGTTGTTTTTTGGACTGTTTCAGGGGATGAGACGCGACAGAGGGTCAAGTTCACTGACGAGCGAGTCTGCAAAAGTCATCTTCTAAACTGCTGTCCACATGACATCCTGTCTGGAACTGTAAGTGGCCAACCATTTATGTCTGCTCTGACCATCATGTACTATAAGTAATTGGGGAAACCTTTTGATATCAGTTTTTCCATATTTGAGTTTGTGCTCATGTCTGCTTGTGTTTTGGTGATAGCGTATGGACCTGGGAGAGTGCACAAAGATCCATGACCTGGCGCTTCGAGCAGATTATGAAATTGCTTCCAAGGAGAGAGATCTGTTCTTCGAGCTTGATGTAAGTGATGTCCTATTATAGATGATATAGCTGTGCAGATCATAAAATTGTCAGTCACCATAATAAAACATAGATTAACCGTTGATGTGACCGATTGCTTTGCAAGATATCGCTATATACTTGTTGTTGTTGTAAAGTCAAGTGGTAAACAGCCAGTGATAGTAGTTTCAGCTCACATCATTTAGCATCCAAACTCACTTGTTATTTTGGAAAATTTGGCTTTTTTAAAAAACAGTTTCTGCTGTGTTTGTAGAGAAGTAGCCAATGGCTAATTCTCCCACCTTAATGGCAGTGAAGTGAGGTGCTACAATAGTGCTTTTCACCAGTACCTCTGACTGGCAGCCACTAAACAGCCTCAAGGACCCCTATGACATTTTGTTTTGAGAGCAGTTACTGTCGATCACTCTGATGATTGTTGAAAATAAGCATAACCCCTATAAGTTTCCCGTGTGCCTATCTATCCAAATCTACCATGTCACATATTTGTTTTTTTAAAAAAACAAATTGTCCAACTCCTAAAGGCGGTGGACCACCTGGAGTCATTCATTGCCGATTGTGACCGGAGGACAGAACTTGCCAAGAAGCGTCTGGCTGAGACCCAGGAAGAGATCAGTGCTGAGGTGGCAGCAAAGGTGAGCCACAGAAGTTGACATCTAATACCATGTATTACAGTTATACTCATATAAACTGAGTCTTTAACTTTTTGCAATAACAGTGTGTTTCGTGATAGAAATTTCAGATGTAAATTATATTTTTTGTGCTGTGTCGCAGGCAGAGAAGGTTCATGAGTTGAATGAGGAAATAGGGAAGCTCCTGGCCAAGGCTGAGCAGCTCGGAGCTGAGGGCAACGTTGATGAGGCCCAGAAAGTTCTGCAGGAAGTAGAGAAGGTCCGCACTAGGAAGAAGGATGCAGAGGTGAGGAAGGAGTATTTGGCAGGTGCTTCCACCTTAAGGGTGTGTGATGCTTTTCCTTATACTAATAAGTCCATATTTTGATCCTTTCACGCCTCTTTCTTCAGGAAGAATACAGAAACTCCATGCCGGCGTCCAGCTTCCAGCAGCAGAAGCTTCGGGTGTGCGAGGTGTGCTCTGCTTACCTAGGTCTCCATGACAATGACCGTCGTTTGGCCGACCATTTTGGTGGGAAGCTCCATCTGGGCTTCATCCAGATCAGAGAGAAACTGGACCAACTAAAGGTATGTGCCAGCTTGTTCCCCCATGTGTGCTATTAAGCCATTAGTATAAAACTCCTAAAAAAAAAACAAGTGTATCAAGGACACGGGGCTGATTAGAGAAAATATACAGGAAAGAAAAAAAAATCAAAAAATCGCTTGAGGTTTGGATAAAGATGCTGTCACCTAATTGGGTACTGTGTTTTTATTTTGATCAGAAAACCGTGGTCGACAAGCAGGAGAAAAGGAACCAGGAGCGCTTAAAGAGACGAGAAGAGAGGGAGAAAGAGGAAAGGATGAAGAAGAGGTGAGTAAAGATATTTAAAATCCTGGTGACATTTATGGAAGTTAATTTGTTGTATAAAGTGTCTAATAATTTTGGCATCCACTTACTTCACAGGACCAGATCACGGAGCAGAGAGCATAGAAGGTAAGACATTTCTCCACCAATCTACATTTTGAATCAGTTAGTTTGGAGTCTGATTAAAGGGGCTATCTGAGGTCAATTATAACCTGTGCGTTATTTTTATCAGGTCCCGTTCTCGTGACCGCAGACGGAGACGCTCGCGCTCCTCATCGAGAGACAGGCGCCGATCGCGCTCACGCTCCAGGGAGAGGAGGAGGAGGCATCGCAGCCGATCCCGCTCCCGCAGCCGAGGACACCGTCACAGCCACGAGCTGGGCTCCAAACACAAGTAAATACACAACAAAGCTAACACAGTTCTCAAAGCACCCACAGAAAGCCATTTCCAAGAAACTCCTCCAGCACATTTGTCACGGGGTGCACATGTTTTTTCATGATTGCAGCTTTTTTAGACACGGTGTTGTGTTTTTCTGAAGACAGTTGAAAAGTGTCAGGCATGTTGTGAGAAGTTATAGTTATATCACTCCGCATCATTCAGTGGTGACACACCTCGTCCTCAATCATGAACTTCTTCAGAATGTTGGAGCTCATAATTGGCTCTTCACAAACACACTCATTCTTTCGCTTTCTACTTCTTTCCTCTACATGTTTGTGCTTGTATTACTTCTCTGAATATCCCGTACGGTCTCATCACCCAGGTCGTCCAGGGACCGAGAGCGCTCATCCAGAGACAGGTCACGGGAGCGAGACAGGAGGGATGGCATGAACGGCAGGTCGGAGTCCCGCCGGGCAGATGACAGGGAGATGGGGGACCTCTAAAGACCAGACTTAATCAATCACGACACACAACCTCCCGTCTCTCTCACCTGTCTGTCCATTTATAATAACCTAATGTCACACACAGTCCTTGCCTTGATCCCTTTGTTCTCCCGCCTGCCTCCTTTCTTTGCTTTAACAGTTAATGCAGCCAACCCAGAGTGTATACCTGAAATTGTATGGATTAAATTTTCTAGCATCCAGATATATCAGAAGATGGCATTGGATGGAGGGGGTTAGTTATCGATCAGTAGTGGAGTGTATTAGAATGCCCACATCTGTAATCTGGTGGCTGTCTGTATCCAATACATCCCATGTCTTGTTTTAAACCACCTACAATGATTCCAACAGAAAAAGCCAACAAACTGATGGGCTGAAGCGTAAAATGTAACTGATCCATATTTTATTATTGACTGATGGTCTTTTGATACAGAATCTGTCTGTAAATATGTTTTGGGCCTACTGATTATCATGGTCTGAGAAGCCTCGTCCAATTAAGAAGTTTGGGGTTTTTTGCCCCTCGCTCTGAAGATTTCTTTTCACCTGGTAAATGGCAGTTATTGTCGTACAGCTCGAGTGCAGTACTCTTGAATGTCTGTCCACATATACCTAGTTTGCTAAAGCCCAGTTAAAGTTTTAGGAACCCAATTCAAAACCAAAAGGTTTTAAAGTTGCGAGTATTAGTATCAATCTTATTTCTCCCCATGTCTTCTTTTCTTTGGTCAACTTTTATTTTGTTGTCAGTAGTGAAGGGAATCTTTTTGAGAGTCGGCCAGTATAAGTTCATGCTTGTTTTTGAAGTATCTTGTTTCTTAATTTGTTTCTATCTTGATTTCTTTTATTTAAAATAATAAATGGTTACTTCAAAGTTGGTGTCGGCATGTGAAGCAGTAGGTTCAGAAATGATACATTGGAAATACAATGCTATAACTGTACATACCTTTATTAATTAGTCAAGTCATACATTGAAATTTTGGCCCAATCTGGACAAATTCCATGTGAATAGACTTATAATTGCAAACAGATTTTAATGGATGCATTGCTTTAACCTAATGTGTGAAGTCATATCTGTTTATGTTCTGCTGGAAGTCTTTCTTTAAAGTCTCAATAAAAAAATAAAAAAATCCCACCATTTTAATTTTTATTGTCTTTCTTGCCAAAGTCCTGTCATTGTCTGCATGTTAATCATGGTTGAATGTTATTTTACAAAGATAAATACATTTCATTAAGTTAGTCTGTACCTACTTGGCATAACTGAGAGATAACTATTCACAAGAAAATCACATACATTACAAATAGTGTACTTTAATGTTAAAATATTTAATCTGAACAGCGCCTGCTTGCACTTAAAGCTTACATTCCTGATTTGCTGCCAAATACTTTGGTTTTAAGATGAAGTAATTATAGCATGATGGTCTTCACTATGTTGGAAGGTCAAGTCACCATTGCGTGTTTGTTCTCAGGTGAATATAATTAATAATTCAGTTCACTCTTGAGTGACAATGCCACCAGAAGAACACGATCCTTCATCTGCAACTCTTCATGTTGTAGACGCCTGCTGCTCACAATGTGCTGCTCTCCAGTTTCAGATCAACCTTCATTTTCTGTTTCTCCATGACTGCCTCCAACTCCGTGGCTCTCCGGGCATCCTGTAGAAAGCAAAAACAAATTAGGACAGATGAAGGAATAAAGGCGCTGTTTGTATTAACCAGTGTCTGATATTCAAAAGGCGTTAATGTGGGCTATGAGGGTGACTAGAGACATGAGACCTAATTTAACATTCAGGTTTAAAAATAATTAAAAACAATCATGACACAACAAACTGACTGACTCACAGTAGCATCAATAAGATGGCCAATCAGTAAAATAAGAATTAATACTCACAGAATACATTTATATTGTAATTATTCCATGTTTCTGATGGTAGGTAAAATTTGTCTTGGATAGCCAATAAATGATAATACAGATTGGGTTATATTAAACTAATTTAGAAATTAATATGACTTCAAAACAAAAAGTTGTTCTCTGCACACTATTGAATATTGATTTGCTTGATTACTGGTCAAATTTAGTGGTCAATTTATTTGTCATTGATAAATGTTGATAAGAACAGGGAAATGAGGTACAGCATTGAAGTAGCCATAGTTTTCCTTTAATTTACCTCCAGCAGTGCTTTCTGCACAGTGAGCTGGCTGTACACTCTGGCGCCCTCGTCTGGAATCACAGCTCGCAGCTCCTCCTTGTTGAGGGAGAAGAGCTGGGCACCTGTCAGCACTCCCAAACATGACACCGTCCTGAGGGACAAAACATACAAATGACTTCAAAGTCAGACTCTAGCCAGTTAATACTCTTGTGGAGATGCTATACTGAAAGCTTTTCCATCCTTAAAAACGTTCTATTGTAATATCAATCCACCCGTACCCACCGTACATTGATACAGGAAATAGTTATCAGTGTTAAAAGAATGTGGTCACTTATGTTGACATTTCAATGAATAAATGGCATCGTACTGGCAACACTCCCAGTGTGTAAACAGGTCTGTAGTCAGCAGATGACACGTCACTCACGGTTCACTGAAGCCCTTCCCTTGGAGCCACTCCGCCACCTCCTCTGGAGGAGAGTGGTAGTCCAGAGGAACAGAGGTCTCTGAGGAACGAGGGATGACCAGAGGTTTGTTCAGACTGGTCTTTCCGTTGGTCAGCCTCTGGAGCAGCTCGTCGTTAACCAACATGACTGAAAAGATGAAGAAGTGATAGAAGGGATGGTGATAAATAAGCTTTAAATGCCCAAATAATGACTACATGACTTAGTAGGAATAAAATAAATAAAAATCACATAAGAGTAGGGCTGTCTAACAACTACATGATCAAGTACTGATTAAAGTGTACCTTTTGGTGTACTTGTAATTGTTTTTATTTAACTTTTCCCCTTTTTTTAAAGAGCACAACATTTTTGGCCATCCTAAATAGGTCAGATGTGGTGACATTAAACATGAATAGTCTGTTTTTACTCCTTAGAAAAACTGGGCAAACTGCATCTACTGTGGAAAACTGTGAAATGTCAAAAGATCCAGAGCAGCTACTAAATGGAACTTGTGGCTCAGTTTAAGCATTATATTTGGTTATTTTCCATCTTAAAGAATATAATTTCAGGTCTGTTTTCTCATTATTTTACAGTTGGGACAGATCCCTTTTAACTTGGTTCAATAGAAACGTTTTAGTTCTTTAAAAGGTCCCACACTGTCCCCTCTACTGTCCATCCCATTATTTGTTTTTATGCTTTCAATCACACCAATGTCTCCTACACAGCCACATATAGTTTGGTACCTTTATTTTCTGTGTCCTCCGCAGCTGATATATGTTGGCTGTATGGCGGTAAGCTGCGTGGGCGCTGTGGGGAGTGGGTGGGGGCCTGGTGTGGAGCAGGTGGGCTGGGTGGGACTACAGAGAAAGTTTTGGCGAGGGGCGGCGGAGCTGGAGCCTGCGGGAATGTGGAGCACAGAGAAAATGACACTGGACTTCACTTCAGGCGTGTACAGGTGAGACCATACCTCTGTGCTTGTGTGATTTCTTGTTTGTGAGTGTGTTTGTGTCTTACACTGGGGGGTTTGTTGTTTACGGGGCTGTCTATATGAGCCACGGGTTCCAGGATGTTGAAGGGAACAAATCCGATCTGGTTGAAGCGATTGCGACACTTCCACCAGCGCTTGGATGATTCAACCACCTGTCAGACGGAGGAGTTGCTGTCAGTCAGCCTACTGTTGTGAGTGATTCTACAGAATTTTATCCAATGAAATGAATACAAAATGTACACAGTTCTACAAGCTTCATGATGGGTTCCTGAAGGCACCATGAGCAGGTCTTACTGTGTAATTTTACATGCATTGTTTGATTCATTACCTCAAGTGTCTCCCCCTGCTGCACTGAAAGCTCACTGCTGTTCCTGGCTATGAAGTCGTAGGTGCAGCTGTAGAGTCTCTCTGGCTCTGGTGTGCCGCCATGCCTGAAAGGAGAAGAGACCGACACTGTCATCATGCCGTCGGGGGGGGGGATTGTAAAAGCTAACTGATTTGCTCCTTAAAGATGACCTACATGTCATCGCTGATGTGCGTGTTTGGAGGACTGCCTGGCTGAGGTGGCTGGTGCTGCTGTGGGTGAAAACAAGACATTCATGAATAAACAAAAACACACACACACACACACACACACACACACACACACACACACACGCACAAAACAAGCCTACAGAGGGAATGGTGGTGGTTGACAAAATAAAAGTCTCCAAAAGTTTAATAAACAGCAAGAGCTTTGACAGTTTCCTTTTTTGTAAAGAAAGCTTTCCAAAGAAACATTAGGTAACTAGCCGACAATAGTTCACATTTGCCAGCAGGAACTTTGAAGCAGCAAAAAAACACCGCCTCAAAAATGACTCCCAGCTGTTTTATTCAGTGATAAATTCCTATGATAGTTCATAGCCATGGCCAACACAAAATTATGTATTACTTGATAAAAGAAGCACAAAACCTGGAGCCCTGAGCAATGGAGAGACATTTTTCGGCTTTTCAGTGGCATGAGCTACCTTGAGAGAGCCAAATTGCTAGCATTGTTGTCAATAGCAAATCAATACAAGGCCATTTTAGTGCAAACACGGTCCTCATAAATAAGAGAATTTGCGAGAGATAAGAAAATAAGGAAGATAAGAAAATGTCCACTACATACAGTTTTTAGCACAGAACAGGAAGGAAATTGAGGGAGGAAAGTGCAGCTCTAGAGTTTAATGTACTTGATATTTCTGAATGATTGTGTGTCTGTCATTACATTCAACCCCTGTGTTAGACCTTCAGACACATATTTTGACTGCTCCTCTCTTGTGACACACAATGGAGCGAGAGTCTAACCCATTACATACGCAGGTATTCCATACCTCTTGTTTTACTCTGAGGTCCTCATGTTTGTGCTCTGACTCAACCGGATCCTCCCAAACCTGCCCGTCTGCTCTCAAGGCTTCTGGCTTCCAACCGTCCAGGAACACAGGGGTGTACGGCGCTACAGGCCCTCTGAGCTGGGAGCTGAGGGAGCACAAAGGGTCACGTGCATTGCTCCTTATTACACATGCTTTTTTACTTTATAGTGTAACTAAAACCATAATTACTCTTTAACAGTTTCCTCCAGTTTTTGGAAGTAATGCCAAAGCTGAAATGTTGGTTTTAATTCTGCCAGAACCCACTATTTTGTGGCAATACTAAATGCCTTCCCATTAGACCATTTTCATGCCTGAGAGATCTCAAAATATGTGTTGAATGTGGCCACCATAATTACACTGGTTGCTGGGTTGAAGGATTTATGATACTAAAATTTCCCATTAAAACTTTATGGTTTTGAACAGATCTTTAGAAAGTAATAAATCAAATAAAATTTCCCTTTAGGTTTTATGCTTTCATGCAGCTGCAGAGCTGTGAAGACTCTCAGTCATATGAAAGGTGAATGAGCAGCCAATATTTGATACATATGACATTCGATAATATACATCTATCTGCTTTATTTTTTGGCAAAAAATAGATAAAATAAGATAACACAAAAATACCTTAATTACACCATTAAAATGTTTTTTTTCCCAACACTTAAGTATAATAAATTATCTCAGGAGAAATGAAGTGAAACTGTATTATTATTCTTGACTAAATTTGTGTCATAATAATACCGTGGGAGTGTCCAGTTGGTACCCAGAGACGTCCACAGCTGCATCTCCTCCTCGTTCAGGTTGTCTTTTAGCAGGGTGACGGCAGAGTTGGTCAGGGTGGGGCTGGACACTGAGGCTCCCAGCGTTGGTCCCCCTGTTGTTTTCACCATCTGTTCACACACAGATCACACAAAACCAGTGTTCATGTTAGTTATTCCTGCTGATTGCAAGTTTGTAATCATTTGATAATTAATTAAGCTAAATACAACTATTTTACTACTACAATTTTCTTCTGTTGGAGACACACCCAAAGCCTAATGGACTCATCCACACACACACACACACACACACACACACACACACACACACACACACACACACACACACACACACACACACAGTGACATACACATTGCCAGAGATATGAGGCTGCGTGTTTCCATTCAGGTGTGCCAGTATGCACAAAACACACCCATTCCACCCTTTGATTCTCTTGATGATGACTGAGTCTTAACCTGAATAGAAGAGTTCAGTCATCAAATATCAACAGAGACACACCTGAAATTCCATGCTTGATGCTTTACATTTTATATGAAATTAGTTAAATACTTCAGAGTGCAATGTCAAGAGTACATTATTGTTGTGGCTTTAATGAAAGGCCTATGGATCTGAAAGCTCCTTGAACTTGAAGTTATTAGAACTAAGATTTTGTCATATTTTCTCATCTGATAGCACTTGTTTTTGAAAAAAGTCATAGAGGAACCATTTTTGACAGATGGAAAACACCAGGGCTGTAATTCAAAGCGGCAGTCAGGGGACGGCAACGTGGCATTTCTAGCAATAAGCAAATGTAAACCAAATGTTCTGGATCAAGAACCCATGCCTGCCTACAAACACTGCCACGTAAATCAGATCAAACAAATGCTGAATTTATCACATGTTTGGAGTTCCAAAGAGGCTAACACACAGGGAACTGCCTTGTGTAAATACTGAGTGGAACTTAAAGTTTCTGGCAACATTACTCAACTACACTGACGACTTTCCATTATTTTGACATGACACATGCTCAGCTCAGGTACAAACATACTGCCCATTATCCTGGTTTTGAACCATTATCTTCAGGTAAATAATTAAAATAACATGTTATATACATTATATAACTTAATTACCATGGCAGTCTCCAAACATTATCCACACCTTTATCGTCTCTCCCAAAGAATAGATAATGAGACATCATGAGACACACGAACGCTAGATTTATTTTAAGATGTCACATTTGACCCAGTTTTGTTATCTGTGCTGCTATAAAAGACGACGCCTCGTGTTTACAGCATTAGCAACAACAGGTGTAGCCCCCATAAGCCTGGCTGGTGACATAGAGGTTATAATGCTCACTCACCATATCCAGAGGTTTGAATACATGGTGAACAAGCTCCTCTGATGAAGGATTGGAGATGGTTGATTTCAGACGGGCCTATAAAGAAATAGAGGCATTTACTATGTAGCACATAAAGATAACCAAAAGAAATTAAATGTGGTCTGACTGAATACACACCAGCAGGCTGAAGCAATATTTGAATTTCTGGAAGATATCTATGAATTCCTCCTCTGGCGGAGGGCGGGCCTTTGCAGTGAGTAGATCTTCTGTAGTTCAGAGAAGGTGACACACAAAACACAAGAAAAAAGGTCACCTACGGAACAAGTTTTCATACAGTTTCAAGTTTTCCTCATTTTGGTTATGTTTCAGACTCATCTTAAAATGGATTCCCTTCATTGTTTTTTCATCAATCTACACACAATGCCCCACAATGTCAAAGCAAAAACGAGTGGAATGTTTTATTAATGCATGAAAAATAGTTCTGAAATTTTCCATTTACATAAGACCCTTTGTTGACACTTGAAATTGAGCTCAGGTGCATCCTGCTTCTATCAGTGGTCCTTTGAGATGCTTCTACAACTTGACAACTTGATTGGACACGTGCTGAATTAGATTCATTGGACTTAAGTCAATTTAAAGGTCTCAAAGTGGATGGTTTGTGTGGAGAGAAAAGCAAGCCATGAGGTCAAGAAAACTGGTCGTACATCTGCGAGACAGGATTGTGTCAAGGTACAGATCTAAGGAAGGATACAAGAACATTTCTGCAGCATTTAAAGTCCCCAAGAGCATGGTAGCTTCCATCATTCTGAAAGGAAGAAGTTTGGAACCACCAACAATCTTCCTAGATGGGGCCACCAAGCCAAACTGAGCAATCAGGGACAAAGGGCCTTGGTCAGCAGGTACCCAAACAACAAATTAAATTAGATCCAGGGTTACTTGTGGAGATGAGTGAAGCATCAGCGCAGAAACAAATATTTTAACTTTTGGCCCCCAGTTTCCAGCAGTTTGTGTGGAGGAAACCAGGCACTGAGCAACACCTCATCAATACCATTCCTACAGTCAAACATGGTGGTGGCAGAATCCTGCTGTAGGGATGTTCTAGAGCAATCCTGAGTGAAAACCATTTCCACAATGGAAGGAGTGGCTTTGAGAACGCTCATGTGAGTCCTGCAGTGGCCCAGTCAGAGTTTGGACCTGAACCCAATAGAGCATCTCTGCAGACATCTGAAAATGGTTGTGCACTGACGCTCCACATCCAACCTGAGTTTGAATGATTCTGCCATGGAGAATTGCCAACTGGAGAAACTTCTAATGGTGTGTGAAGTTTGAGGGATCATTTCCAAGAAGATTTGAGGCTGTCGTTGCTAATGGGATATTCCAATCTTTTATTTTTAATAACTTCAAAATCTTGTTATTGCTTTGTCATTGTGCGTATATTGATCTGAAAAAATGTTAAGTGAAATTAATCCATTTTAATCTGAGTCTGAAACATAAAATGAGTAAACCTTTCTCTCTCTTTTTACCTTCAGCACTTTGCTTTTTACTTTTCTTCTTTTTCTTCTTCCTCTGGGACAGCACCGTCACAGCCTCCACAGTCTGCTGCAACTTGGCCATGAAGTTCTCGATGTCGTCGAAACAATGATTGAGGATCCCCTAGGGGAGGGAGAACCAGTTTGTTATGCTGTTCAGATATGAGTTACAGCCATAAGGTGACGGAACAGACTAAAAAAGGTGATGAGGAGGCGTACCACTTCTCTCTCTGCTCGCAGGAAAGAGATGTCAGGCCCGCCGTTCATGCCGTTCGCTGTTGCAGAACAGAGGAGAGGATTCAGTTCATCCATTTTCATTCATGTTCCTGGTGTTTGCTCCATGTGGAATTCCTACCACCCCCTCTTTTAGCCTTGAAACCCACCCCCACTTACACACGCACACACACACACACACACACACACAAAGCAATCTCTGTGCTCCTGAATATCTCTCACTTCTCTATTTCCCCCCTTCTTACCTTCAAATAATTTCAGGGTATTCATGTGAAAAAGTGTCTTTTTCTTACCTCTGAGCCCTGGGTAAGGTGGAGGGTTGATTGGTGGGGCATTTGGAGCATGTGGGATGGGGGGGCTTGGGATTTCAAAGGGGTCGATCATTTCTCCCCCACTCTGAGGAAGCCTAAAGGACAAGAGGAGAGTTTCAAGCCCGCTGCACCCTAACAACATTGCACTACAGGTAATGTCCTTCTTGACGATGACGGCATCATCTCAGGAAACACCCCCCAGTCGCTTAAAGCAGTCAAACACATTCATGAACACACATTTGATTGCAGACAGGCTCATCCTCGTTCTAAAAGCCTCAAATGGACACAGCCTTGGGACTATTTACAACAGGATGACATCTTAATCAGTGGATCCAGCCAGACAAAGCAGTCCTCTATCAATAGACACAATGTGATGACTCTGAAATTCAATCCTTTAGCCCTTATCGCACTATGAAACCACAGTAAACAATCTGACTGTGCTTTCTCATGCCTGTAACCTACATTGCACACGGCACTGTGCTTCAATCTGAATTCTGCTTTTAAACAAATCAGCGAGCAATAAGACAGTTTTAAATTCAAAAGACAAGGACGTGGATCACTGTAGCTGCAAGTGTTTGTATATTTGCTTGCCTACTCTAAGCTATATGCAAACATTTCACAGTGCCGAGTCAAACTTTCTTTCAACTGAATCAGCATCTAAACCCACCTGCCCCGTCTTACCACATGTGTCTGTCCATCACACGTCCTTTAAAAAAGTATTTTTAAAGCAGGTAATCCATTCAGGCCCTGAGCCTGCACACTGCCGTCGTCCCTCCTCTGCTCTCACTGCTTTCTGTCACAATGGCCTTGTTTTCTCTGTCACACCTTCTTAAGTTATGTGAAAACCGGTAAAACAAGTCTTGCTCAGCTGTTTACACTGTCCTCTCTGTCTCTCTCCCTCCCTCCCTCTCTAAAAACAGGTGGATGGTGGCTGCTATGATTCGGTGGTAAATAAGACATAATGGCATTAAAAGAGGAGACAAGCAAGCGCTTTAATGGGGGATGGCTCTGAATTATCATGTATTATCTGTGTCCAACTTTTTGTTTGGCTGCTTGTCTGTTATTATTTGGCGGTCCATCAACGTCCTCCCATACAATATTAAGGCAAACATACAAAAACAGACAGACAGAAACACACTTTCTTCCATTAAGGCATGACAATTGGGCACTTATAAGCTTGAATTTCATAAGGAACAAACATCAAATGAATGGTTCAGTTTTAAAGTCTTCACGAGAGCCATTTTGATTTGTTTCTTCACAGATTTATTTTGTGACCATGACATTCACTGTACCTGAGGGCGTCAGGGAGCTTCTCATTCCTGGTGGTGGAGGAACCAGAAACCGCTTCTGCGATGTTGTCACAGATCTGCTCTGCCTGTGAGAATAAGAATCTGGAAGTGGCATCACTTGTAAAACCTGAACCGGGCTGATGATTCAGAACTGCCACACTGTGTCAGGCAGGACAGACTGGGAATCTCGCTCAGGTGTCATTACTCACCTTTACACTCTCGCAGTTAAAGAAATGAATATCCGGCTTCTTTTGATCTACACCTTGGCAAACAAGAAGGAGGAGGGATGAGAAGTATTTTTCTGTGTTAATGGCGTCGCAGCGGTATATAGATTTGAAAGAGTAGTTCTCCAGCTCATCCTGCATGAGGAGACAAAACAAGGACAACATTATGAATAATAATATGACTTGCATAAATCCCACCTTCATCCATTTACAACCTACAGGCCCTGTTGGCCATAACGCACGTGTTCTTACCTGGCTCTGTGTGTCCCGGAGATGAATGGCTTCTGTTCCAACTTCTAGGAACATCTGTTGACTCCACAGCTTTTTGCTCTGAGCTAGGAAGAAGAGACGCGACTGGGCTTCCTCCACACTCTGCACATCCCCATCCTGGAGTGAGAAAGTCAGCAGGTGCTGCATGCAGAGAGAGAGAGAGAGAGAGAGAGAGAGAGAGAGAGAGAGAGAGAGAGAGAGAGAGAGAGAGAGAGAGAGAGAGAGAGAGTGAGAAGTAAAAGGATGAGGAAAATGTTTCTTAAAATATCCCTTGTGGAAAAAGGTGTGGAGTGTAATGTGTAGCAGACTTACATTAACAAGATACCGTGAGATGTTTGTCATCCTCCACTGCGTCAGCTGCTCTGGAGTCAGAAAGTTAGGGCAGCTTTATATGAATTTACAGCTGGAAAGAGGGTATCAGAAAACATGTTAGGTGGAGGTACAAAGGGTGTTCTTAAAAGGACCTTTGATCCACTTACAGATGCTAACAGTTCTTCTGGTGCTGCTGCTGTTGTTTTAAGGCAGGCAGCAGTTTAATCTTAGCTACACTTTCTCTAAAGAAACAAGTCTTAGCCAATACCTGCAAAAACAACACCCTCATTTAAATGTTTCCCTTCCCCATTACGTCAGCCTGTCCCTCTCTGTGCTTCAGTACCCTGGGATTACGCTGTGTGAGTGAACGAGCCGCCCAACCAGTCTGACAACAATACAGTGTATCTCTCCATTCAATCTCTCTGCTCATCAATACTCGGATCACTGCTATTAAGAGGACACACATCCAGTATCACTCACACTTCCCTAAGACCGGTTTCATTGAAAAGGGATGTCATACTAGTGTATGATATGGTATTTCAAAATAAAAGTCTCAGACAGAGCAGTGACAATAATTTAGCATGACAGTTTCTGCAAACTTAAGTGGAAAAAGTGAAAAAACATTGCAAGATGTTGACTGAACTCCTGTATCAGCACTACTGAGAATTCCTGTTTTGTGAGAAACAACCTTAACACTCTGTTAATAACTATTACAAAACACTAATATCACAACAGCAGCCTTCCAGAGTACTGTGTTATAATGTACTGAATATACACTCCATAGTTAATTTGTATATTACAACACATTTTGGGATGGAAAAGGTCATTATTTTGTCATAATTGTGTAAAACACTAAAAATGTGGTGCAACACGGACATGACCCAAGGCTCAGTAAAGTGTAAAGGATGTTTTTGATTTCAGTGACTCCACATTACATCAAACAGACGAAAACAATATTAAATTAACAACAAGTAGCTTAACACATTACTACACATCACAAAATAAAAAAATAATTAAGAAACAACATTTGACAAAATGTCACACAGTCTTTCAGCTTCTGATTCATGGTTACTATAAAGACTGATGATTGGAAATGGCTTGATCGACTTACCAGGGTTGACTTCCAATACTTTATTCCTGATGTTAACAGCTGTGTGTTTACACTGACAGTAAAACCTGTCCTGCGTCTCAGCGTACCTGCAGGTATCTCACTCCTCACTCTGCTCTCTTTGGTACTGAAAGCCTTTACAGAGCAGAGGTGTGTCACCTTGCACAGTCCCGCCCAGTCTACCACCCCACCTTAAAGATACAAATATTTACTCAGTCTTTCACCTGTTAGGACATATTTGAGAAAACTGAGCAGGGCTGAAGCAACACTGGCAGAACTAAGGTCACGTCCTCTGCATTTTCCCTTGGAATTTGGAACATATTTTTCACTATCTTGTTGCTGCTGTTTACATTCCCCCCAGAGACAAATTCAAAACATGTTTATTTATTTTGATATTTGAATATCCAATATAAATGTAATCTGTTGTTCTAGTGTGAAGGAACTGTGAACCTTTCTTTGATCCTTGAGTGCACACCTTAGAGTTAAAGACTGTAGGCTGATTTCAATATTTTTACACTTAAATTGGACCATTTCAAGCAAACAAGTACAAATTGAACATTTAGTCACAACAATATAACTCAAGCAGTGAACATGAAGTTCCAGCATTTAAACTTTAATGTTGGGAAATATATATAACTGCAACAGTTGTCTTGTGTCTGCAGGCAGATTTAAGCACCTTCATAGCACCTTGGAATCTCTTTTACCTCACATACACATTAGGTTTTGGGGGTGAGGTATGGGGCATCCACAAATACATGGGGGGGGGGATGGGGGGGAATGGGAAAGTGGGGTGTCAAATTTCATAACAGTCCTCAACTGGAGGTGGACAAGTCACAGTTTTATCCGCCAATAGAGGAGATAGGCGGAGTCAGGTGAGGTGGCTGCAAGCGAGATCCGCACTTGACTTTTAGTTTGAGGACATTTGGGATACTTTTTCAAGGATCTCTGCTATTTGATACCACAAGGTATTTATCAGTACTTAATAACTACATGTCGTTGTTTCCCTGCTCGTAGACTTTATTGTTTTTAGTGAGTTGGTAGTGACATATTAGACATGTGTGTTTTATTTGCCTCCAAAACAAGCATACGTGGCATACAGCGTGTGTGTGTGTGTGTGTGTGTGTGTGTGTGAGAGAGAGAGAGAGAGAGAGAGAGAGAGAGAGAGAGAGAGAGAGAGAGAGTGTGTGTGTGTGTGTAACTATGTGCGGTCCAGATAAATGTCACTGTGCCAGGTCAGTACGACTGGAGAGAAGTGCAATGAATCCTGTGGGAATGATCACTAATGAAAAAGAGCAGGTTGAAATTTTGCAGAATCTGAACATTAATGCTGTTACAGGCACTGGTCAAAGGACACGACATGACTCCAGTCTCCTAGAAAACCATGTTTTATTATGACAGAAGCAGAGTATTAAAGAGAGTAACAAAGAAAAAGTGTCTCAGATGAGATGGAGAAAGGGAATATGTGCCAAGGGTTAATGTTAGACAATCTAGGAAACGTGGATAAAAGGAGATCAAATAATGGAACTTTTCATTCCATCAGCTTTGTCCATTTTATAATTTAAGGATGTCCTGCAAGTAACAGACAGCCCCCGCTAGGACATAGCTAATAAAAGGGGGGTGCTGTCCTTACTTTCACTTTTAAACTGTGTAACTGGGTGTAACTGTGCATTTTACACGTGTCGGAAAATAAAATCCTAAGAGGATCGGTGCTTAGGCTTATGCTGCGTTCACGGCTTCTGGTGTGTGTATGAGAGCCTCTGGTAGACAATTTAAAATAAACTAAAAGCTGCAAATAGATTTTAGAGTTTAGAGTTTAGCCAAAATGTCCACGGCGCCAGCCCTTCCATTACAAAATTACAGCAGTTGGTGGAAAGTAACTAAGTACATTTAGGATACTTGAGTATTGTACATAAGTACAAATCTTCTGCTACTATATACTCCTATTCCATTACATTTCACAGGGAAATATTGTACTTAACTAGCCGGTATTATATTTATCTGAGCACTAGTCCATTGCTTTGAAGACCATTTTTTATACAAACTGAAGATGAGCTTATATGACTGATATACTGCTTTACATATAATTATCCAGCAGTATATAAAGTATATAAAATTAGCTTGTATTTTATCTATGTAGAGAACCTGAATATTCTCCCACCACTGCAAACGGAGTAATTTCATTCATCGTCAATATTCAAAATATATTTTATTTGCGCTTCAGTGGGCTGCAGACTCATGGATACAGTGGCAGACAATTAATAGTTAATATTAATTTTAATTATGGGCTTCAGTCATTTATAAAAAAAAAGTCACAGTAATGTGCTCCTTTTCTTTATTTTCTATCATTGTAAATATAATATATTTTGTTGTGTTTATAATTGCAAGTAGAACAAAACTGAAGAAATCTACCTTGGGCTCAGGAAAAATGGATGGTTATTGATTAATATGATATAATTTTGTAGCCGTTTAATTAAAGATCAATCAACCAATCAGTCGCAAGAGGATGCAGTTTTTCTGAGTTGTGTAGCACACGTGTGTCCCTACAGTAGTGTAGTCTACAGACTTTTGTAGAGTCCTTGAAACCACCACGAGTAACTGGGTGGGGTCAGGTTCCCACGCGGAAGAGACGAGCCTACAGATTCACCAATAAATCAAAAGAAGGCGCGAGCGTTGGCGGAATTACCATATTTATCGCATATGTATCTGTTTTTATATGTTTCTGTACAGTTACACGTCGGCATTAAAGTATCTGATATGTTACATTTAATTTAAGAGGCAGAAACAGAAGAATAACAGCTCGCGCTGTGTTTACAACAATGAAAGTGTAAAACCGCAGGCGCACGTGCTCTGCAAGGACCGAAGAATCCAATATTATCGTCGATATTCTCAGTTTTTTGCCATCTGCAGTGTTTCTTTTACCTCTTCGGTGACGACATTAGCCGCTGACAGGTCAGTGTGATTTATCAGAAGTGTTTCTGTGTGTTCACGGTCCACACAAAGACACAATGGCCGAAAATAGGGTCACAACTGTTTGTATTTTTTAAAAGTGAAGATGATGTGAAAATGTGTCATGGCCTAAGGGCTGTAAGTAGTGTGGAGATGTGTTCATTCGACCTATCTAGCCTAATCAGGGATTATTTTACACCTGGGTTGCAAGGCGAATACAATTAGTGTAATTAGGCACTTGGTGGGGCAGCGCGCTGTTTTTATGTTCCTGTACACGCAGCTGGTGTAAACAGTGTGGGCCAAATATTATATATAATATCTCCTATTTGAGCTTATTTCAAATCAGCAACACCACAACTACAGCCTCCAAAATGACCATGATCTTGAATTTACATATAAACGTAATATGATGTATTTCATGCCTGTTATATCAGACTGCACCAGTTTTAGCTACCTAATACATACAATACATACATTGGCAACTGAGTGTACATAAGTTATTGTTTTGTATTTTTCATTCATATTTTAATGTTTTTTTTCAATTTGGTTTCGTTTGAGAGTTTGGTTGCTCGTTTAAATTTAGTTTTTATTAGTTGTAGTTTTTTTTTATAATATGGGAGGCAAGAGTGAAGAAGTTCAGAATAGGTATTCCCATACAAACACTGACTCACAGTCATGTAGACATCCCAGTCTCAATAACCATATGCACAAATGACTCCTCATGCTTGTTGACACAGAAATAACTCAAATTAAATTAAAACCTACAGTCTTCAGTTTTAGACTAAGTAAACAAAATAATTTGTTTTGTTTGTAAATCTGTGAAATGCCATCATTGCTTGCTGGATGAGAATGGTAAGTTTAGTACTTGTAACACACCACAAGTAAAGGCCACAAATGACTAATTTCACCAGTGCAGTGGTGAAATTAGTCATTTGTGGCCTTTACTTACGTACCACCTCACATTTTGACCAGTTTCTTTCTTTCTCTTTTGTACTGTGTTAGATGGAGAAGGAGCCTTTGCCAACAGATGATGACAAGACAGAAACCACAGAGTCCGAGCTCAATGGCTACGCTGGTGAGGAGAGCCAGCAGGGCTCGACTGAGCCCGCCGCTCGAGCAGGATGGAACAGTAAAGTAGAGTATTTTTTGGCTCAGGTTGGATTCAGCGTTGGGCTCGGAAACGTCTGGAGGTTTCCATATTTGTGTCATCAAAATGGAGGAGGTGAGTACTTATTATTATTATTATTATTATTATTATTATTATTATTATTATTATTGTCATCCATGTTAAATGGTTTTCACAAGTTTAGGGCCCATGGGACAAAACACAAATTTTGTGGGTGCAGGATGTACAGTATTTGCTCAAATGAGAGTCAGCGTCATCATCACAGGATGAGCATGTGATGAAAGAGAGACTATTAATATTGGCCTTAACCATGCATGTAAATTAATTAACTACCATATGTATGCCTTGAAGTCTGAGCATTACACCATTTGACATGTTGTTTATAGATCTCTAAACTTAACATTGCTGTTCTGAAGTTTGATGTTCCAACATCTGGTTTCTGTCTGTTGCCAGGGGAAACAATATACAGTAAACTCTATGTAACAATACAAACGAGTCCGTAACAGTTTAATAAGTTGTTGGTTCTGACTGCAACAAGTTGTTGTTTTTTCCTCTTATTATAACGATGTCTTATGTAACAGTTGAGTTTTGTTTGCATTTTTGTATATTAAAACTAATCTTATTAACCCTGGAGGATGGATAAGACTTATTTTCACAAGAACATTGTGTTGCAAGTGGCAGCAATCACAATGGTTCAATATCGGTTTGTCCTTCAGAGTATCAAATTGTGTTGCTCATTTGTTAACGGAGTGCTGGTCTCCTCTCCTCCGCAGGAGCCTTTCTCTTACTGTATGTGCTGCTGATGCTGGTTGTGGGCATTCCCTTGTTCTTCCTGGAGCTGGCAGCCGGTCAGGCCATCAGACAGGGCAGCATCGGAGTGTGGAGGTACATCTCACCCAGGCTTGCAGGAATCGGCTACTCCAGCTGTGTGGTAAGATTGTTAATTGGTTGACCCATCTTCTAACACTATTAGAATGTTTGGTATTTGATGTTGCATGCATACCAGGTGTCAGTCTGCTTTAAAATATAGGATAATCTTGTTCTCAAATGCCCTAAGGTGTGTTTCTTCGTGGCTCTCTACTACAATGTGATCCTTGCCTGGAGTCTTTTCTATCTCGGGAACTCATTCCAGTACCCTTTACCTTGGGAACAGTGTCCAAAACAGGGGAATCTAACAGGTAAACACACAGTATTAAGGTTCAAAACTGACAAGACATGATCAGTTATTAAATTGTAAACGTAATAGTTTGTGTGTCATATATAAAACTAGTAATTGATGATAATTTTTTTCTCTTTGAACCAGTAAAAGAATGTGAAAAGAGCTCCCCCACATCGTATTTCTGGTACCGCAAAGCTTTGGATGTCACAGACTCGATTGATGAGACAGGCTCTTTCAACACTTACATCGTCTGCTGTCTGCTGGCGGCCTGGACCATTGTGTGCCTGGGAATGTTCAAGGGTATCAAGAGCTCTGTCAAGGTAACTGTGTTATTTGTTGTGGCTCCTGGCTTTCAAAGTGTTGATTTTACTATCGAGGAAACTGCTGTTAAAAAGAAGAGATGCCCTGTCTTATTGAAAGGCACTGACTTAATGACAGAATGGCAGTCTGTGCTACATTGTTTGGTCAAATCCCAGTCATGTGTTTGGCTTAGATTTCAGGGCTTGCTGTGCATGAGGGAGTCTCTGGAATGTGTGGCATACGTGTTGACACACAGCAAATGGCAAAATCCACTAATGTAAAATAATGTTTTAAAGCTGCAGTTGGTAACTATTATCAAAATTACTTTCTGGGGTGCACCCTGATAGCTCACCTGGTAGATGTGCTGGGGCCTGAGTCTAGGCCTGAGTCTGGGCCTGAAGCGGTCCAGGGTTGAAGTTCAACCTGTGGGCCTTTGCTGCGTGTCACCCCCCGCCCCCCTTTCCTGTGACTTTCAGCTGTCACTATCAATTAAAAGGCAATAAAAGGAATGGGACTCAACAGTCAACTATCTTAAAGCATCCACCCCACAGTCTCTTAATATCTTTCTTGCCTCTGATTGGTTGTTTTTGTTCAGGCCAGTTGGATTTTTGCAAATGTCATTAGGAGCATTAGAAGAAGCCAGAGGAGCCTGATCAATTAACAAATGATATGTCTCATGTACCACTGTCAGTATGTATTGAAAGTTTCAGCGAAATATGACAAAAAATTAAATTTCAAATTTAAAAAAAATATATAAAAAAAATTACCTACTGCTTTGAAATATTTGGGGAAGTTTTCGTAAATTAGCATTTTTTTGTGTGTTTTTTTTGTTTTCCCTGACACACAACAGCTAATTATAATAAACAGCAAAGCCTTTTGGACAAACCTACCAACATACTGTATCACGCTTTGAAATGATTTGAAAAATTTACTGTTTTATCTTGAAGCTAACATCTAAGGGGACGTTTTATCCCGCTCAGGCTGACATCAGGTTACTGACTTAAGCCCCTGGCCTCTCGATTACAGTGGCCATATGTTCAGTGTGTAAGAAGCAGCAGGCTTTACACTGAAGATTAAAAAGAAACGTCCAGTATCTCTGTGAGGGGAAAAGGGTTGTTACAGCAGCAAAATTAGTAGGATTCAGGAGGGAACTAACTTAAATACAGTTTACTTAAGAATATGGAATTGAACTAAGCAATTTAAGGAAAAGAGTCTGTTGAAGCAAAGCTTAACAAGAAAAATAGAAATCTGCAGTAGTTTGCAAAAAGAAAGGAAGCCAATGGAAGAGAGTTGTGCCTTTTTAACCCAAAGTGCTCATGCACCAGAGCATGTAAGTGGACCTTTCAAAGGTTAGAGCATCGCCTTATTTCCCGCTTGATCCCTCTCCATTATGTGTATGCCAACCTCTGGTACCACTGTATGTGTCATCAGGATCGTTTCCACATTTCCGCATTTCTGTGTCAGTCAACAAGTGATTCTGCTCCTCTGCTCCTTTCTAAGCACACGTACAGCTGATTTTTATAATAAACTCAGGAATTTTGTGTTTATGGATAAGTGGGTCGCTTCTTTTGTAGCAATGAAGTTAGAAGGAACATCTTGTGTCTGCAGGGAGGGGCTTATCTTCTGCTGCCTGTGTGTATGTCTTTGTCTGATCTATGTGTCCCCAGCATGACACATACATCTGTATCATACAGATTAAACACGGTTTAATGGAATTTTTTTGCTTTTTTTTGAGAGAGATTGGTGAGTGCTTTTAGTGGAGCGGAAAAAAAGTTGAGTTCCATGGCTTTGAACGGCTCCCCCCTTAAAAGCCGATTCACACAGGCAAAACTGTGACTGACTTTCACTGCTAGCTTGTTTAAGTAATCATTCTTTCTCACTTCTTAGGTGATGTATTTCTCCTCCATCTTCCCTTATGTGGTGCTGTTCTGCTTCCTCATCCGAGGACTCATGCTGGATGGGGCCTTAGAGGGAATCTCCTACATGTTCTACCCCAAGGTATCTGCTGAAGATATGTCTGCTTTAGTGTAGAGAAAGCACGTAGATATGAATTTGTCCCTGACATACCTGTTGTTCCCCCTCCTATATGTGTAGCTGGAAATTTGGGCAGACATACAGGTGTGGCGGCAGGCAGCAACGCAGGTCTTCTTTGCCTTGGGCCTTGGCTTCGGATCAATTATCGCCTACTCCTCCTACAATCCCAAAAACAACAACTGCCACCGTGATGCCTTCACTGTCTCCGCTATAAACTTCCTCACGTCTGTGCTAGCCACTCTAGTGGTGTTTGCTGTGCTTGGCTTCCGTGCCAAAGGAAAAGTCGTGGAATGTGTAGTCAGGTATGTTTGATTAGAGGATAAACATTGAGTCTGCATCAGAAGACCCACAGTACATTATGACTTAAAATGTCATTAGTATATACGTATGTCTTTGTCTATTTCCATGGCTATATCTGCCGCTGTTTTGCTACTTTTTTTATTGGCCTAAGACAGGAACCGAAGAGTTAAGAGTATTTCTCTAAGCAACACATAAAATATTTTGCATGCCTCTGAGATTTTTCTTGTTGCATCAACTGTATGTTAATAATTACATTTTATTTCTGTCTTTTTCTTTTCTTAGTAATATGGAGAAGTTATCAGATCATCTTCACAGTGGTGATGTGGACACAATCCTGATTCCACACTTCAATTTTTCTGATCCCGGTTCTGTGTCTGTCGAGGACTACACTGTCTGGTTTAAACAGCATGGACATGATGTCCCTGGCAATTTAACAGAGTGTGACCTGGAAAAAGAGATGCAGAAGGTAAAGATTGTCAGTTTGCTGTAGTGGAATTTTTTGGTATTTGGTGTGCTATACATTAAACTAAAGCTGGCACTCTTGTTTGTGTTCAGGGTGTGGAGGGCACAGGTCTTGCTTTTATTGCCTTCACAGAGGCCATGTCACTCCTGCCTGGCAGCCCGTTTTGGTCAGCGCTTTTCTTCCTCATGCTACTCAACTTAGGACTCAGCACCATGTTTGGCACTATGGAGGGCATCCTCGCCCCACTCACTGACCGCTTCAAAACTCTGGCCAAAAACAAGACCAAACTCACAAGTAAAGACCTTTTTTACCTTCATGCAAGCCTCAATATCACATTACTGACACAACTCAAGATAGCTAGCTACTGATGCTATAAAATCATGATTCTGCAATCAATTTATTACACACATCCAGCAAAGACTGATTCTAATTAACTGAATTTGTTTTGTTTTGTTGCTCAGCCTTGATTCAAAGTGACATTTCAACAACTAAGATTTGTGTTTTTAATCAAAGGGAAATGGCCTGGACAACATTTTGTGCAATGCTCCAAACAACAATCAAAATGTGTCAGGAAAAAAAAAAAGTGTCAGTTTTATGTTGTGCTATTTGATGGAAAAGTCTTGTCACGGCCCTGTTACAGTTAGAGCCAGTAGGTCAGTGTCTTGTTATGTATCATGGAGCTGAGACTAAACCTGCTGACCCAACAATTTATCAGCTGATTTCACTGACACCTTGAAGCAGAGAGGGAATTGTTAAATTTACCTTCTAAATTTTTCAGGATATTCTGTAGATCATTTTCTCTCCACAGTACTTGATTGCGTATGTTCCCTTTTTAAATAAGTGGTTTTATCCTAACGTGTCCATTTAATGTTGTTTAATGCAGTTTTCAGCTGCATCATTGGCTTTCTGATTGGCCTGCTCTTCACCCAACGTTGTGGGAACTACTTTGTGATGATGTTCGATGATTACTCTGCCACTCTGCCCCTCATCATTGTGGTGGTTTTTGAGACCTTCAGTGTGTCTTGGTTATATGGAGCTGATAGGTGAGCTCTTTTTGAAATCTTTAAAGTCCATGCAAATGTCAACTAAAACATTTAGTTCTGATAGTCTTATTGTCAAAAACTCTGTTATGTCGGTTTATAAAGGTTCCTTGATGACATTGAAGGGATGCTGGGCTGGCGTCCCCATGTGATTTACAAGTACTTGTGGAAATACATCTGCCTTCTTGCTATGCTGGGGCTGCTGGCAGCCACCACCATCCGTATGTTCATCACACGCCCCACTTACATGGCATGGAACCAAGACAAGGTAAACGTCGTTAGCCCTGAAAAAAACAGCTATTTGAGATGGCTGTGGCCACAAATGTTTTTGTTTGTGTAGTTTGTTCTGTACAGTGGAGTCTGTTTCAGTTTCAACAAAAACATTAACAGCCTTAAGAGATGCAGCCAAAAGACATGTTGCATATTGAGTAAAGCAAACAGCTCTTGTGTTTATCAGCACCTTCAAAAAACTACCGCAGATAGTAACATCTACTCCACACCTGCTTGAGGGAAATTCTTGATGCATTTCTCTCAGACCACATTAATCTAGAGTAGTTCTAAGGTGTGGTTGTTTACGTTCTTGAATTATTAATTTAAATTATCTTCTTTTCAGGCTTCTGAGGAGTACCTGAAGTACCCTGGCTGGGCTCTGGCTGTCATGGCTCTATTGATCATATTTGCCATGATGCCCGTCCCAGTGGCATTGATCCATGCTGTTCTCCAGGACAGAACAAAGCTAACATCCAGAGATACAGAGATTGGTCGGTACAGCATTGTTAACACAGATGACAAGTGTGAAACCCCAATGACTGACATGTCAGACCTGGACCAAAGGAGCACGACCGCTGCTTCCTTTTCGTAAACACTGGACATGATGTTATACAATGTGGAATTGGCTGTACGCAGTCAAAATCTTCAGTTCAGTTATCTCCGCTAGCTTTTAGTGCAGCTGTAGCACAGAGAGCAACTGTGTGACTATATTATATTCCTTATTTGAGTATGGAAAAACCTTTTCCACTTGAATTTCAAACATATCCAGAGGATAATACCCTCTTTTTAAAATATGACAAATGGAACTTTTGTTGTGTAATATGGAAAATTTGGAACAAATTACTGCTGCGTGGTAACTACGAGGTAGAATTTCCGACAACTGTTGATTGTTACAGTTAGTTGTTGTCCAGATGTGCAAAAACAATGTTTCTGAGTTGTCAGGAGAAGCCATAGACATCACAGCATGTCCTTGCCTTCTTAATTATGCAGTATAGCATTTTTTGTAAAATATTCAGCGCTTCATTCGTCCTTTTTTCTTTTCACTTTTATTAAAGCACTCGTGTCAGATGCACCTAGTCATTTCAAGAATCCAGTCATGCCACTGTGACAGTGAATGTCCCCAAAATGCTGTCACCAGCAACCATTCACTCCTCATTTTGTTGAGGACAGAATTACAGCTAATTACGGTTTAAAGTCTCTTCTGCATGTCTTTAAAGCTTTGTGTTGTTTTTTTTTTTACCCAGCTTAATTTTCACAGCACAGTAAATGAAACAATTGTTGAAATATTGTTTCAGGCTGGGCTTTATATTGAGAGTTATGATTTGGGTTGAGTTACAATGTAAAAAAACTGAGCCTGAATTAAAACAGGATAATCATGGTGTTGTGAGACTGTTACATCAGGAAAGAGTTAATTCAGGGTGTTGATACTAAGCACAGCTATTGGGTGGAGTGTTAATGCTAAATACTACACAGAAGTTATTTAACTATGTTTACAAGTGAAAAACCACGAGTGACTTCAGTATCAACTGTACGTGTACTGTCTGTTTGCAGGTGTATTGTGCAGCAACACCGTTCATACTACATGTATGTTAAAATGCATATTATGTCACATATGTCTGTTCAAACCAACCTGAGATCCAACAGCTGATATACAGTATCTGAGGATAAATTATCAGACTCTTAATGTTTCCGTCATCCTGTTATGTGCATTTCTGTGATGTCACATTAGCAACAAAGCCAGTGTATTTGGGGAGGGAGAGAGGGAGGGGGGATCAGAGCTACAGTGTTGTGGATCACATGGGAACAAGGATTGTCGTTCTGCCTGCGGTCTGATTCTTGTGGAACCGGTGTGTCAAATGACAACATAGGCAAAATCCTATTTGTAATGTAAATATGTGTATAGCACAAGTAAAAACTCATTAAGAGCATGTGTAATTGAAAATGTGTTCGTTTTAGAATTATTGAAAATTTGCATGACACATTGTTTTGGGTATAGGAGGAAACTAGTTCATGTTTGACAAATGACTCCTTTACTTTGGATTTTATGTGGATGTAATTAAGGTGTAAAATTATTTTCTTAGATTTAGTTGTTTGGTCATAATTGTCTTGTTTGTGGTAGCCATTTTCCTAAGATGTATTTTTTTTTTTACATTTTCACTGGATCACTATCAAAATGAATCAACCTTAAATGCTGTTGAATGTTTGTACCTAAACTAAGTGCCTGCATATTTAATGGGGCTGATTGAACAAAATCAAAAATGTATTGTTTTAAAAAGACATTTCTTTTTATAGATTCCCTTTTTAATAGTGTATGTAGTCTGTATAAAATGATTTTTTGAGAAAATGTAATATATGCCATTGCAATGTAATATATTTTGCTATTTTATTAAAAATTTTCTTTCTGCACTACTGTATATTGAAATATTCTCTACTTAAAATTTCTGCTGCATTTTAGTTTTAGTTGTTCGATGGTTTTCTATATTACAATTTTGAGTGTTGATTTTAAGGATATTTGTCTATTTCCTTTAAATAGGGCTCTTAATCAGAGTATAAGTAAAATTCAAACCTGTAAATATAAGTGAATCTTTTTCCTCAATTTTGATATGAATTTGTTAAATGCCTTATGTTCTGTCATGGTATGTAGAGTCTGGCTGTCTGGTGATTGTACTTAAAGTTCGATGTTTTGAGTCCATTAAAGTGAAAGAGAAAGCAGGTATTTAAAAGAATCATTCTGTTTCAGATGTAAGCGAAAACTGGGAGGATAAAAGGCAAGAATTTTATCCACATGTTCAAAACCAGATGGATGTGGTTGAGTTCACGCCTTTCATTGCTGTCAAGAAGCAACAGATATCACGAGTCAGATAGTGATTGATTGTTATTCAGCTCAAGCAGTGATGTTTGATGTCTCTGCTTTGGAATGCACAGTACACAGTTCTCTAGTTAGTGTTTCTTATAGGATGTCTCCACCCAAGTATTTGGAGGTTATATAACTTAATTAAAAGCCCCTGGAGATGGCAGTCCTCTACGGAGTAAAGAGCGTTTCTGCAGAAATTGTCTCACCAAAAAGCAATTGCTGTGTACCGCTGCCCATCTGCATCATGATCTGCCTGGGAAAAGCTGAAGCACGTCAAGACTTCTGCCAGTGTAAACATCTGAACAGCTGCATACGAGGACAGCATGTAGAGACAATACGAAACCGAATCTGTAGGATTGGGAAATGTTTTGAACTCTTCCCAGCTTTGACTGACTGTAGGTAGATTTCTGTAAAAGTCTGACAGTTCATATTAGCAGAATAAGTGCAGGTGGCCTGAAACTTGATGTTCAAGGCTATCAGGACGGGTGTTGAGCCAGCTGACCTATTGTAGCTTTCAAAACACTGTTTTGACTGTTGGACACAGTGAACAGTTGGCACATGTCTTTGTTTTTCTTTCATATCTAACAGTCCTTGAGAAGTTTGAGTGTCCTTGCCAGGCTGTGCTGTGCAGACTATAGGAAGGGAACACACACCGCCCTTACTAAAAAGGGTTTCACGCTAGCCAACAAATATCAGACTGTTATGTTGACCTTAACCTTAGATCTCCATCTTCAGATCTCCAGATTGTTTGTTAACACTGAAGAGTAAAGTGAAATATAATTGTCTATGCATCTAAAGAAAAAGCCTACTTCATTATAAACACTATAATTCAGAAGTTTTAGGAAACTGGGCGTCTGTCCGAGCCATCATTAGTAGTTGAGTGAATAAATTAATTTCACTAAAGATAACACTGGATATTTTGTCCAGACTGTAAACTGTATGGTTATTTTTCATATGTATATAAAGAACTAATGGTGTAGGTTTTATGTTTGCATAATAGTTTGAACATTCATTTGGATGTCAAATAAATGTAAATTCTGAACACTTTCTGTTGGAGGACCTTGGGGCAGTACATTTATGTGCCAGTAGGGAGCTCTGTTGCACTCAAAGTGTTTCTCTCCTGAACCGTCAAGTAACAGTAGCTTGTGTGTCCTCTGCAAAAACATTTCTGCCCCTGTTTGGTTTGTCATTTTTATATTAGATGGCTTTTTTTAAAATAAAAACATTATTACTAGCTATGAGCGAACAATCACTGTCCTCTCTCCAAGGTTCCTTTTTGTCTTACTACAAATTCAAGGTCAGAATTATAAAAGCTTACCTAACATTGTGCCAGAGAAGAACTTTGTTAAAAATATTCTCTCACATTTATTTTTGTCCTTTGTAAGACCGCTTTGTCTGTCTCAACGTAGCACTTTTGTAAGCCATGTTCTAAACCTGTATCTCTGTGTGGAAGATTACTCAAAGGTGTCCCTGTGGAAATATTAGGTGCCTGGGGAGTTCAGTTGTCTTGGAAGCGGTCTCACTTCAGTCAGGCAGAGAAGGCAGAGAAGACAGGACCAACACCCGGCAGAGAGAAACACGTCCTCGCTTCGACCTCAGGTAAACACAGTTGACAAGATCCATTTAAAATGTTAAAACTTGCCTTTGGAGGGATTTGTTGATGTATGTGTGTTCATTAAATAGTTTTAGAGGCCTCTTTTTTAGATCAGGTTGGGTTACATACAGGTAAACTATGAACAACAAGCTAAAAAAACAACCGTGATATTGTTTTTTTTTTTTATTGAGTTACATAGCTACTAATGTGAGCACTGAAACTCCCTAACTATCTCTGTTAGCATCAGGAGAAAGCATGTACGTGCTAAACTTTCAAAATTAGTAAACATCAGTAATAAACCTTCACATAAAGGTTTTATTTATATTGTCATTCATTATATTTTTGCAAGTATATTTTCAGTTGTAGGTGTACCAGTGGCTGACCCACATGGCGGGCCTCGCAGCTCTCTGCCTGCTGTTGGTGTTTCCCCTGAGCAGCACCCAGAGCACCCTCCAGTCTGAGCAGGAGATCAATGCCCATCAGGCCCTCGCAGCACCTCCTCCTCCTCCTCCACCACACATACGTGACCTGCTCAGAAAAGAGGAAACCACTCATTTAAATGCAAAGCGAACATGTAAGTCTAGTTCAAAGAAATGTCAATGTCAGAAAGGCAGCATGTGCCTAAATAACAAAGACAAAGGAAGCTTATCTCCTCATTTGGACTGATTTGTTGGTGAAAACTCTAACTCTGATCTTCTCTGACTCTGTGTTTGTGCACCCACAGATGCCCATGTAGACAAAGATAATGCCAAAGTGGGTCTGTTCATTGCTGCAGCCATGGGAACCTTCGCTCTTATGGCTGCAGTGTACTGTATTTACAACAAGTTCTACACCAAACAACAGTACCTGCACACCCAGCTTAATGATGACTCAGGTAGGTTAATAGATTTTTATCAGACTGTTACTGAGTTAGAGCTTGTTTCAGACATACACTTGAGAAAACCGCAGTATATGGCACCAAACTACATTGCTTGCATGGTACTTCTTAAAAATGTGTGGACATGACTTTTGTACACCCATATATTTTCACACTGTACAAGTTGCACCACAGACAACAGAGACTGTCAACTGAAAGAAAACTGACAACTATAACTATAAAAACATCTCTGAGTGACAAAATGAGACTAAAGATTGAAACTGAAACTGTCTCCATCAGCAGAGAGAGAGAGAGAGAGAGAGAGAGAGAGAGAGAGAGAGAGAGAGAGAGAGAGAGAGAGAGAGAGAGAGAGAGAGAGACTTCCATCCAGAGAAAACTGGACTCATCAACATCTGATCTTTTTCCTCTCTCGTCTCCTGGGTATCATTTGTTGTAAAGCATCACCGGCCGGGTTACACTAGTGTGCAATGTGGTGCCTGGTAGTGAAGAGCACTTCTTGTTTGCTGCCATGTGGAGGCACTATTAGATGATGTTGCATCTTTAACAAATACAACAGCAAATGTGTATATGCACTAGATGTTATAGATATAGAAACATGACTGATTGTTTTTTTCTGCCTTTGAGTGCAACTTCATGGTGTCTCTTCCTCTATCCTGTGAACTAATATCTGATATAGAGGAAATATCTATACGTTTCTTATATCTCTGTCCAGATTTAGCTGACCCCATGGACCCTCCCCCAGTGTTTTTCCACGCCTCCGCTGGCTCCAGTGCAGTAGATGTGCGGAGAGCTGGTTATGGCTCACTCTCGGACACTCCATCCATCATCTCCGTGCCACCTAGCCTTTCTCCTCCTCCCTCTGCCATGCCCTTCCCTCCCCTCTTCCTCTCCTCTCACTCTCTGAGAACTATATCGGCGAAGGATCTGGAGAAGAGCTGTATGTGATATTGAATGCTTAAGTTGGCAGCGTGAGACTTTTGAATAACAGTCAAGAACAAGAAGTAGTTATTTAAATATATGCATGTTGTTCTCCATTATCTACACACATCGCACAAAGTCTTATTTTTTGCAGGCAAATTCAGCTGAAAATGTTTTCTTATAAAAAAAGCATCAATTTCAAACCTGAAGAATGGGTTTGCACCTAAGTTTTCTGAACAGCATCATTTGGTGACAGAATATACAGGAGAGTGATTTGATTTAACTGCTGTGATATGTTAGCAGAAGTATCTCATCCACCTGCTGCAATTGCCAAACCTGTCACTTACAACTATTAACCATGAACCGCCCGACATATTTCCCTTTCCCTACCCATAACCACCACCAAATCTGACCTAAATATTTGCCTGTGCATCACAACCATGTATGTACTGTAGTCATTTGTACCGTATGTGTGTACAGCTATAATAAACTAGATCTTTCCTGCACCTTATCTAATACCAGTAATCCTGTCAGTAGTCATCCAGTATCCTACCAGAAGAAATAAACTGCCCAGAGATGAAAGAAATGTTGTCTTGCTCGTTAATACATTGTATGGTTGAAAATTACCAATGTCTCATAGTTAAGTGAAACTGGATTATATTTATATTACCTTTAACGCCAACAGGTATAACTGATATCTATGTTCATTAGGCACACATAAAATCCCAGATTGATTTTTGTTTTTAGGTTAAAAATGTGGAAGTTGTCAGACAATTTGGGTGTAAAGAAAAATTATCTAAATATCTTTAATCTGTGTTTGCGTCTCCGTAGATAGATGTAAATGTTGTCAAAACTAATGTTTCCGTTATTTTTACAGTTCCTTACAAATTTCATACACTGATTTATTTTTGAACAAAAAAAATATATGTCCAAAATCATTGCGTTATATTTCTGGCTTTCCCTTCCCTCTCACTGGTTTGGATTTGACACGCAGTGACTGTGAGCTTACACAATGAAGAGATACTGAACAGATTTGAATGCTTTTTCATCAAATGTGTATGTCAGTAGCTACAGGCCCTTTTTCACAGCAGCTATTATAACTTGAGGCACAGGTGTTGCCAACAGTGGCTCCATACTGTTTAAGTGTCTCAGTCAGCCATGACAGTGAGCCAGCATGCAGATACCAGTAATCCGAAACTGAAGCAGCTAAATGGAACTCAGCCATCTTTCATTTTATTATTTACACGTGTTTTTTATTCTGTGACATGTAAAGAATGTTTTATTAGACTTTATTGCAGACTCAGCTGCACCACAGGACCTCAACTATCAGAGTCAAAAAACATCTGTGTGCACCACTTTTCATGCAAGGATAAAAAAGTAAATTAAAATACTTAAAGCCATGCATGCATTCAGTCAATCTGCACAGTGGTGGGTTGTTCGAAGATGGGGACAGGCACAAACTTATAACTGCAGTGCAAAATGTTTCTGTTAAACTCCACTATGTTCTTGTTAGATGAATCACTAATATCCAGAAAATATGAGTTTGCTTCAATCTGCTTTCCAGAGTAAGTTGCTAATAATTTGCTATTAATTGTTATTTAGCTTCATAAGTCACATGTCCCGAATCACTGTTTAAAATTATCCAGTAGTTCTCACACATCCATATAAAAGGGTGTTGCAGTAAAGATGCGCTATGGCAGCTCTGCCACTGTTGGAATGAAGCTCAGGACGCATAGCTCAGACGACAAAAAAATATGGATCTTATTGTTTTATAAACGAGAGTCTCCTTTTTTTCTGACTTACATTACCTTTAACTGTGGATCTGTGGTTTTTTGTCTTTTTTAAAATATGTTTTAAGAATATCAAATAATCAGCAGTCCAACCCAGGACCACAACAGCGTTCCGGGAGCAACCTGCCCCTCCCGTGTTACAAATACCTGGGAACTCTGTTAATATGCTTCGATCGGACAGTGTTTACTCCAACTCCCTCCATTCAAGGCTTGTGTGGTCCAAGAATAGCCGCTGCTTGAACAGTCAGTGCTTAAAACGCCGGGCTGCGGGGAAGGAAGTGACATGCTACCTTCCACTCACTACACACACTTGGAGAGATTAGCGCGCAGGCAGCGGTAATCTGGTTTCAGGACCACGGCCAGAGACTCCGTTTGGCCACGAATCGTGTCGAAAGTTTCCTCCAGCGGGCTGCGAAACCTTTACAAACACCAAAGAGTGTCAAGAAGTTCATCTGGACGTTAAGGACTCTGGCAAAGTGGGGCTGACCATGTTTGATCGGTTGATTTTATATAAAGCCAGTTGAAGCAAATTAAATCTGGGCAATCAGTGTCGCTGACTAGGGGAAACTGCGGGTTAAGGGGTCTGGTGATCAAGTAAAATCAAGTTGTTGTTTTTTTTTTATGTGTGAGTAAGAATCACGGGGCGGAGGGAGTAGAGGAGAAGGCTGTGCGCTCTGTCGGGAGCGCGCAAAGACTGCACATTGGTTGGATCCTGGAGTCGTGAGGATGGAGATCCGGCCGGACAGGTTTAAGGTCGCGGCAGCCAAGACTCTCGGGAAAATATACGGGTATGTAAAATCTCTCCGGGACAAATTACAACCAGAAAATGTTGAAAGGCTGAAAAAGCAGCTGCGTTCTTGTGTTGATAAGAAAGTTAATTTTTTGCTATTAAATTAGGCTACGGGAGGACAGCCCATAGTTGCTGAAACATAATTTAATGTAAGTATTTGTCTTAAAAAAAAAAAAAATCAAAGTGCCCATTTGAAGATCAAGCAGTCCAGAGGCCTGGATTAGTGTGAGGTTGGATGACCTGGCACAACATCTGTCCCTATATAGGCTACTGAGTCTGCCACATAAGAAACTGCAGACTTCATTGGTCACTTTATAAGAAACTGCAGTTTTGCAATAACTGATCAAAAAGTTACAATTATTCTTACTGAGCACACAAATCAGAATCAGAATCAGAAATACTTTAATAATGCCAGGGGGAAATTATTTAAATGTTCTAAAACCTAAAATGAGTTTACCAAATCCTCCCATGCAATGAGTGAACAAATGCAAGTGAGCATCCGCCTTTGTTTCTGAGGAACAAATAAACAGAATTAAATTTCATTTAAGGCCGAAAACTGTTCTATCAGTGTAAGATGAAGCGTTGGGTCGATGGCTAGATTCATTTCATTCAGGGTTTTTTCTGCAGTGCTGTCACATTGTCATTGTCACAGTCTTATATACCTGGAGGTTTGTCACTGAGCAATCAAAGGATGTGTTTTGCATTTCACACTATGTTTAATGTGGTTGTCTACTTCCTCCAAACTCACCGCGAATCACTGTGTTCGGTGTAAGACAGGCCCCTGAGAGCGCGCTCTGCGGCCTGTGGTTCTAGCACACCTGTCAATATGGGACAGTAAGCTTAGGGAGACTTTTGAAAAGCGTGATGGTGGGCTGGGGAAGTAGATCAAGGTCGGAACATCGTAGAAAATGTGATCTTTTTAGACACCATGTGGCACTTTAGACCCACAAGACACCTCCGCAAATAATTCAAATGTGAGTTTTAGATTACTTCCACCAACCAGGGCCACATGGAAATACGCTGCAAAAGCAAATATATAAATAAATAAAAAATGCGTGGCACACCTTCCCTGCCGGGAAAGAGTGTGAGATAGTCGGGAGTCTGTCTAGTGATGGATATCTGAACGCAAAAAGGTGTCGATAGACTCCCCTTTCTTTCTCTCGGGATTTGATGTAGCGTCTAAACACTTAAATCCTCTCCAGAAATAGCCTCTGCGCGTCCAAGCTGTCGGCCCACGTAAATCCCTGCAGTCCGTACACCTTGGCCACGTCTCTCTCTCTCTCTCTCTCTCTCATCCCCTCCTCCCCCTAAGTAGCCCGATAGCTCGCCACTGTGCCACCCCCCACCCCACCCACACCTTCCCTCCCCTCGCAGGGAACCTCACAGCACCTCACAGCCAGCCAGGATTAGGCAACTCGACCTACGGCAGAGCCCGCAGCGGCCTATAAGCTTTCATTTCCGTGAAGGGGCACGTGCTCTCAGGTGCTCCCTTGGTACCTTGCTGCCGTGCGTAACGCGCACCGGCCCGTTCCCCGGCCCTGCTCCCTGCACGCGATACGGGCGCACACAGAGAAAGCATCCGCCTGTGCTTATTTTTAGTTATTTATTCATTTTTATTTTCATTCTTTTTTTTATTTTAGGTATTTGACTGCACTGTCACATTTGAGAACCTTAAAATAAGAGAATGTTTTTAACTTCTATTATCAATATATATATATATATATATATATATATACTGTGGGATTCCTCTCTGTGCTCTTCAGGCATCTTGTGTCTGAATCCTTTTCCTGATTGAATTGGCCTCAGTATAACTGAAACTGAGATATGTACATCTTCAAATTATTTTCTACAGTATTCTTTCCATTCAATGTATTTGACTATTGCAAATTGTCCCTTAATGGGCTTCTTTTCTGTGACTACAGTCCACAGTTGAAATTCTAACTATTTTGTGTTGCTAGACTCCATTTAGTAGGTCCTTCATAATATGGTCACAAAGAGCTTTTCAATCTTTCTAACAATCTACACCATTTATTTGACACTCTCTTATCCAACCACTGATTCCAAGCTGTTGACTCAACTCTGAACCAAGCTGACATTTGTCCTTGATATATGAATTAAGAGATTAACTTGGAAGTGAGAACCACGAATGCTCGCTTTGCAGAATAGGTCATCTGAATTTTAGCTTTCTAACAAGTCATCAAGATTCAAAACTGAGCACTTTTCTTACTGAGCTAAATTGGCTCCCAGACGGGCTCAGACCTTTCCTCATCGTGCGACGAGTGCATCACAGAGAAGGTCAGCTAGCTTGTAAGGATTACAACGGATTTTCTTTAACTCGGGGTCAGTCATGAAAAGTCACTGCAGCAGATAGCAGATATGGTATATGGTAGGAAAAATGTGAAAAGGGCTCGTACATCTTTTTATCTATTGTATTGCAGAGAAAGAAATCTTCATGTGGACATCCTCTGGATATTGGGAAAGAAACTGGTGTTGAAGAAGAAGGAAATGTTGTGAATTGTGTGTGAGACTGTGTGAGTCAGGGGAGTTGAAGGTAAAAAGGCAGCGTTAAAGATGAAGAGAAGACAGGAAGAATGAAGAGAGAGGCCCACTCAGACAAAAATAGTCCAAGAGAGCCAGAGATATTAATAATTCAAGAGTGAGAATCATTAATACTTGATCAGTGTCGGAGACTGTTAGAACCCCTGCTTACAGTAACTAATAGAGCATGTATGTTTCATAATTGTGTAGTTGTTATTTCCCAGTCTGCTTACTGTTAGTGTTTTTAGCTGACTACTTTAATAAAAGGTTTGTTGGCAGGAACATAAAAGCCAATCCAAGTCTTTTTGTCACTTGATATGTTAGTATCCATGTCATTTTTAAATCTCCACAGGATGTAGATCTTATGAAGCTGCAATACTGGTTGCCTCAATAGCTTTAGTGATCAGATGGTGCTTTTCTTTTATTTCAGAATTGTGATCCTCATCCCTCGTGAGTTGATAAGAGTGGTAACATTCTGGTTTAGGACAGAGTTCGTTCAAGTACACAGAGGAACAAAGTCTCATACAGCGAACAGAATACACCTGAATTAGATTGTAAGGTTGGCCTATACGTAAGTTGGATATACAAAATGAGTAAGGTTTGTGAGACAAGTGATATGTGGTCTTGACGCTGTGCACCATCTATGGATGTACAAATGAGAGATTCTGGGGTGCGTATTGACTGACATCAGTATAAATCGCTGCTGTCTCTCTGCACCTCCAACTATCTAATGAGGACAAATTACCAAGATATAAAATCTATATAAATAAGGTAAATAAAGTTCAAGGGAAACAAGATATTCCAGTTCTGATGTGTCTTGAAATCTTACAGTTAGCAGTGGAGTCTTTCTACCTTACTGCAGGCTACATAACAGCAGTTAAGCTGAGCTCATTGCATGCTATGAAAATATTGTGTTTACATGACGCAGTTAAATAGATCTTGTGGTGAGGGCTTGTCTAACAACACTAAAGAAAATTAAAGACATTTCAGATGGGTTCTGTGTTTGCTGTACAGTGAGTGAGCAGTTTTAACAGGTTTGGGGGGGCTCTCACACACCTTCAGGCACAGCATCCTGATGCAGAGGAGATACACTGTACACAGCAACCACATTTTCTACTCACCGATTTAAACACGGCAGCCCATTCAATCCAATACATCAGTGGTCCCAAGCCTTTTTCCTTGAGGGACCCCTTTTTCTTTATCATTGAGTCAACAAACGGCCCCTCACTAAGTGACATATTTGAGGCATATTTCATATTATATTCAATATATAACAATAATAAGACAGAACAACTGATACATTGTACAATGAACCTAAATAGTGAACTCAACAACTGCATGAAATGTTTTGATTTGCATGAATTTTGAACAGATTATTAAATATTGCATCAGAGATGAGTTTCCTGTATTGTGTATTTATTTTCTATTTTAAAAAGAAACTATTTAACTACTTAAGAACTTTTTTGACAAATTCAGTGTTTTATTCTATCTGATGCATGGGCATTTTTTATTAGCTCTTTGGTTGTTTTAGCTGCACACTTTTCTAATGCATGACAAGGCCGTTTAGAAGAAAGTGAAAGCTCTGTAAAAAAGCTTGTGTTCAGGTCTTAAAACTTTAAAATAATATTTAGTTTTCTTCACAGGAATGAGCAAAATGCTGATATATAGGGCATACTGTGCTCTTACACCCCTTAAAATCAAGAGGGCCTCGCAACCCCCTGTGAAGCTTTGGCGATCCCTAGTGGGGGTCCCGACCCCCAGTTTGGGAACCACTGCAATAGAAGCTGCTCACCCACCAAAAAAAATGTATCTATCATTTCCTCCTTCTATGTATTTTGCCTTATCACTTACTTCTGGTTCACAGTTAATTCAGTTTGTCACTGAGGAAGTTTATATTTATTATATTTTATAATTAATAAGTGCATATGATGTAAATCCCACAGCAGTGTGACATACAGTCTATACTTGCTCTTCCTCTTCCAGACTTTCATCCCACCCATGATGAATGTTCATAATGGCCACTGTAAGAGTGTTATTAATGGGTGGCTATGGTTCATTTTTATCCAGTCAAATCTGATCTTATTCTTTCTTGTACAACCAGCTGTAAAATAAAGTAGAATATAAAATACACCCCCACCCCCCTCTTCCAAGCTTTATTCATGCTCTGCAACATTGGGGGTTGTACTTTGGCTAAAAGCTGCAGGGCTGAGTTGACTGAAACTCTCATGTATTGTATATATCTCTCAACAGTGGTTATAAATTACATTTACCAGACAAATGCCATAGGGATACATGCTTTTAACTATGATAACCTAAGTATGTATAATAAATAAAGCCGATATATAAAAGGGGCTCAGTGCTCTGGACCTGCAGTGCTCAAGTCTCGAGAACTCAGCATTGCACATGTCATGTTTAATAGATGATCCGCAGCGTTTAGATACATATTTGATGCCTGCTAGACTGGAGGCTTGCAGAGGTCATGGTTTCTTAGCAAGCCATATGCATACAGGTTACAGGCAGGAGCAGAAAAAGAGGAGTTAACCTTGTTTGGAAGGATAAGAGGAGCTTTCTTCAAACATTTTTGTCTTGTACTCGCATTGTATTCTTCACTGTGGGCCGGTTCTGCCAGGAGATGAATGTCTGCAAAAAAACATAAAATACCCAGTATATTAACACCTTAAGGAGACAGGATAAGTCAAAGTAATGTCAGTGAGCTCCAGTGGTTGTGGGCTGACAAGACAACTGTGCTGACTGTTTCTTGTTAAGATGCTGGAGTTACCGGTCAAATTGACAGCAAGAAAAATTGTCTGAACATGAATCATGCACTTTTATCAAGCAAAGTTGTCGGTCTACAAGCCCTTCAGGACAGGATCTGTTTCCACTGTGGCAACCAGAGTTAGGTGTCTCACTTACCGACTGATCTCACTGAAAGAAAATCCACAATATAGAAAGAGTGAATGTTAAGTCTTTTGAAGGCTCAATAACTGTTATAGAGGAGTTATTTCCTGTCCCCCTAAACATTTCTGAGTAGCTGTTAGGTTGGAATGAATCAGCAAACACTACACTGACTTTTGGGGGTTTTCCTGAAATGTCTAGTGTGTTTTGGTATGTACTGTCAAGGTTGGGCCACATTTATAAAAATGTTCATAGATTTACACTTGAACTTAGTCTTAAAATAATTTCTGACTTTGTTCTTCTATTCATAAAAGATACTGGGGACAAAAAACTTTGCTTATGCAGGTTCTCAGAAGCCCATTTGGAACCTACACACCTGTGATCTATACATCTCAAATTAACTTAATTAACACCTGCCTTACAGTCAGCGATTTCCCCTTATACAATGCTAACACAGTGTTTAGTCAGGAATGGTTACTTACTAACATCGTATGCTGTTTTTAATTAACACGTTGGATCTGGCAATTAATTCCTCACACTTTTAATTGATTATTCCAATCTCAGGCTTGAGCACGTATTCATCCCAAACTGAAATGCCCCTACATAACCAGCAGGAAAAGGACTTACTTACGTCAAGTCTAGTCTTTACTTAGAGATTTATGCATAAATCAGTTTATTAAATAGGCCCATTGTTTCGGTGGCAAGCTATCCTGATAGGGAAAGGGTTGCTATACAACATTGCAAAAGGTTTAAAATGATTGGTAGCCCAGGCAATCATGTCAAACCAAAAAGACAAAGTACAAATCTTTTGGTTACATTACACAATTAAAAACAGATTTACTTCCTTTGAAGACAGTTTAGATCATATACATTTCTGGTAGAGGACCAACCAAGTGACTGACTTGAGTCTAAACATTAGTTTACATACTACATTTTCCATTCACTTCTTCACAGAGCTCTTGAGAAGAAGCAGGAAAATGGTGAGACCATTGAGTTGTCGGCGGAGGGCCGGCCGGAGCAGGTGGAAGAGAAGGAGATGCCCGTGGTGGACTGCACATGCTTCGGCCTGCCCAGGCGCTACATCATCGCCATCCTCTCTGGCATCGGATTCTGCATCTCCTTTGGTATCCGGTGTAACTTGGGTGTGGCCATCGTCAGCATGGTCAACAGCCACACCATCTTCAGAGACAACAAGGAGGTCATAGTGGTGAGTGGCGGCAGATGAGGTGGGAACAGTGGTCTAAGTTTGTGGTACCTTGACCTAAATGACACAGTCAACAACAGTAAGGCAAAATAAATATTATTATGTTGTGTCTTTAGATTATTTATGTATGACAAGAGTGATGGATGAAAACACACCATACAGCCAAAAGAGCTAAATTCCAAATAAGGAAAATCTTAATGTTACAATATACAAAAAAACAAACAAACAGTGCATTTCCAAGTTTGCATGAGTTAGGGAAAGGTCCTTGCCGTTTTCAAAGCAAGATACACAAGGACATGTTTTTCAGCGTCAAAACTTTATTATTGTTAAAAATATTTGTTGAATAGAAATTGGTTGGTCAAACAAAGGACTGGATCATCATAAAGTCTCTCAGTTGAGGTTACAGTCAGTAGAGTCAGTTGTTAAAGGTTTGACACAGCTGATGTGAAGGCATATTGGTGATAACTCTATTGGTGGCATATATTACCTAGTAGGACAAGTAATCAGTTGTATCAATTCTGTTGTTTTGATTGGTCTTCCCTCAGTTAAGAGGCTTGTTAACCCACCTACATCTAATGGTACGGTATTAGACGTTAATGCATTTCAGGGTTCAAACTCTAATTCAATCATATGATTGATCTTTTTCTCATGTTCTTGTCTCCCTGTGTCTCCCAACAGAAAGCTCAGTTTGACTGGGATCCAGAAACAGTGGGAATGATCCACGGCTCCTTCTTCTGGGGATACATAGTAACCCAAATCCCAGGAGGGTTCATTTGTCAAAAGTTTGCAGCAAACAGGTCTGTTAATCCACTATTTATGGTATGGAAAGAATACTTGCACATTCTTGTATATATACTGAATGTCTCTTCCTCTCTCCATTCCCTCCTCCTCCAGAGTGTTTGGCTTTGCTATAGTGGCCACGTCCTGCCTGAATATGCTCATCCCTGCAGCAGCACGGATGCATTTTGGCTGTGTTATCCTTGTCAGGATTTGTCAAGGACTTGTGGAGGTGCTTTTGTCTATTAAACACAAGCAATGGGCATGTTGCACTTTGATTAGAACATTTATCATGGTGTAATTTCTTCTCTATCCTACAGGGGGTTTCATATCCAGCCTGTCATGGTATTTGGGCAAAATGGGCACCACCTCTTGAAAGAAGTCGCCTGGCCACCACAGCCTTTTGTGGTGAGTATATTATGACAGTACCTGTTTGTCTGTCTTTAAACAATGAATGTTTGTTATCATTTATTAATAGTTTAACATAGCCACAATTCAAATCAATTAGTTGTTTAGTTAACTATTTTCAGAATTGATTAAACCCCTTTTTAAAGCAAAAATGCCAAACAATTTGTCCAATCTTTGGGTTTTATGTAACACAAGCAATCTGAAGATGCATTTTGTACTATTTCTGTGAAAAAATCTGCCAGATTAAGTGACACAATATGCCAATACAATGCCCTAAACACAATGCTTCTCTTTTTTTCTAGGTTCTTATGCTGGTGCTGTGATTGCCATGCCATTAGCTGGAATCCTAGTCCAGTACTCAGGATGGTCATCAGTCTTCTACGTCTACGGTAAGAGACCCTTGACCTTTGGGCTGGATGTCAACTAAATCAAATGTAGTTTACAATGGGGCTACTTTTTTTTTAGACACACACTGTAACTTGGGAAACTACACAAACATACACATCAGAAGTACTGCTGATTTCAATAATTGTGTAGACACACCCATCACTATGCACAACATACAATAACACATAATGCTGACACATACCGAAACACAAAGGACAAGATGACTGCAAAAGGCCAGCACCATAAATAGGAGAAACAGAAAAAACCCATCACCTATTATGTATGAATTCAACATTTCATCCTTGCCCGTACAGAGGCAGCAGCTGCAGTCAAGGTGTCTCCTTTGCAGTGTGTTCTTTTTGACATTTCCTTCCAGTCTTGACACTTACATTACCCTTTCTCTCTCCTCTGCCTGCTTGCCTGCCTGTCTTCCTCCAACCCCCCCCAGGAAGTTTTGGGGTCATGTGGTATTGCTTCTGGTTCCTGGTGTCATACGAAAGTCCAGCAGCTCATCCCACCATCACTGAGGAGGAGAGAAAATACATTGAGGAAAGCATTGGCGAGACGGCCCAATTTACAGTAACGGTCAGTACATAGACGATTTCTCAGGTACAATGTGATTCAGCCACTGTATCACGTCACGTTGGTTGACCAGTACTGATGTGACTTGCCCTGTCACTTCAAGTTATATTTGAAATATCACTATGCTAGTACTTTTTTTTGTTTTATGCATAATGTTAGAAAAGATACATTTAAGGTCAAGGCCGCAAGAAGATTGTGTGATGGTAAACAAGCAAAGCAAAGCAAGAGTAAAAAGGAAGTAAACCTGGGTGGAGCTTAAGAGGGTGTTACTTCATCACAAGCACCAAAGATACATTTAGAAACTCCACATTAGTGCTAATCTCTGCTCATTTGTGTCTGCTTTCATGCATTCAAGCAAAACTATCAATTTACCATACTTTTACTGCACACAATGTCCTTGTCACTCATACTTACATACTAATGAAAATAAGTAAGTAAACAATTGTGCATGTATGTTGGTGAAACAAGTCAGAGCCTTTAGAATTTCAATACAAAATCAGTTAAATAAGTAATGCATTTTTCTGTGTTACAGAAATTCAACACACCGTGGAGGGCCTTCTTTACGTCCATGCCAGTGTACGCTATCATTGTGGCTAATTTTTGCAGAAGCTGGACTTTCTACTTGCTGCTTATCAGCCAGCCTGCATACTTCGAGGAAGTGTTTGGGTTCGAGATTAGCAAGGTAACAGAAACCAGATGTGGGCGGTAAGTTCCCATATACATAATACCGTGACACTGCTGAGCAAAGGCAAAACTATAGAAACTTTTCTTTCCAGGTTTATTCAGGTGATTATATCCATAACCACAGATGTCTCAGACCCATTACATAAAAATAAATGTTTTTTCTCTCATCTAGGTGGGCATAGTTTCTGCACTTCCCCACCTTGTCATGACCATTATCGTGCCCATTGGTGGCCAGCTTGCTGACTATCTGCGCTCCAACCACATTATGACCACAACTAACGTCAGGAAACTTATGAACTGTGGAGGTAAGAAAGGCCCAAAATGAACTGAAGGCAAAATTAGAAATGCATAAGAGGGAACACATAGCCGCAATAATCTTCGTCTTCCAAGAGATCAAAACTTTAGTCATGTTAGTACTGAAGTTTTTCTAAGCACAATATTTTTAGTCATAAGGCTGGTTGAGTCAAGCTAAACTGACAAACTGCACAGTAACCCATTGGCTAAATATGGGGTTAACTACAGTATTTAGTAAGCAGGGGTGAGAAAACATTTGCTGCATAAGAGAAATGGTGACTCACTGTAAAACAGAAGCTCTGTCTCTGTCGGCTATTTTTATACTACAGAGAGAAATCAATAGCAGCGAAATGAAGAAGCATACAGTGTACGTATCACTTTGTAGGAAGCTGTCAATACTGGAGCAACTTTAGGTTACTGTTCAGTCAACAGCATTCTTTGAAAAGGGAGAAGAGAATGGAAGATGAATAACAATGGCTTTCAGTTGACTTACATAAGCATCTTGCATTGAAACTTATTGTTTCCTATAACACATAAAAGTATTTTCTGTTTCGTGTCTGTGCTATTTCACTTGTCTGCATCAGGGTTTGGGATGGAGGCAACCCTGCTTCTGGTAGTGGGCTTCTCTCATACGAAAGGTGTTGCCATTACATTCCTGGTTCTGGCTGTGGGTTTCTCAGGCTTTGCAATTTCAGGTGAAACCATATTTTTGTTATTTTTTTAAATAACTGTTCACATTTTGTTCCATGCATTAATACTGTCTCAAAATATCCATAACCCCCCCCTTTTTTCATCAACTTGTTCTTTAAAAACTTTCAGCCACAAATGTTTAAGTGGTGAGCAGAATTTGTAGGGCTTGTGAATAAATAAACAAGTTCCTATCATTTATTTGCTAATATTGTATTTATCCTTCCTCTTAAGGTTTCAATGTCAACCACCTGGACATAGCGCCGCGCTATGCTAGTATCCTCATGGGTATTTCCAACGGTGTGGGCACTTTGTCTGGTATGGTTTGCCCACTTATAGTTGGTGCCATGACAAAGCATAAGGTGAGAACTTATGGTGTAAAATACACCCCAAAACACATTTCTGTTCTTATTTTGTGTTTTTGTTATTACCATGGATTATTACCATTATGGAGCAAACTTGCCTGCCACTGCGTATATAAACAGCGCACCTCTAACTGAGTTTGGTCATAGAACATGTTTCTTTTATCTAAAACAACAGCAGAGGTGTCACTTCCTCAGAAAGACTTATTTTCAATTTTACCATTTTGCACATCCAGTAGTTTTACATGGAGAAATGTATCACTTAAAGGTAAGGTAAGCGATTCTGGAGAAATCCAATATTCTGATAAATACCATGATATAGTGAGATCAAGTAATGTAACTAACGTTAACTATGCTGTGAGTTAGCAAATTGTTGCATCCAGAGACGATGAGACGTTTTCCAAGAGCCAACACACCACCTCCAGACAGCATTACTTGCAACTCTCCTGTAGCTAACATCACAACAACAGCATATCTTTGCAAACTAGAAAGTAAGCTAAATGTCCATGGCCAAGTATCCCTGGCTGGAATGGCTGGAATAACAAGTTAGTGTTGATCCACTTCGAGCAGAAAGCTAGCAGACCATGAGGAAATATTCTCTGAAATTGAAAAAAAGTGTATTAGATTAGAATCACATTATCTAGAATTGCATACCCCACCTTTAAGAGGAACAGACGTAAATATAATTATGCACAGAGAGTTGCTCAATAGACCAGAATCCATGTACGATGTGCTGAATCTGAAGTAAGGTGTTTGAGCCTCAAGTTTGAATGAGCAGAGTAAAGGGATGCAGAGTGAAAGCACATTAGAACACAATAAATGTGCAAGGCTCTCTGGTTGGTTCGATTTAATGTGTGAATATCATTAGAACTTTAGAATATAATTAATAAAAGTCATAATGGAAAATACAGCGCACAATTTTTTTCATGCTTATAACCTCTCTTCCTCTTTTTTTCTTCTCACCCTCCTTTGATAGACACGGGAGGAGTGGCAGGGTGTGTTTCTTATTGCCTCGCTTGTCCATTACGGAGGTGTTATATTCTATGGTGTGTATTTTCCTCCTTTAATTTCTTTGAACTCACTGTTTCCTGCTGCTACTGCTACTTATCTTCAATAACCAGAGCATTAGTGTGTTCAAGTATGCAACAACGTGTGCATTGTTACCCCCATCAGTAAGGTTAGGTTTTTATTTGTTTGTCAGTGGGATTAAAGAAAAACTACTGGCCAGATTGTCATGACACTTGGTGGAAGGATGTACCACAGGCCAAGAAAGAACACATTCAATTTTGGAGCAGATCCAAATCATTGAATTAATATTGAAAGATAGGTCAATTGTAATTAATACAGACATATAGAGTGGTTGCTCTAACAGATTTCCATATCATAGTGACCGGGCTATTGGCCTTGGTGGAGGTCTGCGGTCTCTTACTGCCCTTCTAGTCAATGTGTAAAAAACAGATGGATCTTGTCTGTCTCTGTGCTGCAGGCCTCTTTGCATCAGGAGAGAAGCAAGCTTGGGCGGAGCCAGAGCAGCTGAGCGATGAGAAATGTGGAATCCTGGATGAGGATGAGCTGGCAAACGAGACAGAGGAGCTGTATCGCACAAGTGGCGGAGCAGGCTACGGAGCCATGAACCAGGGAGCGGATCCCAACGGAGGCGGAGGCATGGGAGGAGGAGGAGGAGGTTGGGTCTCAGACTGGGACAAAACTGAGGAATATGTCCAACCAGCTGGAACCAATAATTACCTTTATGGAGGAGAGGGGGACCGATAGTTAACATAAAACCAGCAGACCCTCAGCCCATAGCCTTTAGTGAGGCAGAAACAGTACATCAACAGTCTGGAGTTTCACCTGATGGCATGAAGAACTTTGAAAGTGAGGATTTAAAATGGAATGCGGGAGGGGACCATTTTCAGCAAGTCTGACTGTATTATCATAACTGAACTGAATTCAAAGAAACTCCACAATGAAGGTGAAGACATTAGTAAATGTAAAATGTGTGTTTGTGTGTGATTGCAATTGTGTACGTTGTGTGACAGACAATCTAAGTAAGAGTGTTTTAGGACTCATCGGCCTCCCTGCAATCTCTCTTGGTGGAGGGCCGTGTTTTAGGCCTGGTGTGGCTTTCTTTGATGTTTATTCATTGTAATAATTGTAGGAATTTCTATATTATCTGACAGGATTTGGATTTTATTTGTATGCCTCTCACTTATATCTGAATCATTCAAGATTACAATTCTCTAGGTGCACATTGGTCACAAGCACATTTCTGTTGTTGGGTGAAAAGCTATTGAGTTTGTTTTATTGGTTTTAAAAATGTTTTATAAACGGTTGTAGAATTTCCACCTCCACTGAAGTTAAGACGGGAAATTACCAAAACTGGAGCTACAAGGTTTTCACATAATGGTACACAATTCCTAAAGTTTTTTCCTTAATGTGCACACTTTTAAGAAAAAGCATGTTACTTGTGCCAATACAACAAAATATCTTGCTCTGTAGTATTGGTTTACTCATCTACTGAGAAAGTAATTGAACACCTGCAAATATTACTGCACACAGATTTCTGTGAGGTCTAAATAGCCCATACTGACATTTGTAGATGCAGGATTTTGATTTCCTCAAGAAAAAATGTTTTATGTCATAGGCCTCGAACCTGTCTACCTGCTGACAAACTGGGGGAATAAAAATGCCTCGTATAGGACTAGAAGGAATGTGATTATCCAGGGTAATAACAAATCCCCTATCAAATTAGTTGCATAGCTTAGAGCCACTTTCATTTCTATCAGGTCTCTTTGAGACTGTTCTCTTCAAAATCCAACATCTGAATTTATTCAATATGCTTTACATGTAATGTATGCTTCATTAATGTTATATATATATATCATGTTACTGTTATTTTTAGGCTTTCATGCTCTGAGTGTAAACATCAGTAAGAGCACCATATATCCTAAGAACCTCAACAGTTTCCAGTCTATGCTCTCTGTCGCGGTGGCAAAGCAGAAAATACACTGAGCCGAGGCTGTTGTGTGGTGCCAGTTATGTAGCACATGTCAAAATGAAAGAATATGAGAATGTTAGACACGTAGAGCTTAGTCGATCTTGTTTAAAGGTACACTTTCGTTACCCTTCGCTTTATTTTATAGTGCAGCAAGCTGAAGATATTAAATGATCAGTAAACAAAAGACCAATTAAAAATGAAAGTCTGATAATGGACAACAAACAATGACGTTTCACTGTACAATGCAATTTGTTTTTTTGTTTTTTTCTTTTGGTGGTAGATGTAATGTATCTAGCTAGCCCCAAAATTAAGGTTTGAAGATGAAAAAATATCCCTGTGTTAGATCATGGGTGGAGTTCAGTGATAGAGTAAATATTTAAATGTAAAGGTTTTTAAAAAGTTTTTTTTTTTCATTCATTTATTGTTAAATGTTTTGTTTTGGATTGTAAACTAAAGCTGTATATGTAAAAAATCATGTACATGTGGAAAATATTGTATAATAAAACCTAGAGGTGATCATTCTTGTACAATAATTATAGATATTCTTGCCATGTAATGCTTATGCAGGCTAAAAAAAATAGGTAATTACAGTGATTACTTTTAATGTATTATTATAGCATCTGTTTCATCTTTTTTTTAACTTTCCTCTACTCCATGCGTGATTCAGGCACAAATAATGCTGGTCTTTATGCCTTTGGATACGGTGGTATCATGTTACCCATAATGCTGTACTCCTCTCTAGACAGCATATTGATCATGAGCTAAAGTATAAGAGCATGGAAGTGAAGGAGAAAAATAGATTTTGATGGCACTAGAGCAAGGGATAGCCTCACTGTCCTGCTCTGGTCTCTAAAATCAATAGGATTATCCTGCATCCATCTGCCAGTGGGGAAATATTAGTTATTTGGATGTAACTCCAATTATATGAGTGCCTGTGTAGCCTTCTAAAGGACTTTGGTATTGGTTAGCCTACGCGGCAACCTCCGTGGCTAGAAAATAAAGCCAACACTTAAGTGCCCAAAACTGCACTTCCTCAAAAGGCCACCTCCACAAGTGAGTCAATCTCCATAAGGCCTCATATTAACACTTACTTAAGAGCAGAAATAAACATGCTCAGCATAGTACAAGAAACAGTTTTGGTCTCTATAGCAAATTTCCATAGTGCCTTCTTTATTGTGGAAGACAAAATAATACATATATATTTTTTTTCTTCCATAAGCTAACAGGTCCTTCCTAACCGGTGGATAGCTAGTGTGGTCAGTAAGGAATCGCCATCTTGTTACAGTAGTTAACATGAATTGTTTGATGATGATTCCCTGTCCTCTGTTATATTTCTGTGGTAAATTCATCCACACAGGCTCTCATTTTGTAAGGATTTTCTCTTTCTCTGTGGCCTTATAACACCTTCAGCCATCAGATAAACTCCTTGGTTTTAAATATGGACACTGTAAGCTGACTAGCAGACATTGGATGTGGACTAACAGGTAAAGGCCATGGCCTTACATGACTGTAATACAACAACAGGCTCACTCTCTGAAACACAAGAGATTTGCTCCATTCAAAGGTACGTAGTCCTAGAACATAACACCTGCCTTTTTCTGTAGGTCTAGTTGTAACTGCAGCGTCAGTGCTAAACAACCATGTACTTCCTATTAGAAAAAGGCCAACCAGTAAACTGTATGTATAAAGCTTTCAAAGCATTTATTCAAGTATTTATATATATTTTGAAAATATTGCCCACTTTATGTCTGATTTCAGAGGAAGCATCTCTTGGAACCGACAAGGGCCCAGGTCTATTTAGGTCTATTTATTTGTAATTAGTTATATGGAAATGGTGGTAGGTTTTTGCTCATGATGACCAACAGTCCCCAGAAGTTGAACTGGGGTTTCCCGCTCGTGTTTCTGGACTGACTGCACTGGTTGTTGTCATGACCTAATGCTACCTTTCTGCTGTATGGATCGTCGAAAGACCAGTTTTGTTGACTTGTTTCGTATATAAATTTTGATCCTTGAACCTTCATTGGAATTAAAATCTAATAATAAAAAAAGAAAAACCACCAAGTTTAGTCAAAATACATTTATTTCAGCACATTAAATACAACAGGAATGAAGCTTAAGAATCTAAAGCAACTGCATTTGCACTGCAGATTAAGCTCATATATCTGATCAACATATGCACTGGAATATAAAGTACAATCTATTCAGTAATACAGCATTTGTTATGTGCACAAATAATAGAACATTACAAAGTATTGGTATGGCAAATACATTATAAGATACAAAAATCCAATCAGGAGGTTTTTGTCAATCACACTGTATGACTTTACAAGGAAATATTAAAAAAAAGTGAATTTGTTCACCCTTTACCCATCACTGAAAGCAGATTTATCATAGTTTGATGAAGCACAAGCACTCTATCTATTTAACATACTAGAAAAAAAGTTTGAGTGAGTTAAATGAAAACATGTGTAATGCTGTTATTATGAGTATATGTAAAATGAGTATCAGATAATATATACAACTTGACTGAATGTAAGGATTTGCTTACTTTCCACATTTGTTGTTGGTCATTTGACTGTCACAAAATGAATAATTTTACATTCTGGTAACTTGTGATTTACATTTACATTTAACAGAATATTCCATGTAACCGAGATGATTAATATTATTAATAATATGGCAACAAGTTGTTGGTTTGTTTGTTGTAGTTAGCTGCTGTGCTATGCAACATACAAGATTTTTTATTGTTATTTGGTAGTCTTGGTTTTCTTCACAGCTCTAACAACTTTAGTCATAGAATTTGAACTTCAGGATTGTGACCAAGACATCACCTGACTTTGCTGGTTTGTGGCATGTGATTTTTCTACCTATAAAAGCTGCTGAGACCTATCTTTCCCTTTATAGCGGAGTCTTTTGCTCCTCTGCCTCTGCCAACTTCTGTTCCTTCACTACCTCATATTCTTTTTCCTTACCTACTGCTTCGCCTCCTCTACCTGCGCCCTCTGGTCCCAGGGTATGGTATACCTCTGCTTTCATTCCCTCTTTCTTCAGTGCTTCATATCCACCTTCTCCTCCTGCTGCCCCCTCCATCCCCAGGGTGTGGTATACCCCTTCTTTCATGCCCTCTTTCTTCAGTGCTTCATATCCACCTTCTCCTCCTGCTGCCCCCTCCATCCCCAGGGTGTGGTACACCTCAGCTTTCATTTCCCCTTTCTTCAGTGGTTCATATTCACCCTCTTTCCTCTCTGTGCGCGGTGCTTCTGGGTTAAGGGTGTCGTACTCGCCGCCCGTTCTTTTTTGGAGCGTCTCATATTTGTCATCACCTCGTAACTTCATTGCCACATCCTCGTATATTGGTCCTTATTAAAAGAAAAGAAGTGCTATGTGATGCCTTCAGTGTGCTTACAGAAAAGTGGAAAACAAGTAGTAGTTACTCACCTCTTGTGTCTCTCTTCTTATACCACACATAAAAAGCTCCAGCTGAAATTGCCAAACCCAGAACCACGAGCACGATTACCACAACTACTAGAATGGTTGCGATCGGAGGTTTATCTAAAACAGAGACTGAACATAAAGAACATATCATGAATATGAAATCTCTGTGGCTGTGACACTGCAATGGTTCATTAGTTAAATTACCATTAGAAACAGGCCAAATAATCCATAGCCAAACTGAAGTCGCACTGGAGGGGTACTCCAGTGATTTAGTATTACACTTCCACAAAGTTGGGGTGCCAGAATGTCATTAAAAAATTGATGCAGCACATGCAGAGATATCGTGACTTTAAAGTTAAAGTACAGCACAAGATCCAAAAACACTGTATCTTACATTTCCCATAATGCAACTCTACATCGTCGTTTAGATAGACCCTTCTTGCCTGGTAAGTGCCCACATCTTTCAAATTCCACATACCCCTTTTAGTAACAAACTGTGACTCAAACAGTGTGTCCAGTATTCTATCGAGAATTTAAAGTCTCCAAACCAGAGTTGAGATTAACCCTGACGACATCATCAAGGTTAATCTCTCCAGTCACAAATTACAACGACTTAATGTTTATTAATATGTCTGTATGGGAAAGTGTCAAAGTTCATTAGCAGGAACAAAAGCAGGAACTCACAAACGTGACTGTTGCTGAAAAAAGACATCCCGTTCCTGAACACAGCTCTACACCCATAAGTACCACTCTCTTTTGGCATCATCAATCCGTTGTTGTTCTCGAGAAATTGCCATAGCTGGCCATCATCTTTCTTGCGGTACCAATTATAGGAGGCATCACTGGGACAATGTGAACATCGACATGACATGCCTATGTTTTCTGAGAGATCCGCCTTCATAGAAGCCTCTGAAAAAGGACACATGCGTAGAACAATTTTAAAAGATGTCTATTCATTCAGTACACCAGCAGTCGCTGCAGTCAAACAGTGTTGTTTGGATATGCATACCTTGGACGAACACATCTTGATCATCAGAGACCACTTGGTATGGGGATCCACTAGTGCGGGCCACGTATGTGAAGATGGCCTTACACTTATAACTTCCCTGGTCAGATTCTGTCACCTTAGAGATTGTGTGGGTAAATTTGGCATTTGGCAAAAGTATTGTACCATTTTTGTAGAAAACAGTGTGGGTGATCTGATCTGTGCCCCAGACAAGGCACGACAGAGTCAGACTTTCCCCAGCTACAGCAGGCAGGGGATCCATTTCCAGCGATACTTCCTTCCCTGACAGAGGAAGATAAAGTGGATTAATTTTCCCTTATAATTTAAATCATAAAAAATCTAAATAAGCTGGTGAACAAGCATTTAGCATTTAAAGAGCCAGATATAAGAGGTAAAAAGAGAGTAAATATGGGACTTAATATTTGCAAGGTGACACCAAATTAATGCTTATGTTGCTCCATAACTATTGGATGTATAAATAACTTATTTAGCAACATAAATGTTATAGTACAACAATGCATTGAAATAACAGTAGGCCTACCTGAGGTCCTGACTATGATTTGGTTACTTCTTAGTTGTTCTTGTTTATCAGTGCACCAGAAAATGGTCTCGGAAACAGTCAGTTCCCTGGGTTGAAAGACTACATTCGTACTGCTCTTCTCCAAACGCAACATAATCTTCTTTGTCTCCGTTCCCCTAAAGACCCAGCATCTCCATGCCTGCAGACCAGCGTCGTTCTCAAGCATCAGGATAACTGAACTGTGAAGCTGCATCACTGGCTGGCCTGTCAATATGGTGAGTGAGGCTCTGGGATGGTATTCTGAATGGTAAATAAATAGAATATACCATTATTTGTACGTATAGCGTATCTCCCATTATACCTTTGGGAGTTTGAACTCTAGTACTTGTGTTCATGTGGTACATTTACCCAGGACTTCGATGGAGAAGATTTCACTTTTTTGTCCATTGCTTTCACACTGATAAGAGCCGGTGTTCTTGGAGGTAGCAACTGCTATCTTCCAGGTTTTGTAAGTCTGCGTTTTCACCTCATTGTCATTGAAGTACCATTTCACGCTGGTCCCACTGTCGCCACAGCTCAAAAAAAGTAAGTCGCCAGAGAAAATATGCTTTAAGTTGGGTGATATGGAAACTAAGGAGGCAAGGAGGGACAAAAGAAAAGACGACATACAGTTAAGCATAGGCATTCTGACACCTGCTACAATTTATGTCATTTCAAGAAACTACAAAGGGCTGGTTATTGGTGCCACCTATGGACATTATGGAACGTCATTCTTCTCTTCCACTACATCGCACAGGCAAATATTAGTTTACTCAACTACATTTCTTAAGCTTTAGTTACATGTCAGATTATATATTTTTTCTGTCTAATGTGTATGTCCAAATTTGATGATTTTGAATTTTTCTGACAAACTGAAGGGTTGACTGTTCCTTTATGGGTTGAGAAATCCTTCTTCTTAAGCTAAACAATCCCCTCTTGTATTAGTTGTAATGTATTATCACAAAGCTGGAAACAGGGCTGTTTTTCTAAGCTTATAAAACGTTGACTTTTTATAGACAGATATAGATACGTAGTTCTCACAGAACAGTGAAGCTACAAACGTGATGATCTTATAACATACATAATACACAACTACTTTATACACTGTTGGGTTGTTTAATCTACAGCAATGCATTCTATAAGTAATGATCTCATCCTTAAACATCTACAGTAGTAAAATGCAACATACACATTAATGCAGCAGTAATATTAATCAATTTATCGGGACAGATAAATTATCGGCCTATAATGGGAAATTTATATTATTATAAATTATCAGGATAATTCAATTACAGCTGATAAATTAGTTGAAATTAGTAACATGTTTGAAGAGTCAGACTGTTTGTTGTTGTGTTACCAACAGAGATTTCAGTTAGATTTGGTTGCAACAGAGCTATAGAACATTAAATCATCCATCTTTGCTCATTACATTGCAGCCTTTCTTACCCTAAGGTGTGCATGATCTACAGGTTCAACAAACTTCCTTTTAAAATACAAAAATATGGAGGATTGCACATGTGTGAACTTACCTGTTGGCCTTTGCTGACATCTTGCCAGGACCACAAATGCTGTAACAAAATTCAAACGTTTGTATTTTTTAATAAACAAATTCTTGCATGACTAGTAATACACACTTTATTCTCACCTCTATCAGGGCATCAGTTTTTTTTTGGCGACATCTTCAAATATATTACTTGTGATTCAAACAATGTGTCCAGAGCTGTGATGTTTTTTTTTTTTTTATTTTCAGTTAAAGAAGTTAAAGTTTCTGTAGGTGGTGCTATTTTATTTTGTCTGTTCAGCCACAGTGTCACTGCCCATGGAAGCCACACAGTTGTTTTTATTCAACCTGATATTTAGTTATAAAGAATTTTTTAACCTTTCTATTACGGCTAATAAATTGACAGTATAATTACATTACTTTACTGTCATTTGATACTTTTGTCCAAAGACACTTAAAATAAATAAGGGTTTATGTGTTTAACCTGTAGTAAAGCTGTAAAGAAAAAGTTTACTCTAAAATCCAAGAGCTAAGAAGTTAAATTCTCTGCTTCCTTTTGATCTCTTTAGTCTTTAGTCATTGAAACATCCTGTTTTTTCCTTGGATTTCTGTCTATCATTAACACTGCTTGTTTTTTGTTTGCAAACAGAAGTTTCCATTCATTTTTATACCATCATTTTATATCGTCTTTGTTATTTGCACTCAAACAACAAAGAGAGGCCCGAAAACTGCACTCTTCTTATTTGCAGGCATCTTTGACCTCTGCCATTACTTTGTACCAAATTGAATATATTTTTTTAAATAGAATTGCGTTTTTATTTTAATTGTATATAAAGTGGTAGTTTTTTGTTATTAAACAACTAGAAAAAATAATATAAAAAAATAATAATTGTGCTGGCCGGATTATATTTTTGACATCATGTCTGAACTGACTGGAGAGAGGGCAGTTTGAGATCCCTGATCTACGGCAATAAACAACTACGGACGGTAACCTGTATATACTGTGTGTACATATTATTCTATCTAGCTGTAGCTATACTCAAACCATTGTTATGTAGATATAAAGTCTCACATATTGTGCTACAGTAGGTTTGTAGTATTTGGGTTCATTATTGCTTTTTTTTTGTGTCATGCATCATCACTCTTTTATTCCAAAGACCCAAAGTTCACTAATATTACAGAATATTCATTATGTTTTACATAGTCCATTCAAATGAAATTCACTTATAATGCAGGACATTCTAATTATTGTAAGGACACATGTCCTTATAACATTTCCACGTTTAACTGGCGCAAATTTTTCCACAGCTAGCTTTAGGCTTAATGATATAATAATGATATAAAATATAAATATCTGAGCCTTTTTTTAGTATTTATCATTTTATTATAATCACATTTCTAAACAAAATGTTTAGCAAATGTGTAAAAGGTATTTCATTTATTTAGTATTATTTACTTTATTTGGATAGTCCGTTTTAACTTCTAAGTGTTCCTTAATAAAGTCAATTGCTATTTGTGCTTTAGTTTTTTTAAGTTCAGTAAATGTACATATTCCAGCTAATAGAAGGACAAAATGTTTATTGGCTCCATAACCCAGTTTCATGAAAGCATTGGGCTTAAGGTGAGATAATGTAAAGCCGTGATATTTCCACCCACCTACAAATGACTGCAGAAAAATTACAAATACATTGCATGTGAAATTATAGAGTGCCAAACATATTTAGTTTTGTCTGATTTAGTTTTAACCTTATTCTGTCCTCTCTATGGATGATGGTGATGATGATATATGAAAATTGACTTTTCAGCCAACGCCCTGCTCCTCTCACACTGATAGATCAGTGTCCTTCGCACTGAGGGTTAAGCACCTTGCTAAAGGGGACCTCAGTGATTTCTATGTAGAGAAAACTTTTACATGTTTGTTAAATGTTAAATGCAATACATTTTAGAAAACTCAGCTAAATGTCAGAACATTGTAGTATGTTCTAACAATGTTAGAAATGGCACATAATCATATATTTGATTGATTGCCTCTATCACCAGCAGCTACGGTTACTCCCCTCTACATTTCTTAAATCTCACAAAATTCCAGCTGAAAAGCATGAGATAACTGGTAATAATAATTATTAAATTAAAATAATAATTTTGATAATAAAATGAACACATGACAATCCCATAAACACCTTTAACCAAATCAATCCTGGTTCATGTTTCACTGGAGCCTTCTTACCTGCCAAGAGCAGCAAATGTTGTCCTCCACTCATTGCCCTGCCAGTAACACAGTCAATAGAAATATCACAGTGACTAAAGTGCTGGTAACTGACCGGGCTAACTGGCTGTTTCTAGTATTTAGTCATGTTGAGGAAGTTGCAATTTGTGAGGGGGGGGGGGGATGAAGAACATAGATCATACCAAAAGTCATCTTCACACAACTTAGCTAGTACGTTTTAAATTGTGACACAGCAAGAAAGAGAACAAGTAGAGAACTTTAGAAATTATGTTTTGTAATACTGTTGCATAAAGAGACGAGTATGCAAGCTCATTATAAAGAACAGAGATGAATGAGATGAAACTGGAAGTAGATGCTTCAGAAAGCTTTTCTAGCCCAATGTAAACCTCGAAAGAGGGCAGTTGATACATTATTTTTGATGAATAAATAATATAATAAATGACAATATATACAAATGCTTTTCTTGCCTCCCAAACAGCCTAGCCCCGCCTGGACTAATGGAGGAAATCTGACAACATAAAGTGTAAAGGTTAACAGGGAAGCAGTTAAAAAGGGGATTACTTATCATAACAGAAACCATTTACCAAAGACTAACTAATGCCAAATCAAAGCTCTTCTATACTATGAGAACCCAAGTGAAACAAATACAGGAAACAAGATACTAAAATGAGACTAAAAGCAAGCCCACTTTTGTATTAGAAACAACAGATCACCTCACACAGTAAAACAAGGCTGGAACGGAAGCTATAAAGCTCACATGAAAGGCACTTGAAGCCACAGAAAAAGACAGAGGTAAAAGTCACTTCCTGCAACCCAATTCAGGGCCTGAATCCTAATGTTAAGATGAAGCAAGTCTTTCAAAGTTTAAAGCTGAACCTCATACTCCTTTTTACAAGAGGAGAGAAGGAGAGAAGATCAAAACCAGTGGTGCATGCAGGTGCTAACTGTCAAGGGAAATTGCATAATATATACTGACTTGACAACTTATCCAGCATTAAGTATAAAAAGAGTTTTTAACCTGACTTTTATCATTTACATATAGGAGTTTATGTATTTGTCCAATTCATGTTATTTATTCTTAACTAAATGCAAATACCTATGATAGGATCAGATGGCAGCACCGCCTTGCTCAAAACAATACACCAGCTGCACTTTTAAGAGCCTTTGGTAGCCTCATAAAGAGGTACAGTACTTGAAATGATCAGTTATATATATACTGCATATTTTATACTATCCTCAAAGAAAGTGCTTTCATGACAGTAAGGGTTTTAATCTTGCAGTTATTGTAATAACAGAAGTGACCCTCTTCTGCTTATTTAGTTTCTGAGAAAAAGATTTCTGTGAGTTTGGAGAAACTGTTGCAACTGTTAATCCCTTACAGAGACCAAAAGCAGAAACCAGATGAGCTGTGTTGGTGGTGGTCAGCGTCACCACAGTGCAAAAGAGGGGTGTGAATCAAACAGACGGAGAGGCTGTGACACTAAAAGCGGAAAAACAAATTTAGTTTTGCTTTAAACTAACATGACAACATCCTTACTAGACATGTGACCATCACTATTTATTTATAAGAAATGATGTTGTTTTTTTTTAATGATGATCACAAATGATCATATAGCCCTTTGTAATCTGTTGTTTATGTGAAAGTCATTTCAGGACACTGTGGGTATCAGGTGTTAAATTAGATACTGCTGACTTCTGCAGATAAAGACTGAAAGCACGCTAAACTCTGGCCAGCAGCTTCTGCTTTTCTGTATTGTGTGAAAGAAGAACAAGTTTTTTAATAGATGGAATCACCATGTACAGACTCCTCACCTGCACCTAAAAATATTACATATGAGCTAAGTGACATAAACATTCAAAAGCACCAAAGGTTGTGTTCTCCAGTCAGGACAACTGCACGCAGACGTCTCTGTCTCACAGCTGATCTGCTGAAAAGACACAAAGAGATACCATCAAACATGGTGTGACACATGACAAAACATAATGTGGTGTTTCTGTTTCTGTCTTGTTTCTGAGAATCCAAACAAGGAAACTGTTTCATTTTGTGCAGGAGGGAAATTTATTTTAGACTTACTGTAGTTAGCAACACTTACTGTGTCCACATATAAAACATTTAAAAGATGATCTAAAGAAAAATGTTTCTCATTCTTTTTTGTTTAATCCCTTTATTACACGTTATATATCATCGATTCGTAGACTTTACTTTTATAAGAGGAAGGGAAAACCACATTACACACAGGATGGATGTTGAAACACACATATTAGCTGCTTTTAAAAGGAAAAAAATTGCATTTCTGAAAATGTTAAAGAATTATGAGAGCAACATTTTCATAATGTTCTCTTACTGCTCACATTTAAAACAATGTTTGAGGTCTCTGTTTCAGTTACTTGAAATGGCCACCAGAGTCCAGCAGTGCATCGGTTTTCTTACCTGAAAATAATGCTTGAATGAGGCCTCACAGCGGGTTTCAGCCCGTACTTCACTGACTGCGTCTGTACAGTAAGCTGTGTAACTGTATTTATGGCTGTGAGTTTGCAAATCACTCTTAGCCTGGGAGTGCAACAGTCACAAGTAGTGAATCTAAAAATATTATTGTATGTATTGTATGCAATGTATTAGTGATATTATTCTACATTTGGTTGACAAAGTACTTGCACTGAAAATGTGCAGACATTATTGTTTCAAACCAGTGAGAAAGCAGTACTTTCTCAGTGTTTCACAGCTTCGATTTAATAAATCAATAACTTCTCTCTCATTCTGCCCTCTACTCCTGTCTTTTCTTCTACTTTTGTTTTCCTGTTCAGTCTGACCCTATTTCACCCAAAGCGAAGTAACTGCACTACTAAAACACAGAAGAAAAAATAAAAACCAGAAAATAAAAAGCTAGCCAGCATATTGTTACTACTGTATGCTCCATCTGCCCGTGACCCACTTTTCTCTCCTTGCCTTTGGCATGAGAGGCGTTAACACAGAAAGCAGGAGGAAAGCTAGTTCCTCAGAATAAGGACGTTGGCAGTAAAGGCAGTGGAAGCACTAAGGTAGGATGAGAGTGCAGTGAATATACACTATGGAGCGGTGCACCGTTAAAGGAGAGCACCCACTAGAGCTCTTATCAAGGGTTACAATGCAGGTGTCATGTCGTCCTTGAGAGGCTGGATTTGGCAGGATTCATCTACATCTCCTCTTAACAGAGTGCACTATTGTGTGCATTAATGTATTTCAACTGAAATCCTCCTCTTTGATGGGCTCTAAAAGCATAATGCAAGCATAAGGACAGTTTTTCACTCAAACACTGCATAAATGCAACAGAATTATTATATAAACTTACTTGGTATCGTCACACATGTCCAACATTAAGGTACCAGATATCATTTCCTAAATAAGTTTTAGGTTCTTTTGTTTGGCTTTGCAACTTTTAATTCAACTTCTGGTCTTTTGCCATTATTGGACAGCTCAGAGTCTTGACAAATACAGGAAATAAAGGGGGGGAGGGGTGTTATATGGTTGTGGTTATAATGCATTCGGTCTCAACCACTGAGCTACTGGACACTCACTTTGTTAAGCTGTCATAACCAGTTTACCACGTGAGAACAACATGTGTAGATCCGAAACCATAACCAGATAAAGATAAAGACACAGTAAATGATGCAGTCACTCTACATCACTCTGGATCACAAACCACATCAATCACCAGGATTCATCTGAACCGGGTTGGCAATATTTTAAGGAACTTCGGTGTTGAAATACAACACACCAATGGTTAAGATGCATACTACATAAATTATCTGAATCGATTCCAGCAGGGGACCTTTTGCTGCATGTCATACTTCTCTCTTTTTCTCTCTATCTCTCTCTCTGTCTCTCCACCATGTTTCCTTTCAGGTTCCCTATCTAACAAAAGGCAAAAGCGGCTAAAATTTCCATCTTTCCATTTGTTAATTAACACTGCCACAAAGCATCATCTAAATTTAGTCCACATTTGACTGTTGAATAGTGTCTAAAGCCGACTCCCCCCACACCTTTTCAGTGTCAGGACTGGATGGCCTAAATCTAACCATGTGAGTAACCTATTGAAAATGACATTCACACTTGTGTGAGACGTGAGAAATTAGGTAGATTTGAAAGATCTCTCTCAATCTCACCTTTTCAGTCCTCCGCACAACTCGAGTGTATGACCAAGTACAAAACCGTCGTGGAAAATGGGGGTTTTAAGAAGATAGTATACACACTCGAACCACGATACGCCATACCAACACGCAAACACATGGTGGAAGTCGCCATCCTGAAGCTGTAATTTACTTATTACTGAATCGATATAGAAGCATTTAAAATCAATATCGAATCGAATCGAATTGTGACCTAAAGAATCAAAATCGAATCGAATTGTGAGGTTCTTAACAATACCCAGCCCCAACTATAGTAAATGGCAGTCGAGAACTGGCGTGGAAGCTAAACAATGTACTGAAGGTCACCTAAAAAAATCAATATCAGTTTAGATATACACTACATTTTCAATATTTTCACTGCCTTCCCTTGACGTTATTTTGTTCTCTTCAAATCCACCAGACTCCTTTGACAAAAACAATAATTTTACCGTACACAGGAGTTGCTGGTCTACCGCTGCCTCGATTGGTTAGTTTCTTTGTTATTGTGTGACTTTTGTGTTTTAAAGACTGAGGTCGGATAAAAAAAAAAGTTTATTAACTGATCGAGGCACCAGCAACACCATAGACTGATAATTCAAAATGGTCTCCGTGACTTCATAGGTTTCTAAAGAGCTGTTATGATGCTCAGTGTGGTCGGTTCTGGCCAATTGGCATCTTGGCAGTCTTGACTTCGCCAGCTCCTGGCTAATCCAAAAATGGGCAAAGAGGTGGAGAGTGGGTATAGCTTAGAACTTTGACTGACAGCAAGGTAAAGCTGTGAACACAGCCGTAAACTTAAACAGATTTTTTTGGGTAGCTCAAAAACATTTTGCTGTTGGCCCTGACCACAGCAGTGCATTGCTTAGCTCCCATGCCGGTTCTCCTGCCTGCTTTTCCAAACTGGGGGTGTGCCCACTGCCGTTTACTGTAGTAATACACTGACTATGGATAACTACCTCATAGAACGCCACTTAAAAAATCCAAA